GCAGATGAGGAACATGGGCAAGATGGGATATGTCATCCGCTCCGGTGAGCCCTCTCTCTCTCTCTCTCTCTCTCTCTAGCCTGGTGTTCCCTTAGCATACTCGGAAGCCGAAGAGTGAAGTACCCGTTTGACATGGACCCTCTTCCACCAGCTGAAATTTCAGAGGGGCGGAAGAAGAGGAAGAAGAGCCAGTCGAAGGCGTCAACTGATGACAGAGAGGGAGATATAGCAGGCAATTGGTGGTGGTGGATGAGCAGGGGAAGGCGGAAGGGGTATTGCTTCTTCCTCTTCTTCTTCGATTAGATAGATATCTTGGATTGCCCTCGCCAGCGAGGCCCATGAGAGTCAACCATCTTGTGGAAAGTCGCCGTCGGACGTCATGAAATTTCATGCTGAGAGAGGAAGGTCAATTCCATTCTTCTACAAGGCGCTGGGTTCCGCACGCGTAAAAGGTGATCCTTCTAGAAACCCGCGGCTAGGGGGCCAACAGCGGAGCCAGCACTGATGCTTACTACAGCCGGCTGGCTGGCCGCATTCCGAAACACTATCATCGGTCGCCACGTCGATGAATAGCGCTGTAAGTTGATTCTAGAAAGGTGCTACGCCATAGAATTAATCTATGTTGTGGTTGGGGCTGGGGCGGCTGGCATGACACGTGGCTTGTTCAAAGAAGGATGAGAACGTAAGGCGGAAGATACATGCGCCCATCATATTAATACCTTTGTGATGGCGGCCCGGCGACTGGGCACGTGGCTTGCTCCAAGGATGAGAACGTGGCAAGGAGTACACGCGTGTGGATCCATTCCCCAACTGGGAGAGCCCTCCATCTTCTTTCTGTCTTTCCTGTGGTTAGTACTTGAAACGCTCTTTCAAGAAAGAGTCTTGACCTCCACCACCCGCGTCGTGTCTATTCTCCCTCCTATCTTTTTTTTTTTTTTTTCTTTTTCTGGTAATGAAGAAAAAGATTGTCCTGGGGGTGAAATTTCTTGGCCGTTTTTCCTGCCGATTATGGAATGGGAATCAGAAAAATGAGAAACCCACCCATCCTCCTGCCCTTCATCCTGATCTGGCTCTCACATGCATCCTAATGCTCTCCTTCCCTTCTCCTCAAGTTCCCGAGTCTGATACTGCTTTGATTCCCCCACATTACCACGATTGAAATCCCTCAAGGGTTCCTTGTTCCGACGTTGACTCCTGGACAAATAATGGGCAGACTTTTCAGCTGATTATCCTACTCTTAGCAGATATAACTATGTATATATTTAGACAGAATTGGACTAACGAATAGGAGCTGAGTCACATGCTACCTCGCTGTGTAACTCCATTTGCTGATGAGAGAGAAAAACCTCTCTATGTGTTTTTCAATTAAGCCATAAAAAAAACCTCATTTAAATCTGAAAATAGAAAGAATGGCGGATACTATCCGACCAGTCACTCTTCTTTCGGGGTGGGTTTCAATTTCCTAGTCACAATTTTCCCATTAATAAGTGGTTAGTTCTTCTCCTCGATTTTTCCCTATAAATAATGTTTTCAGCACGTCTAATGATGATGTAACCAGGAGACCATTGGAACGCAATCGTCTTTCCCATCGAGCACTCTAGACGCTGACAGGCGTCTAATGGTCTTAGTGATACAAACGTAGAGGATCTCGAATCCAAAACATGAGACCCACCATCATGTTCATTGATTAGATAATTATGTTTATTAGTCGGATTCACTCGTAGCAATGCGTTCTATTATCGTGTCTATCGTTTAGGTATGCACATAATTAATTCCATAATAATTTAAATTCATATAGTTCAATTGTATCACAACAATCATCTCGACAAGACTTTCATTCACTGATTTCATCCCTGGAGGATTATTCGAGACATGGTGGAACCAGATGAGTTCAGACAGCTAGAAAATCACATTCAGAGAAAAATAAGCACCCCGAAAATGATAGTTAGTTTGCATCCGAGAGGGCTGCGAACAGAGACGAGGACGTAGACATATGAGCCTCCTCTACCGAATCATGCCTTGTCTCATCTTCCGCACCAACCGAGCTCTCCTTCCCCAACAGTCCCTTGAGAGACTTTTCAAATAACTACCTGGCTGTCCCCATCAACGCTGACTCTTTCCTTTTCTTCCCTGCCATAGGTACCTTCCCCCAGTTTGGCAGCTCTCCTTACCCTTTCAGTCGGTCAGTGGTTCCTCTACTTTGCTTTCCTCTGGGCCCTAGCCGAGTCGAAGCGCTACAGTGACTAACTAGAGCTCACTCATTTGCGCTTCCTCTGGTCACTGAGGAGCGTCACGGTGATATGAAGAAGGTTTTTATCATGGTAATATGAAGATCCTGGCGTGGGAAATACACTGATGAGAATTAAATCCCGCAGGCTAGAGGAAGACTAGGATGCTTTTAGAAAGCGAGTAAATTCAGTGAACTGCAAAGTTATAAAAACAGTGGGACGGAGGGTTACTTACGTTGACGCTGCCCTTTTCGAAGAAATTGACATCTGTGGGAAATCTGAGATGGCATCGAAAAGGAGAAGGCAAAGGAACTAAGAAAGAGTGTCTCGAGAAGGGGCTTTGAGGGACGACTCATTGACCATACTTTCCTTCGACGCAGGAAGCTGCGTTGGGAATCAGGTTGCAGACAGTCCAGAGGCTGTGGATGGATGATCGGATCTTCATGCCCCATGAAGTGATTTTTGTGGAAAGGATGCCGGGATTATCATCTTGGAGCGGTGTGCACCAAGCGACACAAAACCCCGATGGGATGGTTCGTGATGCGGCTGGAAGGGAAGGCAAGGCTGAAAGGGAAGAAGATATCCAAATGAAGCCCAACATATGCCTTCATTCCTTTATAGACGGAGGGGCATCCTTGCTCTTTCCACTGTGGAAAACGGCTGCTGACTGCTCGCCGTAGGAGCAAATAGAACAGCCATGGAGAGAACTGGCGTGGCTGGCACAGAGGGCTCCAGTCGCCTCCCCCATCCTCCGTGCAAGAAAGCACGTGAGACATCTACCATCCTGTCCCACGAGTGAAGGGCTGATTAACTACTTTATCTTCATAAATACAAATCTCTGTGAAGTTGTATAAATATTCCGATGCGTGTGAAGCAAGGAGGATAATTTCCTTCACGGGTCTGCCGCAGGGGGAGGGGGAATTTCAATCTCCTTGATGGAAACCAAACGGTAGACCCTATCCTATCAACTGGTTTCATAACGATTACTGGATCGATCGATAGAGTCGATGACACTTCCCAGTACCACCCATTCCCATCCGTCTGAGTACACACGCAGAGGCCGTCTTGTGCTCAAGTCAAGGATTCCATTTTACAGTATAGCCAATAGGGATCCTTATATTTTTACAGTTGAGTATTGTACATGGATACATATGTAACTTCATTTTTCTTCCTCTCGTTGTCGTTGACGAGGGAGGTGATTGAAGTCCCCAACTAAAATCGGATGGGGACTGCCAACTGCAGCTCGGAGCCGGAATCGGTCCATCCTGCATGCGATGCCATGTTACCTTCTGTGGGGGTCTCTTTCCCTCACTCTCTGTCTGCCCATGAAGTGCAAGGAAATCCTAAGAGGTGACAAGAGGGCACAGCGAGGGCTTCGCCGAGTCAAAGGATTCATTTCTTTCTCTTTCAATTTGAATGATTAAATAGTTCTGTGGACCAGAGGGGTCCTTCCGTCGTACTCGCCATCGGGGTGGGTTGTCTCATCCGAAGACTACATACGAAACGTCCACTACAGTGTCCCTACGTCCTTGCAGACAGAATGCAACTGATGCCTAACTGGGAAAATCAAAAGCCGGGCAAGGAACAGTCAGAATGACAAGTAGGAGACATTTTAAACGAAAATAATTCTCTGAATCCCAACATATCAACAACCGCAAGAATGTGGGAGGTAGGTTCTTACGATATTTGTAAGAAAATAACGCAAACCCAAATTATCCAAGGCAACGGCAAGCAGGAGAGGAATGATAAAATCAATAAATTGAGGCATTGGATGGAGAGACGACCGGCTGAGCAACCAAAGAAATAAACTTTCTGATGAGGCAGGCATAGAGGAGTTGGATGGAACGTAACCTTGATGAACCCCATTGGTTCGTACATTTTTTATGGAAGACAAAGCTCGACAAGGACAGCAAAAAAAAAAAAAAAAAAAAAAAAACTTTGAAGATGGCATAATGCCATGCGGCAAGCATCACAAGAAGCTTGAGCTGGAACGAATAATGTGAAGAAATGAATAGAAGGCAAACGCTTTAATATTTGGCTCACTTGGCCCATAGGGCACACTCTGAAGGAGCTAGCAGCAGCAAGTCAAGAAGCTCTTTGTTGCTAAGTACTTGTGGAATGAATATTCCCCAATTGGACTTGTCAATTCGGGAGAGGTCTAGGCATCGCGCGGCCGGATTATCGGCGGGCCCTTTTTGTCAAACCCCGCACTGCATCAGCCCCGTCGCGCCGTCGCTGTCTTGGCCGCTGTGCAGTCAAACCGCTCACTGCGGGGCCCGCAGTATGGTCCACGAACAAATAATCTCTTGGCGATATTTCAACATGTGATTAGCGTGTTTACTTACGCACACGCTCGAATCCGAACCGCTTTAACTCCGCGTCGGCCCCAAAGGTCCCAGCTGGCAGCCACGTAGGCACCCCGGCTATATATAACCGCGTCGTCCGTCCTTCGACGACTCGAATCAGCGACTCAGCAGACAATTAACACTCCCAGCACCACTCCACACTCTCCCTCTTCCTCCTTCCTGCTTCCACACAGAGAAGAAGGCGATGGTGCAGAGGCAGGAGGACGTCTCCTTCCTGCAGGGGAGAGAAAGGCTGATCTCCTTCGGAGTGGCTTACAGCGCGAGAGCGAGGGAAGAGGAGCTGCCGCCGCTGCTGCCGCCGCCGACGCCGCCGCCGCTGCTGCCGCCGCTGCCGCTGCCTCTGTCGCCGTCGCCGTCATCGGCGGGGTTCTTGCCGCCCTGCTCGCGGGAGCAGGAGAACATCGTCATGGTGTCAGCCCTCATCCACGTACTTTCCGGCTTCGACTCGCCTCAACAGGTCCCCGTCGCGGCGACGTTCGCTTGCGCGCCGCCCGACTCCGGCGGCTGCCAGTTCTGCTACATCGATGGCTGCCTCGGGTGCGACTTCTTCGCCACCGGCGCTGCCGCCGCCGCCACCGCAGCCGGGGAGCCCACGGGCGCCGGGGCCGCGGCGGCGGTGGCGGAGCCCCGCGGCGGTGCAGGGTGCACCAACAATCGGCGGAGGGGGAGGCGCCGGAATAAAAAGCACTTCCGGGGGGTGCGGCAGCGGCCCTGGGGGAAGTGGGCTGCGGAGATAAGAGACCCCCGGAGGGCGGTGCGGGTGTGGCTCGGCACCTTCGACACGGCGGAGGCCGCCGCTCGCGCCTACGACGTCGCCGCCATCACCTTCCGCGGCGCCCGCGCGAAGCTCAACTTCCCCTTCACGGCGGATCCCCCGGCGGCCCCGCCTACCTCCTCCCCCTCCGCCACCAGCTCTCTCGACCACCAGCTCCTGAAGCAACAGCAGCAACACCAACAGCAGCAGCAGCAGCAGCATTGGACCTACCCCGCCGTCGGCGAGGACATTCCCGAGCTATCGGAGGGACTGCAGGATCTCTTGGACTTCTTCTGACCCGCCTCCTTAGCAGAAAAATGGGAAAAATCCCAGCTACCCATATAAATCCGAAGGTTCTAACCCATTCTCTGCAACCCCATTCTCGTGGGCTTCTCCGCCCCACTTAAACCCCACACCAATTTGATTTATTTGGAAGCCCCTGTCCACGTAATGATGCCCAACCAGGGGTTGTTTTGAAAAAAGCTCTCTACCCTCTACGTGGCGCGCTCAATCTCCATTAAGTAACACATTGTTCACATTGCTGCGCGTCCCATCCGTCGTACACGTCATACGCGTACAAGCCCACGAAGGCGTGCCAATCCTGCCACATGCTTTTCGCACGATTATTCTTCCAAACTGGGGAGATTCCCTACCCGGACCTAGAGAAGATTCAACTCTCCGGCCCAAACCCCCCCGCGCCCCCCCCCCTCTTCCCGGCGGCGCCGCCCGTCTTCGCTGTACCCGCCGACGCCACCGGGGAAGAATAATTATATAACAAAACTACCGAGGAATTACGAAAAGAAAACATGTCGTAGTCAACCAGTCTCCCACTGTCAACGGCTAGTGACCACCGCGGCTCCGGTCCCCTCGCGCGCAATTGGTGGAGCTGGGTGATCGTTTCCCCACCGTTTGATTACTTTCACGTCACATTGGTGCACTATTTATTTAATTTTGGTAATTCTTCCTTTTTTCGAAGACCAAAAATCGGAACGCCGTCTCATAATTATTTGTACTCGGAGTGGATCCCCTTGGCCAAGTTGGTTCCTAGGCTAAAAATCTGTCCCTTACTGCAGCATATGTATTAAAAGAATATTTGAGAAATAAAAAAGGGAATTATTTCAAAACCATACTAGAAGAAAAGATTGTGAATCTTCTAGTATTATTGTCAACCTTCAACTTCTCTTATTGAAGGCAAGAAGTGCAAATGCTCCACTTACATTGGATTAATAATATGGACCCTTTGAGTGGTCACCTAATCTAAGTTCATTCAATTATAGCCAAAAATGATTGGAGATTCCAATTTTCTCAATTTTTTAAAATTCACAATTCCTTTGAGGTTTGTTGCATTATTGTTATTATTATTATTATTATTATTATTATTTTAGTCACTTTCCGATTTAGTTATGTACATTAATTGTTGCCCATCTTGTAGGTAGCATGGGCACACCCAGATGTGACGTTTAGTTGTATAAATGTATTCATTATGGTACAATGGCTAATAAAAAATAAATGTTACTTGAGAAACTTTTGAGTTTCAAGTTGGGAGCGTAAATCAAAACCAACAGAATATTTTGAACCCTACTCGTAGATAAGAAATGTATGGATCATATATAGAAATTAGGTCAAATGTGAACTAAAATATTTGCAATTTTTTCTTGCCCATCGACTTAATACTCCAAATGTATGTATCATATATAGAAATTAGGTCAAATGTTATACATTTGCTTCATGGCCCAACACCTCAAGATAAGATTGGGTGTCAATGCCACAATTTTAAATCATCTAGATATTGTGAAATAAATCAGGATGGGCTGCGACTAAATAAAAAGAAAAAAAAGAAGCTGAGGTATTTCCAATTTTTCAATATCTCGTGAGTTGAGTCCTTAACATAATAATTTAATTTCCTTGTGGGAAAAGTGGGTCATGATGTGGGATGGTGTTGAGTAGCCAATGGGGCGTAGTTAACAAGGGAATAAGAGGGAGAAAGTGGGGCAGCTGGAGGGGGAGATAAGAACAGAGGTGGAGAGAGAGAGAGAAAGCGGGGAGCAAGTTCTAGTGGAACGCTAGAGAGAGAACATTTAATGAAGGATTCAGTGTAGAGATCGTTGGTCTGATAAGTCGCCCAAATGATAGAAAATGTTCAGAAAATCATTCCAGTCACACAACTTCCAAAAGAGGGCCATCTGATGGAGACCTCTCTCTCTCTCTCTCTCTCTCCCTCTCTCTCCCACCGACTGCCCCCATCCATCCATCCAGTCATTCGCCCAACTGCCCCCAGATATTTCTGTGTTGCGGTTGTGGCTGTGGGCGTCATATGAGGCTCATCTGGGAGATGCAAAGCAATGGTGTGGGCTCTGCTATCTAAGGCCAGTTCTTACTATCTAAGGCAGTGGAACTTGCAAGTTTACCACACGCTTGTTACTGCTCCTCCATGGAAATATTTAGGGTTCCAAGAAGCCAAGATCGATCTCCACATATAGTCTTTAAACCACCACGGGACTCGGAAAAAAAAAAAAAGAAACGAAGTCCAGGGTGAAAAATTCCGTACCAAGTACTCCAGTCTGGAGCTTTGTTCTAGCTGCCTCCTCCCCCCAGCTCTCCACAGGGCTCACGATGCAGTGGTGAACGCCCACGGCGACCACAGTCTCCTACGAGCAGGGGGCCTCTTCACGCTTATTCTCAGGAGTTTCCTTCGAGGACATGATAAATACAAGGGCGATCCGAGGAGGAGGAGGTCGGGAGGGTGAGGATTGCGTACGGCTCTTCGGAGGGGCGGGGCGGGGAGGAGATGAGGAGTTGCGATCCCAAAACTGGCGAGCTAGAATGCGGAGCTCAGAGGGGACCCAGACCGGGGCTCAGTCGGAGGTCTTCTTCCTGGCGGCGTAGATCCTGCAGGCCGCCAATCCCACAAAGACGAAGGCGGCGCCAACTGCATGGGTGAAATGATCATCTGGTCAGAGAATGATGATCGGATTTAACATGCCAGAATTTTATTTCTCTGAAGAAATGATCATCTACCTATAAGATGAGCGGATTTAATACGGTATAGCTTTTTTCTTTTTTTTCTTTTTTTTTTATTATTCTTATTATTTGTGTGTGGAGGGGAGGAAATGATCATCTGGGCAGATTTAATATGGCAGAATTTTCTTATTTTATTCTTTCAAAAAATAATCATCGGGACAGGCTTTTTCTTGTTTTTTTTCCATGAAGATTGGCGGATTTCTTATGAAAAAACTTTGTTTTTATCTTTAAGATAATGAGATGATGAATGGTGCAAGGAAACGGGGAATACCGGAGACAGCCATGAGAGTGCTCTTGAAGACCAGCTGGCACTGCTTCCGGTATTTGCCCGCTTCGGTCTCAGGGATGCTCAGATGTGGGTGCTGGGCAGCACCGATGATCCTCTGGAACACATTGGTGAACTCCCCCAGCTTTGTGCTCACTGGGATGGGCATCTCTATGCCCAGATCCTGGGTAACCTACACAAAGAACTAGTTATAAGAACCAAAAATTCCGGCAATTCTCAATCGCAACCTATATAATTTATGCATTATTCAAAATTAAGTGGTACATAGAGCATTAAGAAGCAGACATCACTGATCATGGCTGCACGAGGAGAGGATTACAGGGAGGAGAGCTGCTGAGAGTAGAGAGAAGAATGCTTGAAAAGAGGAATGGAGAGAGTTGGAGGAGTTTGATCATACCCTCGCCGAATTCTGCACGGCCAAAGGATATGGGTCGAGGTCATCTTTGGCCGAGACAACCAGACAAGGAACCTCGAATCCATTGCTTTCAGCATGGTTTGCTACTTCCAGAAGCAATTCTGTCGCCTTCTTCCATGATTTCTCATCAGAACTGCATATGGAATGAAAACTCTCGTTGGAAGCGGACCATCCCAGGAATCAGAGCAGAATGGGACTTCCGAAAGTGAATACTAGTGGCACTATTAGATTGTGAGGAGGAAATTTCACAAGGGCAGATGGGGTTCTTGCCATAAAAAACGCGTGGAGCACACACAGCTCGGCAAAAGAACCTTTGTCTCATAAACAGGGGGAATATCTTTCAGAAAATAAGTTCGAAAAATGGGGATCAGAGCCCAATGTCGACTTAATAACGCTACCACCTAGCTCCCATTATTTCTAACCCACAGTTTTTGGTAACTCTATTCTTCCCGTTTGAATCTACTCACAAGAAGCCTTAACCCCTGTTTTAAACCTTGGTATGGGTGAGGAGCAAGGTACAGCCAATACAACGTGTACGGTGCGGCTGAATGTACAAGGGGATCCACTCTGACGATAATCCCGCACTTCATCACAGGTTTAGCCTTGCAATATAGGTCAAACAAAATAATAATATTCTTGTACGTTAGGACCAGAGGACATTGGGCTTGAAATGATTTGCCCATCTGCAATCCCATTGAAATGGGTAAACATCTTCAACGTGGATGCGATCCACAGGCTCAAAATCAAGGTTCAATCTAATTAGCCGTAAACAGGATGGCAAGACATTAATTCCATTGAAATAGGCAGGAATATTTTTTTTTGAGGAAATCCTCACTGTTTCAGCCTAATGTATTTTATAACACAAGTAATGATGCTTCCTAGACTGAAAATTTGGAACAACGGCATCCAAGCAAAATGTTAGAATCTATGATGCAACCGTCCATCAGAGATCAGAGAGATATTGGCATGGTTTTCATAGAGTATGGAATATCATACACTCTGTGCTAATAAAGATGATCAACCTACCAAGGGCATGAAAACAAAAAAAGTCATCACTCTTTGTCCATTGTTACCTTTCAGATCCAAAAGAAATCAATACAGGGCGAACTAAATGAACGAAACATAACATTTTTTAAAAAAGGACGGCCACTGGAAAAATACTTGAGAAAATGTAGCAGTAAGATGCAAAACAATGAGAATGAAATTGAAAATACATGAAATCATCAATACCTGTCATACACAAATATTGCAACGTCACATGGTGCCAAGGAGTCGTTGATAGAGAGCAGTGTTTTCACTTCATCTTCTGGTATCTCTCGCATGATCAATGTCTTCTTCTCTCCCTTCATAAGAAATCAGAAATATGAATAACAACAAGAACCATACTTCACACGCCAGAAAACAAAGTAATTATCAAAAAAGAACATCCAAGAGAAAGATAAATTTATTCTTCATGCATCATTCTCCTAAGAAAAATACTAATTCAATCGAAGCAACAAAAAAGCAATCGAATGCCAATAAGGCATAACTACTTTAAATGACATTTTTCCTACTTACAATGAAAGCCACGCTTTTAGTTGACAGGTTAAGGTCATCTAGTTAAATTTTGCTAAAATATATTTGCACTTCCCAGTTTGTACTTCTCAAGTCTCTATCTCTAGAGATTCTTTGAATTTACCTTTAAAATTTGAGAACCATTTAAATTAGATTCCTAAACTTTGTCTACCTCTCTGCTTAAAGAGTAGGACAAGTCTAGTAGAAGCTACCCAATCCAAAATTGATGGATCTTTGAAAAACTCAGCGTTTCTATGAAGACTTCAATTGAGCAAACTTCCGAATGATGTGGCTTCAGTTCACATCAAGCTGTTGCCACAGTTTGACCGACAAGTGTGGAGTAGCCAACAGAAAAAAATGTTTCTCCCTTTATGCAAGTCATAAACGTCACAAAAAGCATTTTTAATCATTTGAAACAAAACACTAGGAAAAGGGATACTTGAAAATAATCTTCCTTGGCAAACTATACCACCCAATCCCTTCTTCGTAGCCCCCTTTATTAACCATGATAGTACTTTCCAATGCACTGCAAACCTTTATTAATCCCTTCTTGTCAAAAAAACTAGGGTGGGTACAAACGTTGTAGTGGATTTATCTACCGGGCATTTCAGGAAATACAACAATGGCGGCAATAACAGAGACTTCCATCAATTTAGTGATCCCATTCACCGGACCATTTCCAAGACACCGACTTATAATAAAAATCAAGCAAAATTAAAGGCTCGAGAAAAATACTAATACCTTATCAACAAAAACTAATAACTAAAGCAAATCTTGCACAAAAATTTACCAAAAATATTCGCTATTTATTTTGAAAAACTATCGGAAGGGTAATTTCTTGTTAAGGTCTCAAAGGATGATGAGAGATTTCCATCAATTTAGTGATGCCATTCGCCGAACCATTTCCAAGACACCCACAAGGTGTCAAAAACGTTGCGGAAAGTTCATGCACATATTAAGTGTAATACGTCAAAAAAGATATTAGAGCATGTACATGTTGTTAGCCTCAAATGAAATTATTGCAGTGAAAAGGAAAAAGAGAATCAATTTTCAAGATTATATATTTTCAAATACATGTTTCCTACTCCATTTATACATAGCAAGCCCCTGCAAAGGTTACAACAAGCACATAAGTTACAACACTTACTTTGGGCAAGTCAATAAAATTTGACGCAAAACGCTGTTGAGTTGTAGGTGTATATTTATCTGAGAACGGCCTGTAGGTACCATTCGGCGAAAATCAAACGCTATATGGTTACTGACCAAGTAAATGTTAAACTCATCATGAAATCTAAAATAATAAAAGCAATGTGAAGGCATAACCATTCCAGAATATAATTTGAAAAATATTATCTCACCTTCCAATCAATGAATTTAACAACATAGACTTTCCACCACTTTTGGGACCAAATACAAAGCACTGGAAAGCACCTCTCTGTGAGTGTTGCTTTTTCTGATCTGTCCGTCTTCTTCTGTTTATGCAAAATGCAGTAGCAGGATCACCAGTGTATCCAACGTATATAAGGTTAGCAAGACTACTAACTGGATCGAGCAGCGTCATGAGAGCCCACTGCAGGAACAAATTTTTCTTAGATATCCAATTGTTTCCACAGAAAATTAATCAAAGTTACATAACAGCAAGACTACCTGAAAAAAAAAACTACGGAATTCACACAATACCATTACAATAAAAAATTATAAAATGGGAATAAATCCACAATCAGTGTTAGAATAGATGCCAATGTCAAATATACTGGGTAATTAAATACCTCAGATAGAAAACCTTCGAGTGACAATCCCCCCAGCACATTCTTTTCAGCAGCATCCTTACAGGGGCCCTCAGCCCAAGGGCTGTCATCACATGACAAATCATATAAAAAGCAAACAAAACTAAAAATCCGAACAAGAGATAGAGACTTCAGAAAGCATGTCATAACAGAACAACTGAAAAAAATAAAATCGTCTTGTGACCCATGGAAATACCCAAAAGCATGAAAAACATCTTGTATCGCAAGGTTATTGCTCGTACAACATTTGCAAACGAACAAGAATGACTGTCATTCCCGAGAAATAATTACAAAGAACTAGCTGTTTGGCACTCTCAACATAGCTATCATGAAGGATAGGTTGACAGAAAGATAAAAATCAGGATGATGATACACACAAAAAAGTATACGGTTCAGTAAAATATCAATACCATAAAAAGGACGTAGGGCATTTAATTAAATCTATTCATAATGTTTTCTGTAGTTTAAAGTGCAGCAACTGCTCGCCGAAATAGTTAAAGGAGGAATATAGAAATGGGAAACCAGGAAAAAGGAGGTAGGGCATTGAAAGGAAAATAGTGGAATCAAGAGAATGAGAGAAGATGTATGTCTTAAACTTGGTTTATTGATGCGGAGGAATTAAAAAGAATGCACATTGAACCATTGACGTCACTCAAGGATATGTTATCAAACAAAATGACGTGAGAAAAGATCATGGAGTTGGAAATTTTATGATACTTACTTTTCTGGTGCAGTTGAAAAAAGATCATCCAGTTCTGCAGGTGACAAAGCACCATCCTGAAATAAATTACATGCATGTAATTAGAATAAAACATAGAATGTCCTCTGATGTATAGATGTCTAGAGTGTTTGGCATAAATTTACCCAACTGAAAGTATTCCTCAATCTAAAATGAAATGGGGTGTCCAGATAGGTCTTGGGCGCAAACATTCAAAGCAAAGTGTCATATCCATAATAGAAGGGAGAAAGCAGCACGTACACTATCAATGTCAAACATGTAGAATATCCCTTTCAAAAACTCCACAGCCACATTTGTCAGCTCCACACTCTACATGAAAAAAATTATTACTAGAATCAAATCAGGATGAATTTCCATGGGTGACAATCATTCTTAATGCAAAACAAACACCATTAGGCCCGCAGATATATCTTTAAATAGCCACAGTAATAAAAAAGGCTGATTTACTCAGACATTAAAAGATATATGTGTCAAAGATATCAGATATATGATTCCCACCGGAAAAGTCCAAAACCAAAAGGTGAACAAAGATGTATGAAAAGATTCGATATACACCCAACGCCCTAAGCGATCAAAAAAATAAATTAGCTACGACTGCATGTCCATGAGCCATGACTTCTCTGCAGAGAGTCAATTTCCTTGATTTGTTCTTTATTTTTAGGAAAGATCAATGGATACTATCCTGTTTTAAGATAATCTTCATATCAGCCCAGTCACAGAAAAAGAAGGAGACAGTCGTAAAAGAAATTAAATAAGTTTCATTCACTGTACTACAATCAAACCATCCGGTAAATTATTTTACACTACTGTACCCCAATTTCACACGCAAGTACTCCGCACAAGATTATAAGTAGTAGAAGATAGGTAATTGCTACATTTTAGTTGTACCTCAACGAAAACTAGTCAGCAAATAATCATCTAAGTAACGTGTACCAGAAGTCCAATATTCCCGATATTAAAATAAGATGGCATCTAAAATCAGTTTCTTGTATGAGGCATTCGGATTGTATCCTTAATTCGGCAGCAATCTGAGAGACATAACGAGGAAAATAATTGAACCAATATACAATTTACAACCATACTCAATATTAATGTTTAAGCTTTTCCCTAAAGAGAACTAGCAGAGTCTATGCTTGACAGGATGGTGCAATAAACCTGCACTTCTCTTGAAAAATGGTGCAATAAGATCATCTGAAGATAATAGCATTTCCATTTTCAAGCTACAAATAACAATGAGCAGGAAATTCTCCAGGACATGGCCAATCATTTCACCATAGCTTATGAAGCCTGACTGGATAAGAAACTAAAGAAATGTAAAGATATATAATGTAGCAATCACTTGACAAAACCAAAATGAATACCTGATCAGGAGCCCGTTTAAAAGCAAGTGGAAGGAGATCATCCCTCAGTGTAATATCATTATCATACCCAAATTTTCTCAGAACTGTCCATGTTGTCTCTAGGCGCCCTTTCTCTATAAAAAGCGCATGTAGAAAAAGAAATCCAGTTAAGGTTAGACCACGATCATTTACTCCCTCAGGCATTTTCTCTTGCACGACTTTCTTGACGCCCACTACTTCATCAGGCTGAAGGGGGGCATTGAAACATCTAACCTGCACAACAGTGTTGCAACACAAACGCAGTTTAGTATATCCATACACTTATGACCCTTTTGAACATTCAAGCATGACTGCAATTAAGATATAGCAAAGAATAAAATGAATTAAAAGAGTGGACGAAACTGCACCTGAAACTCGTTTAATTCCGCATCACTAAGAGCTCCATCTCTGTCAAGATCACAAAGAATAAATATCCTTTTCAAAGCTCTAATACATCGTGGTTTCAAGGACTGAGTTTCTTGATCAAATAATGGGGCAGTTGGGTGCAGAACTGCCTTCTGAGCATAATAAAAAACCTCTGGTACCTAAAAACAGCATAAAGTCAGGTTTACTTCCAATTAATGAGATAATAAAAATAGAAACCTAACAGAGCAGAAAAGGAAAAAAACGATAAAAGATAACCTGTAAGGAATAGGGACAAAAGGAATACTAACATATGTTCAAAATTCCCATTAAATGGAACTACTTCTTACTACAGAATTAGCTAAGAGACTTGATCAATCCAAACAGACATCAAGGAATTCTTGGAAAACTGGTTTGAGCAGTATCAGTCAAACGAACTCGAATCCAATCAGCAAGACTTCTCCCAAAGGTATGGAAAAAAGGACATTTGTGAACCCAAAAACTAGATGGATCTAAAAGGTCTTCATAATATAAAGTAAACAGTAGAGTATGGATGAATGCAGATCGATTCTCTATTAAATTACGTCTGTTCATCGGGATCTGCTCCTAACCGACGGCCAAAGAGTAAAAGTTTCAGCGGTCTACGAATTGTATTTCACCGTTTTGGTAGTATCATTCTTCCTTCAGATTCCACTATTTTCCATAAATTACTAAGAATTGTGAAGAAGCGACCACTGCTTCCAGCCCTGAATTGGTTACCCCAGTATCACTCATTCAGGTTTTCAGAAGAAACATGTGAAGCAACTCCACCATATGTGAAGGTTTACGAAGTATATGTGATTATGAAAAGGTCGCGTTTTTAGCTTCAGATTGAAATAGCACAACCAATCTGTATCAGCAAGTTTCTCAGAACACCCCCCCACACCCCCCCTCGACCCCACACCTCAACCACTATTGTCATGAATACTTTTATTCAACCGAAAATTTTATCCAATGTTTTCTACGTACATCTATCTTGTAGACACATTTATTTACATTCTATTCCATACATTGAACTATTATACACCTTGGCAGAGGAAACTAGAGAGCAAAACAACACACCTGGATTTGCTTCAGAGCCGAGCACTCAACACATGTTTCAATCTCCCGGAAATTCTGCATAATGGGGGACATCAATTGTTCCAGGCTGAACTGCAACTCATCACGAAGATCAAGCTTACACCCAACCAGAATCACTGGAACTTTTATCTGCAAAATGACACAAGCAGTGAACACATCGACGACACGTTGTTAAAAAGTATAGCGGCAATAAGGCCTCCAACAAAAATTAAACACGTAGGTACATCTAAGCGACGGAGCTCCGGAAGCCAGTAGCTGCTAAGCCTCTCGAGTGTAGACGGGCGGTCGCAGGCGTACGTCAGCACAATGGCGTCCGCCTGCTGGCATTCCGCGACAAGCCTCGCTCGATGTTCCTCCCTACCAGCACAAAGGGAATCCACAATTTCCATCCAGAAACAATCAGAAAAACGACCCCCAATTTCAGGTACAAAAGGGAGCCGGCACCGGAACAGGGAGACCTGGAGGACGTGTCGATGATGGTGATCGGAACGCGATCGGGATAGTAGTCCGCGGGGAGGCGGGTAGGTGGCATGACCTCCGGGACGTTCTCCGGGAAGCACTCAGTGGCGACGGACACGATGAGGCTGGACTTGCCGGCGTTCTCATCGCCGATCACCACGACTCGGACGTTGCTCCGGCCGACGAACTCCTTGCTCGCCGCCATGGCACAGGAAGCAGCACGCGATCGGAGGAGAAAGAAAGGAGAAGAAGAAGGGGGAGCCGGGGGAGGACTCGTTCTTACGGAAACCCTACCAGCTGTGGCGGGTGCGCCGGAGAAGGAAGATTTGACCGTAAGTGGGGTCCACCGCTCTTCCCATATTCTTAAATAATTTATATTCCACCCATTTTTTAATTTTAATCAGTATAAATGAATAAATAGGCCCACAAAATTGTATTCCTTTTATTAGCAAGTAAACAGAATGATATTTATTAAAAAGTATTTTTTTCGTTTATTATTAAGAAAACAAAATGCCGCTTTTTGTGATATGGAAAGATCATCACCCCCCCTCCCGCGATACAAGACGACACCATGTAGACAATTTACACTTTCCAAGGGTTTTTTTTCCCCCCACATCCTCTTTTCTATTATTTTTGAATTTATGCTGGAAAAAATACTAAAATAAGTTGGAGCTAGCCATATCTGACCTATATATTTCCTAGGTTTTTGCTAAATATGGGCTGTGAAGCACCTTTATTTTTATGGAAAATACGAGGAGTTAACAAATCTCATTCCTTCTGAATCATGCTCCCGTGTTAAAATAAAGTTATATGATAATATATAAGGTTCGATAAAATGTAGCATCGCAATTATAAGTTTTTGAGGGGCCTAGACTCTAATGGGGCGGGGGTAGGGTGTTATTCTAGTTTTGTTATAGATTAGCCCAGTAAAGTCTAGCTTACGTATAACTTGAAAGCAGAAGAGCGGGGGATGAGACTCCGGAGACGTGGCCGACGATCCATCCGTTGAAAATACTACGTCTCTGATTTAATTAAAAGGATTATAAAATCGTAGGATCAGAGAGTTCTTAAATACGAAAGCCTGACGCTCCCATGGCGTCACCTGAGAAACGATGGAGGTCTGAGAGGCGGTGGCGTGAGAGGCGGTAGCGAGGAGATCCCCGATTTCTGGGGTGGAAGGGCTCGATCACCGCCTTCACAGGAGCTGCTGCCGCCCGTTGACATCCTCCTCGACGTTAGCAGTTCTCCGATCGGCAAATCATGGATCAGGCGCCGGCCGATCAGCCTGAGAAGGTGAAATCTGATGGCGAACGGGGCTTCTCCGGCCCACCTCTCTACCCAAAGCTGGATCCCCAAGACTTGGAGGTGCCTCCCATCTCCGCGGCGCCGCCCGACGCGTCAGACGCTGCACGCGATTCGGCTAGTTCCGCAGCGGCGGAAGCCCCAGGTCGACAGGACGCTCCCAACGCCTACGTTATCTCATCCCCCGTCCCCACGTCGTCGTCAAAGCGTGAGTTGATGCATAGCTGCTTTTGGTTTGTGTTTTACATTTCCTTCTGCGACTGTTTTCTTCAATGGATGCCTCTTCATGTGGTCTGCTCCGAGGATGAAGACCAGGGTAACTTTCTGATTGCCAGTCGATGATTCTCAATTTTTCTTTCCCTTTGGCATTTGATGGTTAGGTACGATGGATTCAGTGCGCGACGTTCTTGGGAGTTTCGGGAAGAAGGTTGTAGAAGCTACGAAACAGGCAGAAGATTTGGCGGGAAACGTGTGGCAGCACTGTAAGATCTCAAGACGTTTATTGGCATTTCTTTTTCAAGTCATCTTATGGTTCTCTTCTTTCTGACTCCAATAATCTCTCGGTATCGATGGTAGTGCAATGCTCCTTCCAGTGATGCTTCCTATTATTGATTTCTCTTATATCTGGGGAATAACAAAATGAAAAGTATGTGTGGGCAGCGCTGGTCGCTAACGGTGGTGGGAGATTTTGTAATTGGAAGGAAGAAAGGGAGTTGTCTGCGCGGGATCGGAGATTCTCGACATTGCCTACATAATAATTGAAAGGAGTGACATTCATTTTTGTACTTTTTTTATGAATGGAACTTTCGGATATGTAATGATCAGAAAAATGTTCGAGGTAGTGAACAAAGGAATGGATATGATGAATGGCTGATACAGATGAGCTCTTGGTCAGGTCAATAAACTAAGCATTGGTAGTATAGATAATAGAAATTTCCCATTGTCTTGCTGCACACTTCAGAGAGTAATTGAAATTCAAATTCTTATTGGCCTTGCTACATTGGAAGCTCATTCTGCGTTTGCAACCATGCAGCAAGCAGGAGCTACAAGCTTCTCATGTAGTGCTTGATCAGTGCATTCCTTTACACTGTTTCTAAATAATCATTTGTTCTATCTTGTAAGTAGATCATGAGCACCTCTGTAATTTCCTTTTTTTCTGAGCTTAACCTCTGATTAGTACAGGGTAGAATATGAAGAAAGAGAGGGTAATGAAACAATGTTCTGAAGCTAGATTTTTGGAAAAGATGCCAAATAGTTAAATTATTTTATCACATGACTGGTTTTGCCGTATGAATTTAGAAGCTTATTTTCTGGTATCTGGTAATGTTAATTACAGTGAGTTTCTTCTGAGTTGGAATTCAACGTTGATTCACAGTTTGCTATTAGCCTGAGTTCGTGAAGGGTTGTTCAGCCCATTTAGATCATCTTTATGTAATGAGTCCAATTGAGAATTAATTGGTAATACAATTTAGGCAGCTTTGTGGTTGTAAAGAGTAATAAGAAGTCTCTTCAGACTATTTCAGAAGGTATTTGGTACCTTTATCATAATTGACCTCGCGGTGAAGGCATATCAGGCATACGCTTATGTCTATTGTGGATCCTAGTCCAAGTGCGCAAATAATGTTCCTAACGTAGTCTTTGGAGGTATAGATGCAAACAACTGAGATTTTAATTGATTGCCTTTCGGGAAAAGACACTTTTCATATTCACTGTCTTGGGAAATAGTCTACTGTTCTTTTCAAATCGCTAGATTCGGTTTTAGTTTTAGTTATCATATTCGGGTGGAAATGCATCCCCTGATTTTCTGCTGAACTCGAATCTTTACAATGCTTCTCCTATCTTTCGCCCTTCTTTCAGTTTCTCTATATTTTTTGAGTTACCTTTGCTTTTCTAGTTCGTTTCGATCATCTTTTGCTTTGGGTGCAGTATCGTTGTCACACATACCATGAGACTGATACTTAAAATCATCTTTGCATCTGTACTCTTTCTGTATGTCCAGCATTCATTTTTTTTTCCTTTACATTCATCCAACTGTGAACGTGAAAATGCTGAAGTGCTTCCATTATATCTATGAATCGATAATGCTCATTCTCTTCCTTTTCCAGTAAAAACGGGACCCAGCATTGCCGATGCTGCAATGGGAAGAATTGCTCAGGGTACCAAAGTTCTAGCAGAAGGTGGCTATGAGAAAATTTTCAGACAGACTTTTGAGACTCTTCCAGAGGAACAACTTAAAAATTCTTATGCTTGCTATTTGTCCACTTCTGCTGGACCTGTCATGGGAATTTTGTACCTCTCTTCAGCAAAACTTGCGTTTTGCAGTGACACTCCTCTCTCATACAAAGTTGAGGATAAGACTGAATGGAGCTATTATAAGGTAAATGTATTTCTTTCTCTTGTTTTATGTCTGTTTTGCAATGACCTGGCGATTCAATTTTGTAAACTAATTGAGACCGAAATTGGCAAAGGAGAGACAACCAGAGAGGAATAACCAATCAATGAAAGAACGTGAAATCGTTATTTTTCAATAGAAGTACGGGAAAGGGTTGGGGGCAATGAACTAGGTGAAATGGTTAGATTTTGCGAGCCGTTCCAACCACAATTTGATATGATTCCAGCAGCCGAAAGAGAATGAATACTGTTTTGGCATTGTTGTTCATCCCATTTGATTTTTTCTGTAGACTGGTTTTAACATGGCAATCACCAGACAATGGAGTAAAAGTTATTAGTTTCTTATTTATGCTTTCACGTTGGCTTTGACAAATTTGCATGAATATAGCGATGAATAACATTTATCTCCCATTTTTCTAGGACAAGCGAAAATTATTCTTAGTCAAGGTTTGTGCATTGGGGATAAAGTGTGTTGGGTATTTTCTTTCTAAGATTTAACGTTTCCTTGATTTCTGGCTGAATCTCTAAGTTTTTATTTTTTCCTAAAATAAAAGGTGAATTTTTGCCCTTCTTTGGAGGCTGATAGAGGACATCACCTTTTTATGCACATTGACCGATTGAGTGACCTACAGCCGTATGAATTCCTGTTTTAACTTCCATATTGAATATATTCACACATTTAATATAGGAGATTTATGTTGTGACATCAATTTCAAATGATCTACTTGCTTTTTTGTGAAGTTCGCATGGCTATGATGTTTTTTTTGATATATTGAGATGACTCAGTTTATTTTTAGTCAGTTCAGAGCCTGTTTTAGATTCACAGGAGTCCGAAATGTGTGGATTGATCGTTAAAGGCATGTTTCTGCTCTCATTAAATGAGAGGAGGGCGTTGCAAACACAATTGACCTTGATTACCCTTGTAAGACTGAGAGGGGATAGTATACATCCACCTGCTGAAGCATGCGCGGTTTTCGAGGTCATGTAAGAAAAAGATCTTTGTTGTCATATGGTAGGAATTAGTTGTGCTGTTGCAGCGACTAGTATCTGTATTCAGAGAAACGATGCTGCCAGGTCAACTTTTTTGTTCCCACATACATCTAGATCTACGTTGATGGTCTCTCATGATAGAAAAAAAAACCTTCTCTTTGTTTAAAGAGAGGAACAGGAACCTTCAGATAATATCTGAGAAGTACATTAATTAATCCTGTTAATGGATTGTAAAGGCACGTCTTACCAATTATTCACGGGAACAAAGTATTTATCTCATTAGCTATAGATTATCCCCATGTCTATCACGTTTAATGATGCATTTCTGAGTGGGAGGATAGTTGGACGTGCTTCACCGAAATAGAGCCATGGCTAGACAGTACACATGATACTTATTGGGTAAATTCGGTTTATTGCCTCAATAAATAATGTTTGAAGATGAAGATAAACAAACGCCAGAGAAGTATGTTTGCCTTGATGTTGTTTATCATGAGATTTATTTCCATCCCAGAAGTGCAGCTCTTTGTGTCCTGACCATATGTTTTTTGTTATGATGTATATCCTTTGTTGTGGATACCAGCCTTTGTCTACGGGTCATACTCTGTTGCTATCCTATCCTTGTTGAGTGCTCATTAATTGATCAACAATTTAATTGCCAAGTTTCATTAGTTTCTGTATCCTTATGTCTTTCGATCTGACCACTCAATATTTCGATGTGCCCACTCCAATCAAAAACAAATCAAGGGAAGAGAGTGTCTTGGTGGATTGTTTGGTTTTTATTTTTGGCTCCTGGGCACCCATGCCTCTTTGTTTCGGTCAACTATGGTTCTGTTCGTAGATAGGCCCTCTGGTTTTTGCTTTCTTGTGTTGTCCTGTTACGCATCTTGTATTTGTTGACAGGTAAGAGGGTTCCCTCGAGAAATGAAATCTTGCAATCATATCCACCTATTCACAGTCAGTTGGAAGAGCCTGTTATCCTGGTCCAGTTCAGTGTGTACTGGAACGTTGGTGCACACTATCTGCCTTCGCAAAGCTGATCATCCCTTGGACACACCGTGTTCATGGGTTATTCCACGGGTGTCATAAGCACAAACTTTTCGCATATTTTGTAATGGTGGAGCGATTTCCTTCGTCATATCTGCTATCTTCCCTTTTCCCTTTTCGATGAAGCATCATCCCGTTTGTTTGTATCAATGTTTGCCGAGACTTGGTGTAGTGATGGAAGTTGAAAAGTCAAAAACTAAGTTGAACAAGATTCATTGAAACCAATGAATATAATGATCAAGCCTCATCCGAACAGCTTAGGATTGACTTGAAGCCTGGGAACAGCTTAGGATTGTCTACCGAAGGCCACCTATCATTTGTCACAGTGGGAGGCTTTAGTGGAAAATAGTTAACTTAGTGGGAGAATCCTCCAGTCAAGTATTGCACCTTCTCACATCGATCCATGGTTGACTTTGGACTCGATTGCCCGATATGGAAGGATAAATGTGATCTTTTCTTTTGGCTCTTAGCCTAATGCCGACCTCTCACCTTGCGCAATGCTGTTAGATTTTAAATTCCCAGGTGATGATAGTCGCATGGAAGTAAATGTCGCACAATGTGGACATTTGTGACGACGAAGAACGAAAATCATGTGATATATTGATGAATTATTCCTTTTCTTGGTTCATCGCACTTCCAACATGCTGATTCGATTCCTCACCCGCGACCCCTCAACAGGTGGTGATCCCTTTGCATCAGCTGAGACAAGTCAACCCTTCAAGAAGCAAAGTGAATCCTGCTGAAAAGTACATACAGATAATATCCGTCGACAACCATGAGTTCTGGTTCATGGGTTTTGTGAACTATGACGGCGCCATCAAGACTCTGCAAGAGGCCCTCAGCAGCTTCCAGGCCCCATAGCGGTACGTCTGGTGTCAGTCGTCTCCTTTCCAGGATATCCTCTCCAGTGTTCATGCTACCGAATAATGTATAAATGGGCGTTCTGCGGATCGAATGATTTGAAAGGAATTGCTTTCTTTTAATGAAATTGTCGTCTGTTCATGCTATCAGAAGAATATGTTTGTTCTCTGTTCGTTTTTCTCTGCCCCAATCCTATGCGACGAGGTGTTGACCTCTGTTGGAATAGTCTCTTCTTTGCCACCAGAAATATTTACTGACTTAATTCTCTTATCGCTATTTTCTTTTTCTTCTTTTTGAGTTTTATGATTGAATAAAATTAGCGTGTAATACTGCCAACCGCTGTTCCGCGTACCTCATTTTTTTTTTTCCCCCGCTTGACAAAAATTCAAAAAATCGGCTGAGGTTCCGTCGGGCCCTATTTATTTCTTTATTTATTTATTTATTTATGGTTGACTTTCCTGTGAAATATCTCCGTGAACATTCATGTTTCTCCTTGTTATTCTTATGGATATTTTGGAATCGATTTTGAGTATTTTGCTCTGTTCTGCGGACGAGCAACCTGTGAAGAAGTAAGATGCGTACCCCCCTCGTAGGCACTTAGAAACCACTTTCAGATTATCCCGCTTATCGATTCGACGGAGATCGATAGCCAAGGAAGGAAAGAAGCGCATTTTTTTTTTGTTTTTTGTCGATCGAGGAGGAGCTTCGAATTTCTCTGGTCAGAGGTTCTGGGTGTTCGGTTCTTCCCACTATGAGATCCTGATCATTTCCTAGACCCACTCTTGATCTTCCTTCCTCCCACTCGCCATATTTATTCCCCACGGTCTACTTGTGGGCTCCAGGAACCACGTGAAAGAGCCTCGAGTGGGTTCGTCACGCTTCCTCTGCAACTCAGGCACAAAGAAAGAGAAGAGAGAGAGAGAGAGAGAGAGAGAGAGAGAGAGAGAGAGAGAGAGAGAGAAGCAGCAGCAGCAGAGAGGCGTGTAGAGAGAGAGAAAGAGTAAATTAGTCCGGGAGAGAAGGATTCACATTAACTGGAGCAGGGTGGTCCCGTTGGGCTCTCCCGCGTAGTAGTACTAATATTAGTAGTAGTAGCAGCAGCAGGAGTCACGGAATCGGCGTGAAGGGACCTCCTGACGTGGGGGAGACCTCCCAGTAATGAATGAGACTGGGTCAGAATAACGGACCACCGATCGATCCCCCTCCGCTGGCGTCGCCATTTCTTCAGCCACAGCAGTAACATTCCCTTCCGCCGTACATTCGCCGCCGGCGATCAGTCGGCACGCCGCCCAACGCAACCGCCTCTTCGTCTTCGTCTTCCTCTTCCTCTTCGAGAAGAATTCCTGTTTCCGATTGCCTTCCGCCTTCGTCTTGTTTTAAGGGCTCTCTGCTCCTTTTTCTTCGCCCGGCTGCCCCGCTTGAAAGCTGGAGAAAAGCGAGCTTTTTCCTACACAGAGCGAGGGGACTCGGGGGAGGCGCTATAAATAAGTAAATTACCACGAGGGCGATGATTTGCTTTCTCGGTCTCTGTGAGGGTGGAATGTTCCGTGTGGTGCGGCAGACTGATTCCGCAGAGAACAAGGAGGTGGAGGATGGCAGGTGCCGGAACACGGCCGGCCGCCGCTTCAGGAAAGGATCGGGAACCACTTGTACCTGCCCTCCATCGGCACGTCCTTCACCACGTCGTAGTTGTACCTGCCGCCATTGGTCGAACGACGAGGAGGGGGAGGGAGGAAGAATAAGGGTCAACCAACCAAGAGCCAACTTCGAAGACGGGGGGTGGTTGCAGAGATATATGACGGAGGCTACTTACTTGTCGGCAAAGCGCTTCCGCTCCTGCCTCTCCGCTACGAGGAAGAACTCCTCCATCTCGGTCTCCGATGGCGGCAGTGGGGAGCTCGGGAGAGACTCCCCAAACGGCCTTGTCGATGCCCGGGGGGATGGCTTGCCCCATTCCGTGGGTCTCGCCGAAGATTCCGTTTCTTCTGACGACGACATGGACGTTTTCTCCTTCCATCTGCTCCAAAAGTAGGGCCATATGCATGATTGCGAGGCTTCTTTTGGCGAAAAATATCAAATCGTAAGAAAGAATAGGTGGGGTAGAAGGGGTGAAAAGCACGGAGATCGGCGCCCTACTGACCTCGGAAATTTCAGTTGTACGACAGAGTTTTCAGGATGGCGGAAATTTAACACCAAACTTCGAAAGACGGTACAAGAAAGGACGATAGTAAAACAAATCACGTTACCTCTCGAGCTCCCCATCGTAATCACAACCGGCTGTGGCGGTGGCGGTGGCGGTGGCGGTGGCGGTGGCGGTGGCGGTGGCGGTGGCGGTGGCGGCGGCGTCCCCGTCCTGCCAACGTCGAATAAACGAAATTCTAAGAAACGAGGATAACAATGCAGACAGACAGACGAAGAAACAGGCAGAGGCTCCGTCGTCATCCTCTCCACACAACACGCTACACGCTACACAACGCTGTGTACGTAGATAAAGTTCCGTTTCCACAGTCACCTCCGACGCGAGACAACCAGATCTGGTTCTCCCATTCTTGCGCTCCGCCGCAGCTACAACCGATTCGCAGGACGCATTGCTCGAGCAGTCGGAGACGCAGCCACCACAGTCAGCGCCACCACCGCCTAGACAAAACCCCCCCGCCACTGAATTTCCGCCACCAGTTGCCAGTCTAGATGCAGCTGCCGCAGCACCATCCGCCACCATCCCCCTCTTGCCAGCAGCTCTGTTCTTCCTCCCAAGCGTCTCAGAGAGCCTGTGGCTGCGCAATTGGAGGCAGGAGATCTGCAATCCGCCGGCCCCGGCTTTCCTCCCCATCGAACCGGCGGCGGCGCCCGCCTTCTCCGCCGCCAGAGCCAGCACCCTCGCTCTCGTCTGGACTCCGACGACCTGTTGGATCTCCATGATCGTCGCCTTCCTGATCCCTCTCCTGTGCCTTCCCATCGCCGCCGCCGCCTTCCCCACCTCCTTACTGTTCAACCCCCCCCCCCTACCACCCCCTAATTCCCTCTCTCCCTCTCTTTTATTTCTCCCGATTTAATTATTATTTAGAATCCGCCGCATGGCCGAGGCAGATCGGGCCCACAATTTCGGATACGTCACTGTGAGAAATCGGATCCAATGCGGGCTGCGGGTCCGATGAGCGCCTCTCTCCTCGGACTGTGTGACGCCGCTCTTCGCCGACAACTCCTTGGGAAGGGAATCTTCCTTCACACGTGCCAATTAAGCAGGTGCCACAGGAGTGGAGACACGTCATCGGAACAGGGACCTTTTTCTAAGGAACTTTGCCGACGGGGTTGGAATGGTAAATACGGGAGGATGCACCGACAAACTGAGCGCGGGAAATCCGGGCCCGGTCGGTGTCAGCGAGAGCAGGGACAATTTTCTAAGACGCCCAAGTTTCTCATTTTAATCATTTCAGCATAACCCGATAAAATAAAAAATAATACATATACCTCGTGTCGATGGGTGAAAAATAATAAGCGAGACTCTCGACTTGTCGTCTCTTAACTTGCGGACAAGAAAGAAAATCATGGAAAAAGTAAACAGAAAGGCTTTTATGTGATATGTCTATTTTTCCAGGAATTAAAATCAAAAAGGTCCAAGAAAAAATAGACTACGCTAATTGTCACCAATCATTGCCCAATACCGTCTGCCTCCCCGCCTCTCTCTCTCTCTCTCTCTCCTCCCTCTCTACTACCTCTATTCTCTATTCTTTATTCTCTCTCTTCTCTTTACTGCATATCGTGTGAGGAAAGTAGGGGGCATGAGAGATCATTCGTATGATCACATGCCGCGCAAGGCCACCATGAATGCTGGGTCCTTCTTCCCCCGGGGGCCACACCGGCGGGAAGGGCCGACAGAGGACGGCGAGTTCCACGGGCGGCGTGTGAGCGGACTGAAGGCGGCGCCGAATGCAGCTATGGGGCTACATGACTCTGCCCCTCCAATTGTACTGACTAGCGGCGTTTCCGGGAGGAGCCGGAAGTGGGTCTGTTATATTAGAGCATTCTTTTTGTTGGCACTATATTTGATGCATTCAGTGAACTGATTTTGATAGCTATGAAATCAAGCGCAGTATTCTATAAATTTATATTAATATGTTGGAAGATTCTGACAAAAAAAAAAAACCAAGTGCCGGTTTGATGATTAGTTAGGATTGTGCAGGTTAACCCGACTTCAACTCTGAATTAAAATGCCCTCATGTAATATCTCATAAATGAATAAAGTCTCAAGTAAATATTAAACCTATGCTACCACCCGAAATCATGTTTAGTCTAATATTTTGGTGATGTTAGAAGGTATGAGCATACATTGATGATAACTTTTGTCGTGCACAAAAATATAATTCACTAGCAAGAAGTAAGGAAATTTGTGACTTAAGAAAGGTTACATCTATAAAGACAAAGAGAAAACTGTTGAAATATAGATTCATGGTTATGAAGGCATGTGTAAAATTCTCGACTTTGAATATGAAAGAAAGGAACATTATATTATATCAATAAACATGTTTGAATTCTTTTGTCTTTAGTGGTTCTCCAACATCAGTCGTAAGTATAATAACATGTCTTTATTGTTTGAAGTCTTTGATTATTATTTCTTTCTTTTGAGGACAAAATGAATAACATGACACAATGTTGACATTGATTTTTGAGAGAACCATGGTAACCGATTGTTTTTCGAGACAATGATTAATTGATCCATTGGAATTTGATGAATATGAAGTAGACAATGTTGTCTCTGAATTTTTATGTTCCTATTATCAACATTAATATAACCTAATTTACGTGCCCTCATAACTTAAATGATTCATCATGCACTCACGCACAATACTCAATAAAATTATAAAAATATACTTAGAAAACATATAAAATAAGAAGGCCAATAGGATTAGTGAACTTATAGTCGGCATATTGTTCAATTTATTTTATGTTAAAAAGTAAGTTATAATCTAGTAGATCTAGAAAAAATGTCATTTATATGTACTACTAAACTACTAAAGCTATGTAGGGGTGACACAACCAAAAATCAATTCATTTCCTTCTATTAAGATGACACCATCTTGAGGTTCTGAGGGTTCTTTCTACACATTCTGATTGCATCTTAATTCTTGATGGTGTATGAGAACAATCAAATCATGCATTCAAAGTCTATGTCTAGTTAAATCAGATGATGTATTCATTCTTGATTATTTACTAGTTGTATAACATGGCAGTATCTCTAAGCTAATTTTCTCATATAAACATTTTTTCTCAATACCAGTCAATTGAATGTATCTCAAAGTGGTATACCTGTCATAGTGAAGAACTTTTTAAACCCTTAATGTATTTAGGGTATAAAATGCATCTCAATAATGCCTAATGGGTGATCAGTAATGTTTATATGGCCTAAAGAGAGTAGATGCTGACTAGAGTTCTATGAATTATGTCTCACACATATTACTGTTGAGATGATATTCTTTAAGTTGGATAACCTCATGCCTTAGCACAAGCAAGAACACTAACTTATCCTCTCTATGATATGACACGACCTCTATTGCTAGGTTCCGTACGTGACGCTTCTTTGAGTGTGCGTTAGTATACTTTCTCCTTTGGTACATGTCTACCTTGTCTATGGTTTAAAGAGGAAAGCTTGCTCGCGATGTTGCATGGATACATGTGTGTGTGTGTGCGCGAGAGAGAGAGAGATGTGTGTGTGTGTGTGTGAGAGAGAGAGAGAGCACATCTTATTAATCTTGGGGGCTGAAATTGACGACGTAGCCATCTTATTTTCTCAACTTTATTTACACATACGAGTTATTTCACGCGTATATTTGTACGTTTTCGCGTGACATATCATGATAGGTACGAACTAGACGGGACTAGTAGGCGCAGCGGGTCCCCCAAAACTCACGCCGACAGCTGCCCCGGTACCGCTTAGCTGACGGATCGCAAACGCCACCGGTATGCCGAGAGGCGGTGGAGGCGGCCATAGCAAGGCAACCCCTACGCCCTTCTCCAAGGATTCTCCGAGGAGACAGAGCTTGGCAGAATCAAGCCAGCAGTTTTCGTAGGAAGACAGATTGCCCAATGGAAGGGGGGCGTAGGCATGTAGATGGAGAACCCGGAAGCTTGAAGGCGGGCACACCTCGAGAGCCTTCGTCGTCTTCACTACCGATCCAGCTTAGAAGCCCTTCCCTGACGATGCAGCTGCGTGTCTCCCTGTTGGAAACGTTCTACGGCTGGGAAGCCACGGCGAAGCGACCCTACAGCCCTTGAGAAAAAGACAAAGCTGGGCTGTCCCGTCGTCTCCTGGCTCCGATACTCCGAGTTCACGTGCAACGGATTGGAATGCTTGCATGTGGAGACGACGAAGACATACAAGGATCTGACAGTAGCTCTCATTTTTGTCCTGTGGAAGCGTGTAAAAGTGGGATCTTTCCAATAGCCAGAAAGTTACACGTGGTCCAATGCATCCAGTGGGTTAATAGTGATGGCATACAGGCGGCAATTTCGCTCCTGTTCGGAACCCGATCATAGTTTTGAGTGAGGGATGAAATATGAGCAACAATCCCCATCGTCTCTCTTACTAGGCCAGTGAACTTTTTCACAGGAAAGTAATGCCTCATTGCCGTCATGGAGAATAGAGGAGAGACGACAAGTGCAATGAAGCTTGGCTCTTTCCACATTCTTTCCAAAGGATATAACCAAGCCATAGATCCCGAATGGAGGGATGCAACTGGTGACCTCTTAACTTCTGTAAATTGCCCACTTTAGGTATAATAAATGAGGATACCCAAGTTTTTGAGTTGAAAGAAGGATAACAAAAACTAATATTTCTTTCTTGTATTAGAATAATTCCGAATACAATGATTCCTTTATTCACGTGCTATATGCTTTTGTGGAAAAAATAGGTATCGCCATTTTTCTCATTTATATCATATGAGAAGCTAGAAAATTTCAAGACTTCACATGGAAAAGGTTTTGAAAATGTTTAATAATTAAACCCCAAGAATTAACCCTCTACCTATCTCTCTTTTTTGTATATCATTGTTCAAGTCTCATTTAGTTTGCACTTCATTTCCATGATATTTTAGGGACCTTTCTATAAACGTCTTGTAGTGGAGAGGCTATACTAGGTTTTGTTTCTACCCTATGATTCCTTGTTCGATTTACCCTCTACTGTATGATTTCCTTCTAAGGTGGTAGGGTGTCCTTCGCATTGGAGACCAACCTACTTTGTCTTCTTGCACAAGTGTAAGTGAAACCCATATCTAACCCAAGAAAATAAACATTAGTAAGCAATGCTGCAAACTTGTCATGGTCGTAATGTAATTGTTAACATATGCACGATGACACCTTTACTAAACCTAGTATAGCCTCTCCAATACAAGACATTGACTCTTAATTAGTCAATAAATAGCTCTCTGATAGACCCAATGACTTGAAATTCAAGTTTCGAGCTAAATTTTTTATTTCAATAGATTCTCTTAATTTATCATAATATTAAATAAAAAAAATCTGAGATACAAATAATAGCCTTTCTTGGAGCAACTTGTATGAGTAGTTTCAATAGAAGGAAAACACACATTTTTTTGTATAGTAGGGTATGGTTGCTTTCACAAAGGGTCTCATTTCTGTTATACTCAAAAACTCCTAGATGATAGTTTAGGTGATTGAAACAATGATAATGTGAAATAGTATGCAAGGAAATATTGAAAGGTTTCCACGTTATTAGATGCCAAGCACTCTTGGGTTACTGATGCATATGCATGCAAATATTTAGATGTCCTTTTTCTTGATCTTAAGCAAGAGAGTAGATATGAATCATTGCTACAAGGAGACCTCACCTAGGTTTCGTTGGTGCTGATCATTTATCATGTTTATCATTCTATTGGTTGGGGAATAGTCATTCTAGAAGGTCAAATAGTTATATAATAATGATTTTAACATCCCAAGTTAATAACTAGTCAATGAAATGTAAAAAAGAAAAGATGTAGAGTAATATTGATTTCAATGTTGATGCATGCTACGACAATAAAAGATGACACAATAGAAATAAATTCATGAATGATGAACAAACGTTGATAACTTATGATAAAGTTTGACTAATTAGGACCATTGTCAAGGTAGTGATAATCTAAAATGTATAAATTGACAATATATATCATGTAATTATAATTAGATATGTTAAATAACATCTTCATCAACTATTTAATATCAATGCTTTATAAGAAACTAAAAGTATCTAAAAACCTATAATATGTGAGACTTTTTCTTAGAGTAAAATATTTGAATGGAATGACATCAGGTTGTTTATATCACTAGATGGCCCATACTACTTTTCCTTACTTGATTCACAACGTTAAATGGACAAAGCACTCAACATCAAGGGTTGAAATATCCATATAACTTCATTAATCTATATATGCTCTTTGGATGAACGGAACTCCACTCTACACTACAGGCATGCCATTAGATGAATGAAACACTGACCAAGGAGGTGTTCACTGGCCTTCTAAAAGTATAGCTTTTAACTTTATGCTTCAAGCACACACAATACTTTTATCGAATGATAGAAAATAGCACAACGTACTTATAATAAGGTAAATAAAGTTAGTAGGTTTTTAATACTATTAATTTGCGTTCTTGTTTATGAAAGATTGAAAAAATGGTACATCATAATGTCTTGTTTCCATTCTTCAAAAAATGCATGTGGTACATCATAATGTTATTATCAAAGAATGCTTTTATAATGATATAATTTTTTTGTAAAACACAGCTGCCATTGAATATATTAGAATGCATCTGCCATCGTGGTGCCATATTTAATAAACACCATAATATGATTTCGATATCAACAATTGTCCCCAAATGATTGCCTACATACATATAGATGGCTACATAAAGATGTGCTACTAGCTTGTCTTGACAAGTAGTATTTTGCTCTTTCTTGATTCCTTTATGTAAGGTGAGCAACTACAAGAATTGATAACATTTTTCGAATCATGTAAGGAGGTGATGGTAACCATTCAATCTTGAAATTTTGTGAGGCTTCTACTTTCGATGGCTAATATTAAATATATCATGCCATTTAATTATAATAACATGATGATGGGCAACTGGTATTTTTCCTTATGTTTATTTTCTTGTGGTTAAAACATGATTGACTCTAAATGTTAGTGTCTACTTTTTAGATATTAAGTCAAGCCATAACTTTGTAAGTTCACAAAGTTTTTTCCATAAATCTAAAAAACATTGTAATAACAAGATTGCATGCATAGTTTTAACATGATTGAATATTAACTTTGTATGCATAGTCATATTGAAATACTTATGGCCCATGATAGCTTTCCAAATCTGACCAAGCATTCTCGGTTCAACTAGATAGGTACTTCCCAAGGTCTACAATGGAGAGTTGACTCTGGCAGCCATCTGAACTAAGGTTCGATGTGGTTTAATGCGGCTTGTCTTCTTTCAAGGCTGCTACATTAAATGCTCTTATTTAATGCGGAGAGAAGAAATAAGAAACGGTAAGCCAAAAGACCGATTATTATGGACTCAATGACCTATTTATGGGCTGAGTAGGCTACGAAGCAGAACGGTGCAAGCGGAAGAAAGAGAAATTGTTTGGCACATTTCTCGAAGTTCTTCCTAGCATGATTACCGAGGTGGCTATGAGGTGTCTATAAATAAAGGGTCAACTCTCCTCATTCGGAGTAACACAAAGCAACCCCCTTCTACCTTTGTTCCACCATAGAGAGAGAGTGTTTGGAAGAAAGCTTTCAAGAAAAATCTTTCGGGTTGGTGAGTGCATCAGAGGTCCAAGATCAAGGATTCGTTCTTTGGAATCATGGAAGGGTCAAGATAAGGGATTTGTTCTCTAAGTTCTTGAAGAGTGATTTTTTTATATTACTTTTCGCATCTAGTGGAACTTTCGTCGTCGCCCGTGGACGTAGAAGGCCAACATCTGAACTACGTAAAATCTTTGGGTCAGCACTCTTGCTTTGAGTTATTCTTTCTTCTACCTTACTTCGAGTCGTGAGCATCGCTTCCGCTAAGGTCTATATAGAACGTCTTAACAACTTGTCCATTTTCCTCATGTTATTTTCTTCCCTTTTCTTTCTGTTTTTTTCCTGTCCCGGCTACTACCCTCCGTATCTGTGTTATCACCTATCTTTCTCAAGTAGGACGAATTCTGCATTTCTTATGGTCGCGTTTGAGACTCTCACACTAGAAACTTGACACATGTGATTCAATACTCCGTAGAATTAATTCTACAGCATCCCATGGATCCTCATCTCGTCATCATCCTTATCACCGAGTCTTGAACCTTGACCCGTCGCAGCTTGTAGGAAGAGTAAATACCGTTGACAACTGCCTCTCTTGCGAGAGAGAGAAAGAAAGAGGGAGGGAGGGAGGGAGGGAAAGAGAGAGAGAGAGGAGGGACGGAGACAGAGAGGGAGGAGGGAGGGACAGAGTCAGAGAGGGAGGAGGGACAGGGAGAGAGGATGGAGGGACGGGGAGAGAGGAGGGGGGACAGAGAGAGAGGGAGGGAGGGAGGGAGGGAGAAAGAGAGAGAGAGAGAGGGAGGGAGAAAGAGAGAGAGAGAGAGAGAGAGAGAGAGAGGTAAGACACCGACGACATAACGAAGACATCGCGTGGATTGAACCCGCGAGGAATCTTCTCTCGTGGGTAAGCGAAGCGACGGTAACAGCCTGTCGAAGGGGGAGGCCCATGCAGGTAGTATGAATGCGGAAAGAAGAAGACACCCACCCCATGCATGTATGAATCTAACTGCACCAGAATCATCAGACTCCGGCGAAGGTCGCAAAATCTTCACACACCGTCCCGCAGACGTTCAATTCCAACCTAATCATCTAATTAGCAACAAAAGAATTTGGGTTTCCTTCACTAATACGTGACTTCCTGATGTGAATCCTCATAGTCAACGGGAATGGTCATTCCCGCGTCGCGTTGTTTGACCCGGAAAACCAGGCCTTGAAAGTTCCGTCCTCGAAGGCGGCTGGCTGCTGCCGCCGTCTTTTACGACCTCTCTGACTGCTTGGTGACGTACACCGCTGAACCGACGCCGATCATCAAACCTCCAGTCAACTCGGCGCGAGGAGGCTGTCGCACTTACGGAGGACGTCCAGATTATGAGATCTCTGATCAAAGACAAAGTTATATGTTTACAAATAATATGGCGATCAAGGATATGAATATATATATATATATATCTCCAACTAAAATGGGTCAAAGTCAAGCATCTCATTACCTTGGTGCCTAACTAACGTGCGGATTCGTTTGGGTAGGGGGATCCAAATAGTCAACAGTGTTCGTTCTTTCTTGCGTTGAAAAGCTGACCGAAAGAAGTAGGCTCTCTAATTATCGTAGATTATTCTTACTTTCTATTAGATAAGGATGGCAAAATAAACGTTATGGTATATTGTCTCTCTATGCCATCTATGAATATATTTTCACACGTAAAAACTATGATGTGGTAGAGTCTTAGATTACCCCTCTAGAGAGGGTTCCATCTTCATAAATGATCTTCACCCCATCATCTTTGATATCCTGCAGTGGATGATTACCTTGGATATCATGGGCGCTATCCCAGATAAATTTTGCTCATCTAGTAGGCATATACTCGATCAATCACACAGATTGCTGAGTAACATCTGCAAAGAAGAATTTCTAGTGTGCATTTAGAGTAATCATGGGAATCACATCATTATCATATATTTGCTTGCATTGGGACCATACCATTGTTAGATAGCTTAAGTAGACATATTTCTAGTGACGTATTATGATTTTTTCTCCACAATGGAAAGTATTTTTTTTTAGAATTCTAAATGGCCTTGTAGAAACTCTTCAGATCTCGTTGATTAACTATTTCTGAAAAAATAGCTGAATTGTAATGTAAAAAATCACGCTGAAATTTAATTATTTTAAAATATTAACGGACACAGTAAGCACGTTAGCATATTAGAAGCCTGGTTTTGTTGTTAAAAGTAGGTCCGATCCAAATACGAATATGGGGCTCATTGCCTCTTAACACGTGATAGGCTCATGTTCGTTCACGTGATCGTTGACCCCTGAGTAAACCCTTTTTTTACTCCTTTTTTGTGTTCGTTTATTTGCCCCTGACATTAAGCAAGCCAAGGATGACTTTTTCGCGGAGAGATCTTCCACTGCGCCGCCGGTGAGCTTTTAGTCTTCACCTCAGAACTCTGCAATGATCGCTGTGGGAACGGGAACTGGTCGGGGAGTTCAGAACCGCGAATCCCGACTGCCCAGGTGGCGGCGCCCCCCCCCCCCAACGGTAAATTTCGTCCTGGTCAGATTTCGCTGTCATCAGCTTGAGCGGTGAGCCAGTGGGTCAAAGTCGAAGGAGAGAGAAAGTGGAGAAGTCAGAGGAGGGATGATGATCCAGCGTCTCTGGCCTTCCAGCTCACGATCCCCATTTTCCTCTAGAGAAGAAAGAGGAACTGGGAAGAAGATGCTGTGAAGTGGTGGGGCTCAGTTCTGTTGTGGCCCGCGGCTTCTAGGTCCTATCCTCCTTCCTTGGTCCTCTTTTGGAACGCTTCCTCTGTCTTCGTCCTCTTCTCCTCCCCGTGCCGCCCTCGAGAGGTGGCCAGAGAATTCCCCACCTGCCTTCCTCTATCTCCCGTCGGCTCTCGGTCAGTGCGGCCCCCTTCTTTCTCTCTCTAGAACTCGCCAACGTCCTTGCTCTTCTTCTCTGTACCCAGCTCCTCCTCCTCCGATACCCGCTCAATTTTCTCTGGCGGCGACGGATCTCGGCCATCATGGCGCAGGTGATGCCGCCTGAGGCCGTTCAATCGGCGAAGAAGGGGCTCTGGGCAACCTACGTCGTCTTCGCTTTCTGCTGCGCCCTTGTTTTCGGCTTCTTCAAAGGTCCTCTCTCTCTCTCTCTCTCTTTCTGCCTCATATATCTATATATATAAATATACAGACTTTTATTTTTCCCTGGAGAAGATTCCGACGGTGTCCAACTGGGCTTCTCTTGTTCTTAGGCCTGCTGATCGGACCCATCGCGGCTCTCGTGCTGATAATCGGGAACGTCGGGGTGATTGTGGGATTGCTTCCTGCTCATGTCTACTGGACCGTCCTCACTCTCGTCAAGTACTCGCCTTCTTCCCTCTTCCTCCTGTCGCACCTTACACTTTCATCTCGCATTGCTCCGTAGATTTCGTCGACTGATTGAGGTCGAATTCCTGCGCCAAGCTGGGCTGCCGACCAGAACTCTAAACCTCTCGATTCCCCCTCGGATTATTTCAATCCTCACGAGCCCCTAAACCTCCCCACACAAAATGAACGCCGGAAATGACCAGAGGGAGTGCCCGGCATCAATCAACTCATAGTTGCCGCTGAAATCCAAGTTCGGACTGTATCATCTTCTCGACAAATCATATTAAACGAGACGTCATTTGGGTGTTCCCAGTTTTGAGGAATGTAATCGAAAAACGGATAGAGATGGGCGCTCCATGGGTGATGTCTCTTGGAAGGCATCTTCATCGGGGACTTCAGGAAAAAGCCCTTTTTTAAGTAACTTGTACTCAATGCAGGGCTTCTAATGCGTTCTTTCCTTTTATGGAATCATGCTGCAGGACCAACCTAGTCAGTGTGGCGCTTAAAGTAGTCCTCCTATTTACACTCCCCATCGTGTTTATGCTGTGGCTGGCTCTCGGCATTGTTGGGAGCGTCCTTGTGGGGCTCGGCTATGGGTTCGTCGCGCCATGGATGGCCACTTTTGATGCCTTCCGCCTCGAAGGGGAAAGAAATAAGTTTGTTCACTGCATCGTGGTAAGCCCAGTTCCAGTTTCATTGTCTTAGACGCTGATAGTGCACCCCCACCCCCCCTGAGATTCATAGTTTTATCTTTGAGATTCTTTCTTGTGATGAATCAAAACCAGGATGGAACTTGGGGAACCATCAAAGGGAGCTGCACAGTTACTCGTGATTTTGCTGATTTCTGCTACCACTCGGTTCCACTGTACATGAAGGAATTACGGGCGGCGACCGAGGTGCCCCAGCCTCATAAAATCAGGTTTGCCCCTCTCCTAAGCTTTTCTACCGCCTCCTTTTGGAGCTTTTTCATCATGTTTTTACCAACATCATAAGCAGCACATGCGTGATGCTCTAATTCGGAATAACGGCGACTGAGACATAAAATTAGAACTCTTAGTTGGGGTGATGGTCGTAGTCGTAGATCATTCCTCATGGCCCAGAGTATTCAGATAAAACCCAGAAAATATCTGAAACAAATGATTTGAAAATCTTCTTCTTTCCTCCGTCGTCGTAGTTAAATGGCCGCAGGAAGTGCGCCATATAGCATGAAATATCAGCAGAGGTTTTCTTCTTTCATCAGCCCTGCGGACGACACTTAACAGTAACACGGTAAGAACAGCTGATAATGGATTGGTTCGCATTATGTGGTTCGGTGACCGGAATTCTGATCCAGAAGGTGAATAGCCGGACCCTGGCTTCAACTGTGAAATCAGAGTATGCAGGGGGGAGAAGGGCCGTGAAAGGGCTCCATAAGACTCTCTCCATTCGGTTCCTGGACCAGATTCCAGTTAATGTGCCGAAGTCTGATTCTTGGATGATATCTGATCGATTGCTTTAATTTTTTGACTAGAATCACGGCCATCAGGCAGGTGTGTGATAATCTAATCAGCCCAAGGCCTCTGCAGCAGCTGAAATTCGGTTTTGTTGGCGATTGTTCGTAGGTTTGTCGACGTGCCTGCATGTATTCTGGTGGCCATTACGGGAGTCATCGTGGACCTGCCACTTTACACCATAATCGCCGTCGTGAAGAGCCCTTACATGCTCTTCAAGGGATGGCAGAGGCTGATGCACGACTTAATAAGTGGTGAAGGGCCCTTTCGCGAGACATCTTGTGTCCCCATCGCTGGTTTGGCCATCCTTTTTTGGCCTCTCGTCGTCGTCGCCTGTGTCGCGCTGGCTTTCCTGTCGGGCATCTTCTTCGGGCTCTACGGCGCAGTCATCGTGTACCAGGTGAGTGCAGAGGATCTTCTGTGACGACCCTTTGGTCGCCTTTTCAGAAGCAACAAAAATTTTCTTTCCATCCATCTTCTCTGGCTTCACACCCCTTGGCTCATGCCATGGTTTGCTGCACAGGAAAGGTCCCTTCGCAGAGGATTAGCCTACGTTGTTGCCACAGTGGCAGAATTTGATGAATACACCAACGATTGGTTGCATCTGAGTGAGGGAACGATATTTCCAAGGTTATATTTCTTCTTTCCTGTTTCTTGATCAGGTTTATTACACCATATTGACTGCTATATTGGGATTTATTACTGAATACATATATCTTCATTTGTTCTCCCCCGCACTTGAACCCCAGGCCCCAATACCGGAAGAGAAAAGCATCGAATTCATCAGAGCTATCCATCGGTTCTAGTCTTGCCAAAGGTGGGCGGGTTGGCTCTGGTCCCATGGAGCCGCCTGCACTACTTGTGCCAAGCCTAGCGCCGTCGAGATCCGTAAGAGAGGTCATACATGAAGTGAAAATGGTGCAGGTGAGCTGAGATTCCTGGAGAAGGACTCCACTGTATATAGTTTTTATTCAATTCCTTCACGGGTTCAACGTAAAGGAAACGACTTGTTTCCAATGCAACAGATATGGGATGAGCTGATGACAGGCTTTGAAGTCGGAGGGAAGCAGCTGTTGGATGCAGAGGTAATAACGCTAGCTGATCTCAGCGAGTGGGTCAAGATGAAGGGGAGCAAGGGGGGGATCATCGGACTCGGGTTGCCCTCCTACTGCCTGCTGGACACTCTGGTGGAGTCCATCACGGTTGGGGCCTCGGGGATAGTGCTAAGCAACGGGGCCGAAGTCAACCATCAGAACCGCCCGCAGGACAGGCTCTTGGACTGGTTCTTCCACCCTGTGATGGTCTTGAAGGAGCAGATCAGGGTCATCAATCTGGAGGCAGGTGAGCTGAGATTCCTGGAGAAGCTGGTCATCTTCGGCAACAACACTCAGCGCATGGAGTCCTGGAACAACGGTTCTGTGGCTCCTCAGGACGCTATGAGGAACGCCCAAATCCAGGCCATCAGCAGGAGGTATGGACGGCTTTCACATTGCTTGATTTATTTTCCAATCTTTTCATTAAATTTATTCTCTGGGTATATATAAATTTTTCCAATGTTTTTGACCGACTTGTAAAGAATTTCCAGCATCCTCTTGCTTTTCTAAAAAATAGATAGAAAAATAAAGCTTGGTACAGCTACTGCTCTGCTCTGCTCTGGGGAATGAAGTCAAACTGACAGCCAAAAATATGTGCAGATTGGTGGGCATGACGGGGAGCATATCAAAGTTCCCAACTTACAGGAGAAGATTCGAACGTGTGGTGAAGGTCCTGATCGCTCATTCACTGGAGAGGGAACCTCCCGGCGCGACCGAAAGGGGAAGCATCCGAGGCTGGGGAAGCTTACGTGTATCAAAGTCAACGAAAGCAATGCATGCTGAGGTCTAGGGGGCCTCTCATGGCGGCCAATTCTTTGTGCTCCCCTGTAAATAGGTCGAGAAAGGTTGTAACCTCATCTGTTCATATCAGAGAAGTAGACTCTGCCGATACCCTTGATTCTTTTGGATATTGGGGGACCTCCCAATAGGCTTGATAGTTGAAATTCTTCTGTGGACGCATGGATGCTTAGTCTGGCTCCTCTTCTCCAGCATAGATGGAGGAAGGCTTATATCCTTGTTATCTTGCTCCACAGTAACTATGTACGTGTTCCAGTGTAGTGTGCATAAACGGCCGCCAACAAACTCAGAAAATTCTCAGATCTTTTTTTTTTCATATCATGTAATATCTTATATGCTTGTGAAATGCATGAAGTCTGTCATGTATTTGCCCATAAATTGGTCATGAGAAAAAAATTCGTGGTTTTGACGTCTCTATCATCATACCACTCTTCTTTGTTTTGCATAAGAAAGTTTCAAGAGAACGAATGTTTAATCCGAAAAACTGAGGTATCCAAGAGAACAGAGAAATGCTTGATCTGTGTGAGTCGCTCACTTCTAAATGAACAATGTATGATGATGACCCTGCTGACAATTGTTACTCACTAGATATCCACAAATGAGGTACAATCAATATCCTGGAGGGAGATTTTACCCAAGTATAGATCACCAGCATGCTTTGAACAAAGTGGAAGGCATTTCTTGTTCAAACTTTCATGAACAGCGCCCATCCCTTGGACCCACTTTTCTTCATTTGATGGATCGACATTCAGCCGATTCTGCAATAGACGTACACGATAAAGATGCGTATCAGCTCGACCACAGAAATGGGCCACACAGGAACAGGAGGTTTCACATGAAGCTAACTTGACCAAAATCATGCATAAAGCACCATCCACAGGCTTTGGATCAGACAGCCTCTGATCACCCATCATTTTGATTTCCCTTTCTGTCGGAAAGTATACCTCTTCCAGACCATCTTTGTTCATAGCTTTAAGATCCTTTGTGTAGTGTTTTATGGCTTCACGTTTAGTTGACTCATGCTTTTCTGCCAATGTGAGGAAACATGAAAACCTCAGATGATAGTTGACGACTGTTTTGACCACTCTGAAGTTGCGACAGCAACAGAAGAATTCTAGCCATTTGATTCCGACACCTGCATACCATTTAATGATGTCCATGTCTTCCAGGGAAATGAGTAACTTGATTGGCCTTGGTCGCCCCTTGTTATTTGTAAACCCAGCCATCTTAACTGCTCTTCTTATGGCTTCTATCGGCGCATTCACTCTCATGCACAGCCTTCTCAAGTCTTCCACTGTTCTTTCCGCGTATCTGACCTCCTCCTCCTCGTCCTCCTCTTTTTCCATCTCCTCTTCCTCCTCTCTTCCCTCATCATAACCAACATCACTTTCTCTTCCATCCTCCTCTCCTATGAGCCTGCAAGCGACCTCGGGTTTCATATGTTCATTGACCTTGTCTTGAAAGTGATCATAGGCTTGGATAAGTTCTGTTGGCAATTGATCTCGTACTTCTTTCAAATTCAAGAAATCACCAGACGTGAGCGCCCGGTGCCAGGTCCAAAGCTCCTCTTTTGACTGGAAGAATTCTTTCACCACCTCCTGTGCCCAGTCCCTGAATAATTCCCTGACCTCGGATTCAATCCGGAAGTCAAACTTGAATTCTCCACATTTTTTCAGCTTCTTGAACACATGGTTCAGTATCTTCAGCCCAAGTTTCTTCCGTATTGTCTCTCGAGCATTCTTCAATTCCAAAGCTTTCGCCGCCTTCTGCTTGAGGTACTTCTTCCTAGCTCGGATGGCCTTTTCAGACATGGGTGGATGCAGTACTGAAGGCGGCACAGCCTGAAGCTCCATTCCGATGAAATTCATCTTCTCAGAGACGGCGCTGTGGATTGTGGTATCCAATCTATTCACTTTCAGGTCCAAATTGGACTCCAGGTATCTGATGACCCTCTCTTTCACATTCATTGTAAATGTCTTCGATCCGGAAGTGATCACCAGAAGCTCATCAAGATATCTAACAGCATATAGCCTGACCGGATTGTGAAAAACCGTGCGCCCATCTACTGGGAGGATCCTCGGGTTCTGCCTCTGAACGTGCAACCGGAGGTCCTGAAGGTCGTGGTCCAACCCGTTGAAGTAGATGCTTAGAAGAATCAAACGGAGGCCGCTCTCCTGCGGAAAGCCCCTCCCCATGTTCAGTCCCCCAAGTTCGATGAGCAGTACTTCTGAGACGAAGAGCCCCTGGAGGAGACGGGCCAAGCTGGGGTCCTCTATCTTCTCCTCCATTATCGCAATGAGTCTGCGCACATGCCTGAGGCCGAACCGCTCGCTGTGGAGGGCGACGCGGAACCACCATGTCGGGTTCTCGACGGCGGACTTGAGGTACCTGACGGCAGTGTGGCGGCCCATTCCAGATCTCCCACCGTAGGAGAAGGTACACAGGCGAGGGTCGTAGATCGCTTCTAAGGTCATGCGGACGGCCTCCATCACGACCTTCAACTTCAGGTTGGGGAGCACGAGGGACTCCCCTTTCACTCGCGATGGAAACATCCTGATGCAGCAAGACTCCAGGTCAAATTCACCCCTCCGGAGCTCGCGCGAAAGCTGCTCGACGGAGAGCCCGAAACGATCGACAGCCTCCAGGGAGCAGACCTTGTCCCCGCCGCCGTCTCCATGGCCCAAGGGGGTGATATTTCCGCAGGCAGTGAGGAGCACGGACGGACGGGAGACGACGGAGCGGAGGAGGTCGCAGAACTTTCCGCTGCAGAACTGGCCGCGAACGAGAGCTTCGAGGTCGCCCGGCGAGATCGGGACCGCAGTACTGATCTCCGCACGACGGTTCTCTGGCCAGACAGTGGCGGCGGCGGCGGCGGAGGAGGAGAAGATGGAGCGGAGGAGGAAGGGGAAGACCTCCCGGCGACGGCGTCGGCGGATTCCGGTCAGAACAAGCGCCGAAGACAGCATGCCGCAGCGGCAGTGCCCGGAGAGGAGCGCGGGACCGGCTATAAAACGAATAATTTGGTGTGCTCGAACAGATTTTACAAATTCTATTTTGTAAAAATACAGAAAATTATTTCAAAAATATTATTGCAAAATAGAAACCAGTGTTATTTTTGCCGATTTTAAAATTAAAAATGTACTTAAAAATTACTTTATTTTCCACGAAACAAAAACAGATTCCGGTCGAACCGATTTCTACCGAACCGATTATGAAAAAAATATAAATAAAATCGGCTGAAATAAGATTTTTTAAGGCGAATAATTTAATTTTAAATCTCATAAAAACTGGGCCCATGAAATGTAAAGTCGATTGGGGGGGCGGGGGGGTGTTCAGGTCTGAGTTGTTGCGTGGCAGGAGAGAGGCCCGAGCCCATTTTCCTGGCCCCCCTTTTAAGGCCGGCCGGGGGCATTTTGTCTGTGACGGGCAGTTTGGGAGGACTCTTAGCGTTCGGTCGGCGACGGTGGGAGTGGAAGGGGATGGCGATCGACGGCGCCGCCCCCGCCGAGCTCCCCGGCCCCTTTCCTACGCTGCCTTCCGCGTCCCAAAGCCCCTGGTTCAAGTCAGATTCTCTACTCTCATTTCCTGTTCCCGATCTGTCTGTCTGTTTGTCTGTCTGTCTGTCTGTCTGTCTGTCTGTCTGTCTCTCTCTCTCTCTCTCCTTCCCGCAAATGCACGTTCTTCCTGCTCGATTCCAAATTCATTTTCTCGGTTTTATTGCAGCTTCTTCTCGTTTGCCCACCCCCCGCCTCCCTTAATTCGATTCCTTTGCGTCTTCCTGTGAATCGAGATTTTCACACATTCTCTGATTGTCGGACGTTTTCTCAGCCCCGGCCGTCATTTCTACGTGGCAGTGGATCGGCACCATTTCAAAATGGCACGCAATTCCCTCCCTTTCACATTCTCATGTGTACATTAGTTTTGTATACTGTCCGTGACAGTCGCTGCAAAGATTCATCTCATTTTCGCCGGATCTATTATAGGAGACTCTGGTTGACCTGCTGGGTGTCGTGGGTCGTCGCCCGCGGATTCCGATCGTACTATGCTGCAGCTCCCGTGACAATCTAGATTCTGTCTGTGCGACGCTGTCTAACCTCTCCTACGTCTCTCTCTCGTATCTGGTAATTATCCTACTTCTGCTCCGTCTGAACCCAGATATTGTTGTTGGAGCTAGTTTGAAAACTATTTTTATACACTTTCACTGGCACTACTCATTATCGGCTCTTGTAATTAATTGCTTTTTTTTCACTTAGATTTGATAAATTTTCCAGTGTAAGCTTGGTTTCTTATCCCCTACATTCTGTATTTTAATACCCTGTCTGAAAATGTATGAAAAGACAATTTATGAATGTGAACGAATAACTATTGTAAATTTCTTCAATTTGATCTCCATGAGCTTTGTCATACCCTGTAGACAAGTGATATTCCATATGCTTTAGTTGTGAAAAGTAATGATGATCAACCTGTCACCCTTTGCTAAGGGGCTGCTAACTAGCTAATGACGCACAAGCCCTGTCCATGACATTTGAGTTTTGATACCTCCAGTTTTTTGGACTTCCATGCTTGTGGAGTTATCTTCTCTCTGGTCAGTGACCGAAATTGGACTCCTAATTTTGAGTGGATTCTTTATAACATTTAACTCATTATCATAACCGTGTCATATTACCACTCTGGAGGAGATGGCATGACAAACTCAGCAATGTCGTCATGCCTTGCAAAAGATGTGTCTCTTTCATTATAGCCGCATTGAGCCTGCGCAAATTAATTATTTCCAAGTTGGTATCTACCATAGTCATTATGATTATTGACAGTCTATTTCATTTTCCTTGGTTGCAATCATCTCACGATGAATATGCTTTATTGTGTCATTAACTACTTCAAGGAAGCAGTCTCTTCTTTTTCTTCTTTCGTAGTCTGAATAATATTTACCTCATCTTCCCTCATCTTCTGACTGTGTTAGAAACCGAGCCAGCTGTCCTCTGCGGCTGGATTCCATTTATAGGCAATTCTAGTGTCAGATAACTTTGAGACGGTGGAGGACATTCCGAGATTGAGATGCTAGAGCCCAATTTTACGTGCCAATTTCCAACTTAAATTGATAAAAGTTTTCTTCAAGTGGAATATTTCTTGTTTTTCTCAGCCCATAGACAGGTCATGCGTTCATATAATGGCCTTTCAACATCAACTTGTTTACTGACAATTCCTAATTCGATCATAGAGTCAGGTGAGATGAAGGCAGTCAAAGCAGCACTTAAATTAGTCAAATTACATCAATCATATGAACTGCAATGTTAAATAGAACGATCTGATTGAGGAATCAGATAGAGTTCCATGAAGCAGTATCCCAAATAGACATGGAGTATTGCCCTGGACTGGTTCAATTGTCTAGGAATACGCATTTAATTAAATCCGATCATATCTTTTTCGCAGAAAATTTAGATACAGGATTCAGGGTATTTGCAATACGAATGAAAATTTGTAGAAAGTGTTGTTGAATCAAGCCTCCGTTTTTGTTTATGATCCTTCTTCTACACCCTCAGTATTCTCCTTCTCTTGTCTGTGTATGCTACTAACCTAGAACAGGGGGACTGACAGCAGGCGGCACATCTAAACACTAACCGAATTAGTCAAACCTGACTGAACCAGCTATAACAGGCTTCTTCCTCTAGGTTATGTCCGGTTTATTTTTCTTCTTTTCTTGGTTTCTTCATAGTAAACAAGTGTAAATAGTGATACTTCAGAAACAAGTGGAATTCCTACTAGTTATGCGAAAACTGGTTCGTTTTCTATCTCGCTATGAGGGGCATGCCCTGGAATCCACCATACGCATTTTTTTTTCCCAGCATTTCGTCATTTGGAGCACTAGGGCACATATCTTCATTATTCGTTAAAATTCTGTATCCTCATTTTCATCGATACACTACTGATGCACAAACTCTTATGGCCTTTAATTTTCCAATGCAGTACAGTGATCAAGCAGATGCTGAACGTGCCCTGATACTCGACAAGTTTAGAAAAGCAACTGCAGAGTGGAATTCTGTTAGTTCTCAGCCTCTGGAACCTGATGGAACTGAAGACCATGTGCAGTCACATTTGATGGTTGTAACTGATGCTTGCCTCCCAATAATCGGATCTGGGGAAGCGTCAGTTCAAGCTCGTGTCCTGATTAATTTTGAAATACCTGCAAAGAAGGTGTGCCATCTGCTATTAATATATAGATCTATTGTGGAACCAAAGGTGTCGGATCACTGTGGTTACTTTTCCCATAATTTCTGGTACTTTTGTCAGGAATTTGGTACCTTATCTATTGTATTTTAGGATTAGCAGTAGATTTCGCAAAACTCGTTTTCAGTATGTAATGAATCCTTATTTCGGTTGTTTTTAATGTAAGACTTGCGAATGATACTTGTCAATGCTACTGCAATTTATGGTAACTTTATTCTATTTCGGGGGTATTACTGTGGAATTTGCCTTTTGAAAATCATCCATCATGTTTTGTGTCGTGCTATCTGATAAAATCATCCAAGACTTACGCATATGGAATCAGGCATAGTGTTGGATAGACTTTAAGTTTTAATTTGACTCATTTTTTATGATTTAGTCGGACCAAATAATACATCCTGACTATGAGCTAATGCATTTTCTTAAAGTAAAACAGGTGAATATGAAGAAACATTAACTATCTATCATTCATCTAGATGAGGGATAATTTCTTCTTTATTTATTTTGTGAATATTCCCGCTTTTTATCATTTTATTCATATTTTATGCGTTTAAGATTTCTACTATTGTTTCCATGTGCACGTTAATCACTTGCTGGCGTGAAAATGCTTCTGGTGGATTGCAATGACTTGTAAAAGTTTCTTTGCTTGTCCCTAAGGGAAGGGTTCACTTTTTGGAACATTTATATAATATTATTCAAATCACATGTTGACTGGCGGATTAACTCCTAAGAAATGTCCCCATAAAGAGTAAGTATCCTATTGGAAACAAGGTCTGTATTTTTTAGAGGATTTAATTAATATTGATTGTTCTATCAATCAAGGTTTGGGTATTCGAATGATACGAAATTCTTTAGAAATGTAGAAATACTGATCAGATGAAACAGGCATGAAATGTCTACAAGCAGCCATCAGGTCTCACAAAGTTACGAGGAGCTGCTCACAAAGTGATATGAAATAGCCGATCAAAGAAGAATAATGGAACTTTTCAATGTTATTGTTCCAATGTTATTCTAAATAAAAGCTGATATAACATCTTATGGAATGAGTTAGTGCCGGTAGTCTATGCAACTTAATGCTAGAGTTGTTCAAGGACCTGCCTTATTTAATGCGTAGAAAATTGGAATTGTCTTATGCAATACAATTTCTTAACATGGATACCGTAGCTATGGTTAAACTGGTTCAGGATATGAAAGCTTAATGATGAATACTTTGAAGTTACCACTGAGAGGAATAGAAGATATCTTAGTAGGTATTGTATATTGTATGTACTGTTAGATCATATGAAGGGCATTGTGAGGAGATGTGGGTATTATGATTAGATCGTTATGATCGATTGATAGACAAGAACTAATTATATTTAATGATTATGGTGTGAAGTTAGGGATAGCAGTTACATAGAGGTACGCGTATGGATATCATTTAAAGTGAGCAACATGCAAAGAAGGTATGCTGGGTTTCTGAGGAACAAAATAATCATGTTTTTTGGGGTAGAAGAAGGGAAAGCGAAAGACTCTGCAACTTGAATGGAAGTTTGTAGAAGGACAGAAAGATCCATATAAACATAATGATTATCAAATTCTTGGACATAATGACTTGGGATCCCAGGTGGTATTGGTGAATGCTATGACGAAACATAAACAAATATTCTCGTGCAAGGCAAGATATTGAATAGCGAACTTGCCTATGGTGTACATTGAAAACACTAATAGTCAGGACTAAATAAATGCAGTTGCTATCCTGTGGACCTTAATTGTACCCTTAACCTCATGACTTTGAGAAAGAGAGAAAGACCTTTTACAGATGGTCCGGTCGAAAGCACTGCTAGCAGATATGAGGACGTTGATGGGTATAATTTTTTTTTTTATTTAAATCCGTCAAAGACCCGGTTAGAATATTATTACAGAAGCATACTGATGGTAGTTATTGTCGAGAAAGAACACTTTTGGACGGAGTGCATAGGATCAGCTGCTTCGGATCATAATTGTCACCTGCTGATCAGATTTCGGGACGCGAATTTGATCCCCCTTGAACACAAAAAATTGACACCAAATAGGCTGAATTGTCTGATTATCTTTCTGAGTTGATCTCATCTACTCTCACCCAGTTTGTTTATTAAAGGCTAGCAAAGGGATAAGAAGAAGATAGGGGGAAGGGTTCTCAGCTGTAGTCCAGCCTATGTATACGACTTGTACGTTCCTTCCCCAATCCGTGAGTCTGCCCTGCTTTTCCTTTCTGGGCGAGTTATCAGTGACTTCGGTTTTTGTCTAATTTCCCCTGAAGGATATTTTATTGCAGTTTTGCATTTTTTAAGTAATTCTTTGAATAATTTACATAGTTTTGGCTTTAATGTCTCTCTTTCATTCGTCACCCAAAAGACATTGGCAGTTCCTGCCTTCTGTCCTGGCTGATTGGATCGCAGTCTGATCAATATCCAAGCTGATTCAGATCCCATTTTTAGAATAACATTTTATTTAGAAGATTATGCTTTATATTTAGAATATTTAAATGCTACATTAGTTTTCCCTTCTTAAAAATGTTATTTTTTGTGAGTAAACTGGTCTGACAGTTAACATTACTTATTGATTTGCTTTTTGGAAATTTGCTTGTATATTGAATCGCATGGTTAGGATATGTTGGAATAGATACTCTTCCTGACTCTATACCATGTCGGAAATAAAATATGCGATATTATATGTTGAGATTTGGAACTAGATTATAATGTGTGCCATTCTTCATTTGTTAATCAAGAGTGCAACCTTGGGTTTGCTTGGAAGATTTTCTTTAAGAGTTCTTGAGGTAGCTGGAGATAAATTCGTAAAAGAAATTAGCATGAGCATTTGGGGTCTCACTGTCCTATCGGAAAAGAAGAAATTAACTCGCTCTTCAACCAGAGTAAATATGACGTATATAATGTAGTTCAGATCCAGAACTATGCGAATGCAATTCAGTTCTATTGATTGTTACATGAAGAGAAAGGGCAGTGTTGAAAGTGAATTTGGCAACAAGGGAATGAGTCCAATATTTATTTCCTTCTGAAGAGAAGAGCGTGTGTTGAAAGTGAACACATCAGATATGGTCGACTTTTTGTAAGATGATTGCTTTTTCTGCTCAAGAGAAGGATGTGACAAAAAAGTTCCTAGTTGGAGTTACTACGTCAATGTTATTTGGAGGCAAGATGGGATGCCCTAAGTGTTTAATTATTTCTTAGGAGAATGTCCCGGATTGCTCTTTTAGAGATCCCTATGCTAATAATTTTTATGTGCGTATTGATATGATATTTTTTTTATTGTACAATGTTATTCCCATTGGGAGATTGCTAGATTATGCAGAGTTTCCTGTTTCCCTTCTCTCACATTATTTACGGAAACATCAGCAGTTACTGATCTGGATTGACCATCACGTTGAGGACTATTGCTCCGAATTATTTTGAGTTGAACATTCTATTGTCGTTCCAAGTCAGACCTTTTGTCGAGGAAGTTATTCTGACCTCGCTCAGATGAAGATACGAATGAATTATATCTGATATCTTGGTAGTTGACTTTGTGGGACTATCCCTAGTGTCAGTTAATCACCATAGATCCCTGAGACGCAATTCATGTTTTGTTGTGCAATAGCTAGTCTCTTAGATGATATTCCCACTTGAGTTAAGATGAGTCATGTCAACCTCTCCTTATGGATGCTGGTGTTCAATTTCAGGAAACCTATATGAGGCGAATGTCAACTTGTTTGGCTGCAGGTTCCACTTCTGTAAAACATTTCTTACCGTGTTTCAGAAGTATAGCAAGATGTTAATGTGTAAATAATCATTTGCAGATGGAATTGTGATCAGTATGGTTGTTGGAGGCGAAGTAGTTGTCCTGAAAGCCCTTGAGCAGGGCAGTGGACTTCTCATAAAGGAGATGCCCATCTATGTGAGCCGATATCATTTAATTGGCAACACTTTGTTGGATTTCAGATGAATCATGAATACATTACTTATTTTAATTTTATTTTTTTTCCATATGTGACAGATTTCAGAGATCTTGTGAGAATACCGGTGTGCATGGGGAAAGCAATAACTTGGAAGGGAAACCAGCGATCATATAGAAAGCAATATGTAAGCTACTGTCTTGAGAATACTTTCTCGAATCATCATTCATTCCCTGTGGCCAGTGAAAATTGAAGCTACCTTCTATTTTCTTCACTCATTCCCTGTTGATGCATGCTGTTATAAATCTATCATTATATTCTTTATCGAACCCTGGCTTCTCAGATTATTTGATGATTCCTACTAGATTACTATGTGCCCATGGGTGATGAACAGTTAAGGCCCCTAGTCAAGGCCTCACTCTACCTGGTAGCCAAGGCCATTCTCGATTGCACTTTTCCTTTCAGATGGTATGCTCCGAACAGAGCAATATCGCATCGTGAAGAGAAAGCTTAGTCAAGTTAGGGAGACGATTGCAGAAGAAAACAAGATGTGGCCCAGAGGAGATGGATCTCTAGATGTATCACACTAGCTCTTGCTGCGTGTTGTCTTTAGCCATGGAGAATATTTTCGCCAAGAACAAGATTTCGTGAAGTACTGTACCTTGTTTTTGAGTTGTTATGATGGGTCTGACAATGCCTGGGGTTTATATGTCGCCCATTGGAGATGGCTTTTGATGAGCGAGCGGTTTCTCGTGGCCTTTGACCCGATGTATCGTATTTAATAATCTGATAATACAAGTCAACAATAGCCCCCAAGGTTCATCATCCGAGTCCACACCTGCTGCCTGTGTCTCATAAGAAGAGAATATCAACAAACTGGGCAGCTCTCAATCGTTGCACATTATTTTATTTTTCCCTAATTAATAGCCAAAGGTAGACGTGTTGATGGCCCGGCTTGGACGGCGAAAAATTGCTTTTATAGTTTAATGGAATATACTGCGTCTTCCTGTGACCAGGCAGGAGCCCCGGGGGGGTTGACCGGGTCAGTCGCATTAAACCCAGACGGATGGCATGCCTGCCGATCGCCTCTTGGCCATGCCGTTCTGGCGGTGGCCACGCGGCCTCGGAAGGTCAGCGGTGTGCTGGCGACCACTTGGGGAGTGAGGCGGATTTCTAATATTTCTTGTAGTTGTAACATCAATTTCGCTCACTGAACGAGAGTATCGAAGTCGCATGGTCGAGACAGGGCAAGTCCGCCCGAAAGAAGCCAAAGAATATCACAGAGACATTCCATGATCTCATGGGAGGGCTCCTCCTCCATGGGAGAAGGTACAGATAAAGGGTGATCATATAGAACTCAACAAGCCGAGGTTCACCTTTCCTTTCAAGATAAATCTTCAAGGCTTTCCCTCTCTCTCTCCTCCCCATCTGCCGTCGTAGACTATACGTGTGAGAGAATAGACGCCAGGTCGAAGAAAACAGGGAGTGGAATGCCTTGAAGCTTAAGTCAACAACGATGTCCGTCACAGGAACGTGCTCCGAGCGTCCATCATCATTGACACTGGAGTTGTTGCACCGTACACGAAACGACAGCCTCATCTCCCTCGCCTTAGTTTATTTCCCTCTCCCCGCCCACTCACGTCAACGCCGGCCATTTTAATCAGACCTCTGATGCTCGCTGTGAACTGCTCACGTTTGGGTTGGTCACCTGACGGGATTTCCGTGGACATCATGTGCTCGCTGTCTTCTTCAGAGTTTGTCAATCCAATGAGGTCCTTCGCTCACCGGATTGCTAACGGCACCCACAAGTCAAAACGAACATATCCCCTGGGGTCTTTGGATGAGGTGATTAGCACGATGTAACATCAACAAAATAGTGTCGGGTTGCGATCAGACAGTTGAGGTGGATGAGGTGCCGGTGGAGGCCGCGCGCATGTGTTCATCGCGGTGTACAGGGATAAACGATGTTTTCACAGGCGGTTAATCTCTCATCCGTGGGGTCAACCCACGTAAAACGTGTGGTTTTATTATTGCCTCTCCCAGCGCCGCCTCCGGTCGGCGATTTCGATCTTCCAGTGCCCGTCGGGGTTGCCCGCAGCCTCCGCCGCCTTTCTCTCCTCGTTGAGCTCGGACTTGCGCCACTGGGGCAGCCTGCAGAAGCGCCTCAGGGCTGGGGCGATGTTGTCGTGGAGGCGCCACCAGGTGCGGTGAGCTTCGTCGCTGGCGTAGATCACACCGCCGGGTATGTTCCAGTTGCAGTCGTAGTCCCTGTAGCAGAGCCAGGGCTTCTGGCCGAGGTAGTGGACGACGTGAAGCTCAGGGGGGTCGGCCCCGAAGAGGCGGTTCTTATGGAGGGCCTCCGAGGTGGTGTTTTCCGGGAAGATCTTCAGGTAGTTGACGTTGTGCGACAGGCGGTGCCACCAGACGAAGGCCTCGTTGAGGAAACCCTGGTCGCCGCCGTTGTAGGAGACGATCTCGTCGCGCCTCTTCATAAGGACAGAGAAGGTGGCGTTGGAGGGCTCGATGACCATCACACCGGAGTTGAATAACACCCCGTCGTTGCCGGCGGCCGACATCTCCGGCATCTCGAAGAGGTGGTCGACGTTGCGGAGGACTGCCGCATCGGCGTCCACGAAGACGACCTTGTCGTAGTCGGTCAGGAGCCAGAGGCGGAGCTTGCTGTAGTTGTACTCGTTGTAGGTGAATTTCTTGGCGTGCGGGTTGCGGATTCGCTTGATCATGCGCAGCTTCCAGCCGGCGGCAGCGAGGGCGCGGCGCTTGGCGTCGGAGAGGGACTTGTCGTGGAGGAGGACGAGGTCGCGGCGAGAGCCACTGCGGCGGATGCTATGAGCGAGGACAATGGCGCCGCAGACATAGCTCTCCGAAGAGTGGAGCACCGTCGCGTAGGCCTCCCTCTGGGACTGGTCGGCCACAGAATTCGGACCTGAAACAGCAAAAGGTTGCACGTTACGAAGGTTGCTCTCCTTCATGCGTTGCATCTGGAAACAACAATCAACAATCTTTGCTGAATTATTGCGGGAAGAAAGCAACCTCGATTTCTACAAGTGGGTTGGTTGAGGCTGGTCTACTTACTCTCTCCTCTCAGGGGAAGGGCCAGGCGGCAAGAACCCACCGGCATGGCTACCTTCAGCTGCAGCCTCCTGAGATCGGACTCGTAGAGCCACCAGTCGCCTTCCCTCGCCACCAGATCATCGATCCTGAAGAGTTCCATCATCGGCTGGCAGCTGCTCAGGAAGGCCAGCTTCACCCGACCACCCCCGTCCCTTCTCGCGCGCCACACCGCGAGGTTGGCCGCTGCCAGGTGCACCTGCAGACGGAAAACATCCCGAGCCCATCCGGCTTTGGGGTAGCGGCACGGAAGCCTCGCCACCACCGCATCCACCTCTGCGTACTGAGAGAAATCTGGCATGGGTATCTCTGGACACGATGGGGTCTCCTTGACCTCCTCCTCGTCGATCCACTCTGGGAAAAGTTTCTTCCATCGTGGGCGCTTCGATACCTTCTGGAACTTCACCTCCACCGCTCTCCATCCTTCCACCTCGTCCTCGCCTATGTTTACGAGACCAACGTTGGCGTCTGATGGAATCCCGCTGCCGAAGATGGGGATTTTCTTCGTCACAGTTGTCTTGTTCGCTTCCGCCGGCTTCACCTCTTCTGAGCTTTCAACCTGCGAAAGTCTGAACGACTGGTTATCGAGGAGATCAGAAAATGTCATATCAAATAATCCATCAAGCTGCTGTACTTACCTTACCTTCCTCAAGCGACGATCGCTCAGGGAGAACTGGACCAGCGTGGCTTTAGCCTCTTCGCGCTGAAAGGGTGGCGGGAGAAGGACAACGTACAGGAGGAGAAACAAGAAGAGCACGATGTTTATTCTGATCACCTGAATTTTGGTCCCCAGGCGCTTCGCCATCTCTCTCATCTCTGTCAAACTCTCTCCAGTCCTAAAGGAACCCCGAGAAAGGCCTCGACAGTACGTCAACATGGACATCTATATAAAGGAGAGCTGGTGGAGGCCGCTCCTTCGTGATTGTATCCTTTATGACTCCCGCTTTCATTTGTTTAGTTTCGGTAACAGGTAATCCTGACCTGTTTTCGTGCTCTCCTTGTAAAACCCTGTCTTTTAAATCCATGGAATAGTGAGTTGAGAGGATTCTGGAGTGGTTGGAGGACGTCAATAGGAACAAGGATAACATAAAGAGGTATCAAACAAAACACTCGAAGCCCTCTCACTTCAGCGGTTCAAAACGAAGTTTCTTCTCTGCAGCTTCTCGCTGTAATCTTAACATTCGTCATTACAGAGAGAGAGAGAGAGAGAGAGAGAGAGAGAGCGATTTAGATCGGTTGGCCCGATGATTACCTCCAATTTTTTTTATATCTAGAAGTAATCAGCTCGATCTTTCCAACGAAAAAGGGCAGGAGCATGATAATCTTTCTGGGCATAGTTGTTGGCGTGTTCTAGACGGTTGCGTGGTCAACATTACCTGGTTAACGACCGCTCTACGATGGGTCAACGGTTTCGACATGTGAACATCTTTATTTTGTAAAATGATTTATTACTTTAAAGTTTTCATCTTACGCTCTTGGTTGACCGTAAGTCAACGAAGTTACGTAAGGCACTAAGAAACCTCAAAGCTCGAGGAGAAAGTTGTAATATGGACCTTTAATCGGCTTCCTTTCGAGCGCAACTTGTGGATGAACTGAAGCGTTACAAAAGTCTCTCTTGTACGTATACTCTGACTATGCAAATCTAACCTGCTAAACGTGTCTTAAGATGAGCAACCTGTTTCAGCCAGAGGTATTTCCTCCGAGTGATGATTAAATAACCCATCTTCACGATGACTAACTTGGTAAGGTAGACAACTTTAGAACTCTCAAACCCGCTTTAAATAGAAAATTGGTAAATTTCTGCCCGGAAATCATGAGCCTAATTCAGATGTCTCATCCCGAACTTGGCCGTCGTTTTTACCAAATCTGGAGATTTGTGAGCCGGTTCGTGACTGAATGTTGAAATAAAATAGAGTGCTAAATCCACGGTTGTTCAACAGCCTACGGATCCATCATTTCATACCTATCAACGCGTCACACCCTTAAATTTGATAGTCATTGATGATCCAGCGAGCGAGGTGCAGAGAGAGAGAGCGAGAGAGATAATTCTTCCTACCCATGTAACGGAATATCGGAATTAACATTGCTGAGGCTAGAACAGTTAGAACTGGCAAAACAGCAATCTATTGAAGAGGAAACCACGGATGAGAGACGATCCGGGCAGAGAGAGTCGACAACGCCAGCTTCATAGATAGTTCGTGCTCCAGTGGGGTCAGAGCTGCTTCTTTCTCCACACCGGGCGACTCAGGGTACCCACCCGCCGCAGACAAGTCCACCGTAGTAGTACAACTGCCCCCGATTCTTAATACAAGTCAGAAAAATCGTTAGTTGTATGATTAATAAGCTTTGTGTCATTTTTCTGCCTACATTTTTATGAAGATTTGTACCTGTAGGTTGGCATGACAAATGAGACATCTGAATAAACACAATGGTCCCCGGTGCAAAACGATTTGGCCCAGCTTCACATGTTTATCAGTTTATTTATAATTAAAATTGATTACTTTGTGATTATTCTTGACAACAGATGTTGAGTTTTATACTGACGATATAATCCACCATCTAACACTCCAAAAGAGCAAATTCATTTTTAGGATTTTTTTCGATTTTTTAATTGGAGTATTTACATATGTATTAAAAGTAATTGTGCCAAGAGAGGAAAGAGGAAATTTTATAACATGTAAACACGCTGATTATGCTTATCCTTTGGAATCATACTGATCAATATGAAACTTGACTCGCTATAAACTTCTACATTCGATCATGTTAGTCGTTAAGAAACTTCATATATCAACAATCTTTCTTTTGAATCCTTGGCTTAACCATGATGTTACGAACTTTAATAACACTGAAGATGATTTCTTGTTTAAGTCACAAGGCATTGTTTTATATTTAATTAACCACCATTCTATTTAATGATTAATTAAAATTAGAAAATCAAAAAACTATTTAGAGCTCTATTTTAGACACTAATTTTTTTCATAAAATCTATGGTGTAATTCACCATCATATGAGATGTTGACCAATGATAAATAGGAAATAGAATTTTATGGTCATAGCTATCAGTTTTTCCCAAGCTTATCTAATTCATTTGGCACTGAGAGAGAGACGATCTCATGCTACAATGAATTCAATAGGGAAATAATGGATTTTTTCCAAGAGAATCTGTTATCCTTCCAATGTTGAACTAAACGAAGAAGGATACCATGAAGACAACCCTACCCATGCTTAGTTCCAACTTGTTTATTCCTTTCAAAGATGTTTTAACTTTCATCTATCTATTTAACTCTGATCATTTGACTATTTTTTTATGACCAAATCATTAATTTTTAATTGTGACGTATTTAGCAGTTTTTAGAGTATAATAGTGCTGAGGAAAGTAATTTGATTACATTTTGTTCATCTATTTATTATTCTAATATTTTTTTTCATTATCAAAACTTTTAAGAATATAAAGGCTCATGAAGGCAACAACAAGGTTGGCACACTTAGTAAAGTGAGATGAATGCTCAAATTTACAATGATTCAGCCTTCCATAGCACATGCTAATTGACCAAGATATTCTACTCTTAGTTTCCACCATTCTTCTATTAGGAGATACTACTTGTCAAAATAAATCTATGGTGTAATATAAAGCTATTAATAATTCTTCATTATCATGAGTTAATAATGAATTAATAATATATTTTAAGTCTTAACTCATAATATATAGATTTATATTTATGTTAAATTATGAAAAGTGTTTTTCGTTAGTTAATGTAGATTTTGATTAATTATGTGATTTTATGTGAATTTATATAAATTTTATAATTATATTTTTTAGATAAATGAAGAGAAATGAAATAAAAATATACAAAAAGGAGAGACTTGCAAGCAAGTCAGAAGCAAATCTGCAACACTCCACTTCTACTTCACTAGTGGCTAGATGGATGTTGGGTAAGGAATGGTCATACATATGTGAGAGAGAGATATTGGACATAAAAAGTCGTATTACTATATATTTGTCTAAAGTATCTAAAAATAACCGATGTGGAATAAATATGGCTAATGTTCACCGTCACTTATTTTTAATATTTATATACTTATAATACTCCTAAATGACAAGAATAAGTTATCCTTATGACATCACTAAGCAAGGATATTAGTGTACTTATGTCACTCTCTCTCATACAAGCAAATGATTAGTGAGAGTTTGAATCTTATTAAAGTTAAAACTCATATTTTTATTTGATTAAAATATGATTTTTTTATAGAGTGCTAATCACGATAATACATTAGAATCTCTCAATTCTCAATGAAAATATCGTCAACGCAATTCATGAAGTACATTATTAAATTATTGAATAGTTATGGATTAAAAAATTATAAATCTATTAAGTAAATTATCTTTAATTGATTGACAAATAAGTTATCATCACAAAGATGACAATCAACTTGGAGATTAGTTGTCACTTCTTAAGAACATATCATATGCAATGAAGAGTCTTTTTTTATTACACGAACTTGAGGATGAAGCTCTCTAAAATATACCTCACCTCCATTCAATTTATTTTCATCAGTTGACAACTACTAGAGATATGTAAGCCACTACATTTTCACTCTATTGGATGACAATAGTTGGAGATGATTTATTGACCTACCTCATCGATTTCTATACTTCACAAGAAGATTTGGAGATTATCTATGTTATCTATGTCTAAAAAAAGCCTTTGAGGTTGTAAACATTGCACAATAATCTCCTCAAACACTCCAAATTTCAACGCATCACTATCATGATGTCAAAATTATTTTTTACCTATTTTAAATTAGTTTAATCTTTAGATTAATATTCATTGATATTTTATGATGTTTAAGATTTTTTTTGGCCATTTAATAATAATAAACTAATTTTTTAGTGGTGGTAGTACATCGATGATTATCTTCATTTTTGACATTTTAAGTCATGTTTAGTATTTATTTTTTATCTTCACATATTAATAAGTCTTCATTATCATGAGTTAATAATTAATTAATAATATATCTTAACTCTTGACAAATAACTTTACAAATATTAAATCAAGAAAAAAACTTTGATGTGATTAATATAATTTTTTAATTAATTATATGACTTTCTATAATTTTTAAATTCATATTTTCAAGTTAAAATAAATAATATTGAATGTCTCTATTATATGAGAAGGAAAATGGTTATGACCTCATTGTTTCAAAGATATTTAACTAGTTCAGTAACCCTCTCTCATGTAACCAAATAACTAAAGAAGATTCAAATCTTACCATAAGCAAAATTCATGTTTTTTATCTATTTAATTCACAATCTTTCTATAGAGCACTAAAGCACTTGTCAATAATGAAGTCACTAAACTTGTTCAATCATCAATGAAAAATTTATTAACATAATTCACAAAGCTTTGTTACCAACTAACAAAATGATTCAAGATAAAAAGATTATGAATTCATCAAGAAAATTATCTTTGATTAGTCAATAAATGCATTTCGTCAAGAACAAAATGATTTGTCAAAAGATAAGTCACTACCTCTTTAAAACATATCAAATACAATACGAGCCTCCTCTTATTATGTGGACCTAAGGATAAAGCTTTCTTTGATGTGCTCCACCTCTACCTAACTCATTTCTATAAGGTTTTAGTCGTTGGAGAATCCACCACCATTGAACTTCCACTCCCTCAAGCGATAGCTATTAGAGACATTTCACTGACCTACCTCATTAATTTCTAAACTTTGTAAAATGATCTAAAGATTTCTCATGTTATGCATATCCAATTAGATTTTTTGGAGTTGTCGATATCACATGAAAATCCTCTTAAACATTCAAAATTCTAATGATTGCCAAAGTAATGCCAAAACTCTATCTTTCTTATTTTAAACTTGATTATTCTTTAAATTTTGTAGGTTGTGTATAATTTCAATATTTGAAACTCTTCTTTAGTCCATTATAATTATTTCAATTTTTTAAAATATTAATTTAATTAATGAAGCTCTTTATAATTACTTACATAATAATAATTGAATAGACTCTATTTTCACCACAATCTCATTTGTTGAGGTAATGAAGTCATCTTGACATCAGCACCTGAATTTTTCTTTTTCTAAATTTTGAACTAATTTTTCTCTTTATTATTTAGTTTAAAAATCATAAAAACTCATATTCTTTGAGACTTTTTTAAATTTTCACCTGATATTATCTTACATGACTATGATTGACTTATGAAGTTTTCATTATTTTTAGAGTATTTTATATAATTATCATTGATATATTTGTGGTAAAATACTTCTAAACATCTGAAACGTGGTCCATTATATAATGATTAAAACATGTCACATATGTTAGCACATGTGTCAAAAAATAAATTGGGGCATTTAAAGTGTGCAAATAAAATTACTCTAAAATCTTCTATAAATATTATTATAATATATAAAATAGATTTGGGTATTTAAGTGATTAAAAAGTATTCAATTCAACTTGTGACGTAAAATGAAAGTTTTACCATTGGTTTCGTTTTCTTAATTTTAATATTTTCCTAAAAAAACTCATATGGTCATCCTAATAGATCTAGAATTATAAATTTTACCAAATTACTCTCATAAGAGTTCTAGAGTTCTAAAACTAAAATCAAAATAATTGGATAAAGAATAAAATATCATTAGTCCTTTGAATATGTTGAATATATAATTCACATAAGTTACACTTATAAATCAAAAACTCAATTTCTTCCTTTATCAATCTAAAACATGTGGTAGTGACTTTTACATAAATGTTTATTTATAATCACTAAAAAAGGGCATAAACTAAAAAATTGTTGAACCTACACATTTTATACATTGTTCAATGGCTCAGCCTACGTACTCACTTAAATAAACTTTGATGTATTAGATCCCAAAAATTTGAGTTCTATCTATCAAAAATTTTGACTTTATAAAAAGTCCATCTTAAGAGCTTTCAAAGTGTGACTCGGTGACAGATAAAATCCTCCTGCTTGTTACATAATCTCTCGACAAAGTTTTAATGCAAGAGTAATTTTTTTGAAGCTTTTTCAAGCATTTAATTGCCTTCAACCTCAAGGAAATTTGTCCACTCACCCTCAAGATCATTTTAGATGTTAACTACTACCATTTTTATGTGAAGCCACTCTTGAGAGTGTTGGTAATAAGGGGTAGAAATGAATGCTAGTATCTGAATGACAAGTTTGGAGAAATAGGCTTGTCAAAGAAGAATGGTGGAAACTAAGAGTAGAATACCTTGGTAAGTTAGCATGTGCTATGGAAGGCTGAATCATTATAAATTTGAGCATTCATCTCACTTTACTAAGTGTGCCAACCTTGTTGTTGCCTTCATGAGCCTTTATATTCTTAAAAGTTTTGATAATGAAAAAAAAATAGAATAATAAATAGATGAACAAAATGTAATCAAATTACTTTCCTCAGCACTATTATACTCTAAAAACTGCTAAATAGGTCACAATTAACAATTAATGATTTGGTCATAAAAAAATAGTCAAATGATCAAAGTTAAATAAATAGATGAAAGTTAAAACATCTTTGAAAGGAATAAACAAGTTGGAACTAAGCATGGGTAGGGTTGTCCTCATGGTATCCTTCTTCATCTAGTTCAACATTGGAAGGATAACAGATTCTCTTGGAAAAAATCCATTATTTCCCTGTTGAATTCATTGTAGCATGAGATCGTCTCTCTCTCAGTGCCATATGAATTAGATAAGCTTGGGAAAAACTGATAGCTATGACCATAAAATTCTATTTCCTATTTATCATTGGTCAACATCTCATATGATGGTGATAATTTCTTGGTTCATGATTTTTCCCTTAACTAATGGAAAATATTTATTCTTATTAAACCTCCATCATACAGTATTGGAGATAGTGTTAAACGTCATCCTCTTGAAAATCTTTCACAGAAGACGCATCATCTTTTCAGTTTAAATAAGAAAGAAGTGAATCATGAAGTTGAAAGCGTCCGAATCTCAACTGGCGGCTTTACTTTGTTGGTTCACTTTTGTTCCTTTCGATCAATACTTGGCCCTCAAGAATAATAATTATCATTTGTGTTTCGTGAGTTTATTTTGAATCGAGATTCTCATTATGATTTGTTTCTATACTCATCAATGGATGCCACAGGCGAGAATCGTCAACCCCACCGATTGCCTAGACAAAAGGCTTCGTCTGATTCTCTACAGAATCGTTATCTGGGAATCTCTCCACTTGACTGGTTACACAAATTCGAAGCAACCTTCTACTCTAGCTGACCTATGACCTGAGTGGAGATGTTCTCTCACCTGGATAAGCACGAATAGGAAACGCACAGAAAGATCAGGAAGAAAGAAACCCCGTCTTTGAGAAGCATAAATAACTTCCCTCTAGATCGGAAGACACCGCGCGTTCACCCTCCAGCACCAACACGTGATCACAAACAGACGCGGCCATGGCCATCAAGCAGTTTCGTCTCCACAGAATGGCCACGGACATGACCCTGGATGAATTCAAGAACTGGCTGAAGAAGTTCGACGACAACAATGACGGGCGCATCAGCGAGGAGGAGCTCCGTAACGCCACCCGCAGCGTCGGCTGTTGGTTCAGTACGTGGAGGAGCAGCCGTGGCATCCGAAAGGCTGACTTCGACGGCAACAAGTTTGTCGACGATGATGAGCTCGAAAATCTCGCGGCCTTTGCCCACAGAGTCCTCGGCATCAGGATAGTTCCCTAGCGTGATTCCCCTTGCTTACCTTGCCCCTCTTGCGCTGCTTTTAAGATACCAAGTTCTCTCCCTTGGTAAACCCTTGTTCCTTAAGTGTGTCGTTACGCCCTAGAGAGGGGCTTCTTCAAGTTGTTGTCCATAGGACTCTGTTCATTCTCACCCCGTGAGGAAGACAATGTCCAGCAAATCTTTCGCCGTGGCATCGGACTGTAACCGATGATTTCCTGTTGGCGTATATAAAAAAGTTTATAAACATATCAAGATCTATTCTCTAATGTAGATGACGTGCTACAGAAGCTTCCTGAGGATGAGATATTACAGTCTCATATAGATGGAATCTAGAGATTTTTTTAGAAAGATCATGAATTAATCGCTTGCGAAGGTATTTAGTCTAACTCATGATCAAGCCTTCAGATCAAGTTCTATACCAGCCTGACCTCTCTGTTCTGGATTAAAGGAAATGATCGTTAAGTTTCGACAACATAGGACTACTGCTTTGAATTTCAAGCTTCATAGGAAAAACTGTCAATTAAATAATACTGCCCGTTTATTTATCTAATAAAAGATAGACGCATGTTATCTATTTGACTGTGGTGGTGATGAACATAATCGATACTATGTCATCATCCTGAACCTCTTGACTGGGATATTGAAAATAGGACATAATTGGATTGTCACTAATGTCTTTCCTTGTTCACATTTATTGAAAACCCTATAAACATTCAATAGTCCTTTATACGGATAGAAAAAAAATCTTCCTCGTGGACAATTAGGTATTGATGAGATGACATTGGGGAAGTCAAAAGTCAGTTTCGTGCAGACATTCAAATATTTAGGTGTCTGGCCTGGAGCTCACTCCATAGACTTTCTCTAGGCCCTAATTGAATCCAGACCTTGAAAGCCACGGCTATCCAGGGCAGTCCGTGTTGGCAGTCCGCTTTTACCCTACTGTAGCGTAGGCGGAGAACTGAAGGCTGCACTATAGGTCAATAAATAGCGTCGTACTATGAAAAGGAATAACGGCATTTTCCTGCGCAACGCACTGGATATCGCTACCCCTCAAAGCTAAACTTGAACGTGGACCTAGATACGACTGGATCCTGGATACTATTCTTCAAACAACGATGCCTTGAATGAGAGTGAGCGAAATAAGTGTGAAGCGTGGTGAGCGTGAGAATTTCCATCCTTATTGACACCTGAAACATTATATGCTCTCTGAGGACTCATCAAGTGTATTCAGAACTTCCTGATTTAGCTACAAAGGTAAAGTTAGATGTAAGGATTGACGTCCATGTCTACGCCAATGAACGTCATTTAGGCCCTAGTCTTTAGGCTCGCCTGTTCTAACTAATGGCATAGAACGACTTCTCGGGTTCTGCTGTCTCTTTCTTTTTCCTCTCTCGTGTTTATCTCATTATTTCTATCAAAGAGAACGTTACTAGACGAGCTTGCTAGAGAAAGAACGGAGATTTCGTAAGCAGCTCGGCACGGATCCTGTCAGAGACCTCGAAGTCTTGTTTAACCGCTAAATGGATTGGGGCGGAAGGCTGCTTCCCCGTTCGTCTTTCAGAGATATATACCAGAAACCCTAACCATTTACCCTGAAAGCTGAGCTTGGCTAATACGTCAACCACACTGAGCGTAGTAGACATGGCCAGTTCTTATTAGCGGAAGGTTCAAGAAATCATAGTAGGAACATTGCAGCTTCGTAGTCTTCTGAAAGTCCGTCCAAATGCATTAACTTCTCTTGGCCGCCTTCGCGCAGAGCTTGACTATACTTTCTCCAGTTTGACTGAACAAGAATCTGGGTGTTTTAAATTCTGTAGTCAAAATCTTGGAATCAGGTTTGGACCAGTACCGTGCTTGGAAATCGGGACCAGAAACAGGCGCTGCCGGGTGTTTTGTCCGTTTCCTAGCCCTTGTTCAAGGCCCCATCTTCTTGTACTCCCCCTCCCCTTTGTCTTCTCCCCTCGAAGAGTAACAATGTGAGGTTCTCTCGATAGGTATGGCCCTCGGGAATGATGAGTCTTTGAACCCGCGAAGAAGCTCTGCCGCATGTTAGTTTGTAACCATAAGTAACCATAACCCTTTGCGGTGGGCTCTGCGGTTGTTGCCGGCAAAGCACTGGACTCCAAAAACGGAGGGAACCTTGACTCTTCTTCACGTCTGCCTCCTTCCAGAGCTATAATAGATCAACGAACTATCACACAACAGATAGTGAGGGCACATAGATATTCGAAAGAGAACATAGTATGATGTCTTCAGTTACAGCACAGGAGTTGATCTTCTCACTGCGGGAAGAGAAGACCTCAACTGAGGCTTGAGAGTACATCCGATTGATTGGAAGAAAATTTAGTACGCCACACACTAAACAGCATCAAAAAACGCGTACCCCACTACATTAAAGAACAAACAGATGGGTAAAAATATAAACTTTTTTTTTAGTCTCGTTCTGCAGTCTCCCAACAAGAGGAAACAGATAAGCAAAAATGGACATCGAGTCATCCATGTGTTGTGCCTCGGATCACATTTCTAAGCCTTTGCCTCTTGAGACGCGATCCTGGAACAAACGGGAAAAAGCATAACTCAAATATTCAAGAAGATTAAAAGCTCAAGAACTTGACTCGGAGAGTGCATCACCTCCCTAAGGTCTTTAACTATGCCCTCCACTTGATGCCGTGGCTGCTGTTTGTCTTGCTTCTTCTCGTTCTTCTTTCCCCAGGAGTGCGATCTGCTCAGGCCCAGAAAACTCTTCCACCTATGTGTCAACTTCGTGGACATCCTGGACGAAGATAGTGCCAAAGAGGGGTAGGCGTCGCGTTCCCCCGAGAGTACCTCGTCGCGCAGAGTAGTGCACCCCTTCTGAGTCTCGACACTGGCATCCTTTAGCGGCAGCAACCGACCCTTGAAGAAGAGCTCGTCCGCTGTCATCATGTTGTAGCTCCCCGCCGAGAACTCGAAGTCTGATGAAGACGGAGAGACCGCAGAGGAGCGCTCGTACTTGACTGAGGGGGCCCCGGTGGCAGAGTCAAGAACAAAGCCGTTGGAAAAGGAGATGCGAGGGCTCACCGGCTGGGGAGCCGTCGCCTCACTCCGTCCGTACATCCGATGGGAGTCCGGGTTGAGCATGCTGTTGCATCATACAATACAAGCAGACACGACTTACGTCTTCTCTTCTATAATAACTCTCTCTCTCTCTCTCGCTCTCTCGCCCTCGCTCTCTCTCTCTCTCTCGCTCGCTCGCTTGCTCTCCCTCGTGCGCGCGTCAGTGGAGTGCGAGAGTCCATTAATATCAGCTGCAGAGGTCTGGAGGGCGGATGGAAATGTGGGCATTCATCTACTAACGTAATAAAATGCTGAAATAAATGCCATAAAACACCGCCAGCAGGTACCCATCCGTCTTGGTCGCTTACTCTTTATATTATCGTCCTTTTGCAGCTCCCGCTGTGCACTACTTTCCCGTGCACTGTGCACAGAATGTACGTTGCCAACGCATCCCCCCAAATTCTCGGTCCGATTAACTACGATTATTAGGTTGAGACAGAGAAAGAGAAAAAGAAAAAGAAAGGGAGAAAAAGAATTCTCCATCAAGCGAATGAATATTAGAATACTGCCAAGAAGTAAAATATATTTTCCGTCGATATTATACTCTCGACAAATATCTACCGAACGAAGAATTTCTAGGCAAACATTAAGACGCATGATGTGTAATGACTTTTCTCTGCTGCCAAATGGGCGATGTGAAAACAAGAATCCTGAAATGTCATGAACGAAACTATCAAGGTTCACAGGAGTTTCACAGGAATTCAGGAGAGTGCTATCCGTCGGACAGCAACAGTGCTGTAATCCACTGGAAAGGAGAAACAACACAATTTAAATTAAACAAGGCATCAAGCCACGCTCAATGAGCCATCAAACAAACCTGTCTATAGTTCCGGGTCCACTCATCTTTGAAAGTTTCCGTTCTCAATTCATGAATTTCACGATATTAATTTGTTCATGGATGCCATTAATTACGTTGAATTGATATTATGTTATTCTTCGTTTCTGGATTGTTTCCCTAGTTACTGTTGAGACCTTCCTTATTCTATCACCTCCCACTCCCAGTATCGGAACGAGACTAGTGTGTAGCCCAATATTGATATTCATATGGAAAATAATAGCCATAGTTCTGAATGGTTACATAGGGCTAATATTAGGTTGGCCACCAATGACATTAGACTGCGTGTTATCTAGAACAATAAGGAAACATCCAGATGTAATAAAATTAGTGATATAAAATCCTCTGTCAACGAGTTTATCCACGCAGGACTACAATATTATGTTGTTATAGAATCAAGCCGCTCAACTGAAATCAACGGAGATAAAATTGAATAACCCGATACAAGTTTAACTGCTTGCTTAACCTCTCATATTCATTGTGAGCGTAATCAAATATTCTACTCTGGTATAAACCCATTTATTTATATCTGTTTCTTGGACAGCATAGATTAAAGCACCACCTTCAACAACGCTGTTCTCCGCGAATCCCGATCTTTGACTGCATGTAGAAGCATCTTACAGCTTTAAAAAATCTATTTATGCAGTTAGACCAGCATTATTTTATAAAAAATTATTACGTTCAATATGCATAATGGACGATGTTCGAATTTTGCTAGGTTTGGTTTGTCTAAGATAAAAAGTGTGAAATGAAAAACCTTTAGAACTCTAATCCTTTAGAAAAGTGTCTACTTTCAGTTTTTAACGAAATACTCTGAGCTCATATGTTCTAGAATGTGATAAAATCACAAGAGGCTATTGACATTAGTCTATTCTAATTGAAATCATAAATGTTAAATATTTTTCAGCTATTGACAATATTTTGTGATCCAATAATAAAGCACGTACACAATTATTGCCTAAAATGTATATTTTTATTCCAATCAAAATAACTATGAGAACTCAATATATTTAGTACATGCTACAAACTGATTTTGTATGTGAATAGTTCAAATGAAAGAATTGTAGAAAAAATATGATTTTTCATTTTGTATAAGCCTTATTCTACAGAAAATGTACCTACGTTCTAAACAACCACGTGAAGATCATAACATGAATTATTATGAATACACCACATACTAAATACCTAAGACTATGTGTGTGCTGTTTCCAAGAGTCTACGAGTGAACAAACAAATGACATACGGTACTGACCTATAATTAAAAAAATATGGCCATAATGTCGGATCCAAAGGTCACGTGAGACCTAGACATCTACCACATTTTCTATACCTGACTCGTGAAGTATGAATCCTCACAAAATGGGTATCATCATGAAAGTGCTCTTTAAGGGAGAATACCCGCTAGTGTAACAGTGTTGCTATCCTGAAACTCAAAAATACGCTTGAAATCGCCATGTATTTATTCTCTGAGCCATTTCTGGTTCGTCTTCAGTCCCCAGGAGTTAGTAAGGCTCGCATAGAAAAGAGGAGGAACAGCGCACGGAGTATGCTGCGTTAAGATTTTTCCTTAAATTTAGCAGGGAAAATGAAATTCTTGATAGGTTACGGATTTACGTATTCTTGAGGAGCAACTAAGATAACATGTCAGAACAAAATAAATAGAGGTCACAGAATCGCAGGCAGAGGCAACGGGGAGATAAAAGGCGATAAAGAAAGAAATCAGAGGCCAGCATGCATGTTTATGTGGAGAAAAGGGAGTCGACAACAGAAGACACCAAAAAGCCTAGCTCGGAAGATGTTATGGGAGCGGCTGTTGAGGGGAAAGCATTGTATGGTAAAGCGGGCATGAGGTGAAAGAATGATTTTCTTCCATTTGACTAGTTTTAACGCGATTTCTATTCACCAGACATCAGCTGGCAACTTCAAGACCTTCAAGGGACCACGTGACGCATAGGTTTGATTGTTATCTATTCTGTGATTCTTAGGGCCCTATGGTAGCCAGCTAGAATTAACTAGGTCAGCCTCGCCCCAATTTCCGGTTCTAATTTATCTCATACTGTGTTCGTGTTTGGTAACTGACTCTCTCTCCCTCATTGGTTAACTTAGGGTGGCATGGTTTTTTCAGTTTCATTTTTTGACCATCAAATAAGTTAATGCGACTTTATCCCTTGTTTCTCCTTAAATAAGCCTCACCTGGCTTGTTCAACCATTTAAGCTTATCAAATTTGGATAGATGAGTTACCTAGGATAAACCTAGGATAGCCTACTACAGTTCTAACTACTTATTTAACCACTAGTTTAGAGACTTCTGGGGTTCAAAAGGGGAAATATTCCTTAAAATTTGAATTTTAACGTCCGTGTACCTAGGTTGTCAAATCAACATTAGTCTGCTTTTCTTTTTTTCTTTGGGTATTAACACCAATCTTGTCCGCCTTAAACAGTAACAAGTCACCTCAACATACATATTGAGAGGAAGATAAGAATTATTACATAAAAATTCTATAAAAGTCAAAAATTAAATATAAATTTATTTAGATATAAAACTCAATTAAAAAGCAGATGTTGATGCAATTACACATTAATTTTAGAGTAAAGTTGTTATGAATTTTCTTTTAAAATATTAGTTAGCTAGTGGATTCTCATATGATAGTCATTACAGTTCTATTTTTTAAAGAACCTTTTCTGGTTAAACTAGAATGAACTGTAGTTACATGATTGAACATTAAATTTTAATGATAGTAGTTCTGTAATGCCAAATGCCCATAAAAGGAATCCTCGTGAAAGGTTTATGGATATTGGAAGTAAGATTTTAAAGAAAATTTTAATGGGCTTTCAAAATGCATGAAGTTATGCAAAAATTTATTTACTCAAAATTTAGTATTTACAACTTCAATTTATAAGTTAACAAAATTGCCTAGGTTGGTATTTAATGTCACTTAGTTGTTCTATATTAAATCATATAAATTAAAACTTTATAAAACTAAAAAACACTATTTTCAAATTTTTAAAATTATTTAATTATTTAATACATCAATTTTAGATTGATGAAGAGCTTGAAAATTAGTGAGAATTTTTTAAGTCAGCCATAAGAATTTAAGATAATATTAGGTAAAATTATAATTCTTTTTTTAAAGAGTACGATTTTATATGATTTTTTACAAAAGTATCATAAAAAAATCCTTTTTAAAATCAGACAAAAAAGAAAATTTGGACACTAACATCAAGTAGACATCAACACCTACCAGAACACTAATTCAGACAAAAACGAAGGTCTACCAAATAATTGTTGCATAAGTGATTTTAGAAGTTTTCATCAATAAAATCAAAATCTGTAAACATCAAATGGATTGTAATAAACTTAAAAAGAGTTTTAAATTTTAAATTCAAGTAAAACTATCATTAATTTAAAGATTAAATGAGTTTAAACAAAGAAAATAGAGTTTCTACATTATAATAGAGGTCACTAAAATTTTGTCAAGAAAGTTTGCAAGGGGTGTCCATGGCCTCAAAGACTCTCCTCAAACATGCACACCATTATTCTAGATTCTCATGTAAAGTCTAGAGGTTGAAGGTAAGGTGAAGTTTAGAGGGTGGTGAAGTATCTCTAATAGTTACTGCCCAACAGAGTAGAAGTTAATTGAAATAGTTCTCCAATGGCTATAACCTACTGAAGTTGAGATTGATAGAGGTGGAGTGCATCTCAAAGAACTTCATCCTCAAGTTTGTGTATCAAGAAGAGGGCCTTTATTGCAAATGAAACACTTTGAAGAGACCATGATAAATTTCTTAGCGAATCCATTTACCCCTAATGATGTCTCGTTCATCAACTAATAGGGAATGTAGTTTCTTTTCAAAAATTTTATTTTTCTACTGAAATCCTTAATGAGTTGCTAATGACAAACTTTGATTATCATTGATCACCATTTTATTGATGATCAACCATTTTTATTGATTTTCTCTATTGACTATCTCCCTGTAGGAAAATCACATAGTCAAAATAAAAGAAAACATAAATTTTGATGTTTATGAGATTTGGACCTCTATCCATCATCTGATTATATAAGTGAAGCTAAGAAAAATTCTATTATACCCTTCTAATAGTTAACACACAAATGTATTACCTTCTCTTAATGCAAAGATATTTTCAACATTATTTCAACCAATGAGATTGTCAATAGTTTAGTCTCGCAACAATTGTTTCAAAGAGTTTTAGATCTAATATAAGTCTAGGCTATCTTATGAATATGAGTGATATGAGTTACTTCTCTCAAAAATAAAATGATCAAAATCACTTAGGAGAAGGTTATATCAAGTGGTCTGCCCCCATGTAACACACATGTGACAAAATCATACCTTACCTCACATAACATCAGTCTAGCCCTAATGATGTGGAAGGAGTGATACACACATATTCATAGGTCCTTACCCACTATAGCTTAGTTCATGGTTATGTTTAATTTAGGTCCACCCACTGAGTGTTGCACCTTCCAAGTTGATTGCTAAGTGCCAACATGTTCCCCTCCTTTTCTAACATTTTTTTTATTTTATTATTTTGTTTACTTAAGAACATGAACATAAAATCATATAAAATCATATAATTAATCAGAATTTTACATTATTCACTTAAAAATATTTTCTATTGATTTAAAGTAAACATAAGGTTATTTATCATGAGTTAATATATAAACAGAAAATTAAATTAACTATTAAATTATAATAATATAGACTGATTAATATTACCTATGTTGCTCCATTACACATAGACAAATTGTCATGATAAAATTTTATTCATAAATTTTGAGAAAAATAATTTCTCATCTAGAATTGTGAGTTTTTATGTAGAAGATCAAAAGGCTAAGTCAATTGAGTTATCCATAATCCAGTGTTTTACTAGTCCAGTCTAGAGCTCAGTCAAATAGAAAACACTCATAGCACATCAGGACTTCCATGCTTACATTGCGCTCATCAAGTCCATCACGTCCACGGCCATGGACTGCTTGTCCCTGGGCCAGCACATGCCTGACCACTATTACTGAAGGGTTTTTCAAGGAATAACATAAGCTCAGTTTCACGTTTACTCATTTCAAAACTCCCTTTCTTCTGGAATGGCCATTTAAGCCTCTTCCATGCTAGGAGCGCAACATTCATTCTCCTCCCCTATTTCTCTCCCTAAGTGTGAAGGACATGGGGTCTTCTACCCGCAAAGCGTGCAACGCCTCGGTGTCCTTGCTGTGGGTATCGCTGCTCGGGTGCCCTTTAGGGTTTTCACCTCGCTGCAACGCCTCTTCCTCCGCCTCTCCCGGCGGCTACGCCATCTCCACCGGCTCCAACGGCACTACGGCCGCCTGCACAACGACCGGCGGCACCGTCGTCAACTCCTCCGCCCACGGGGGTGCTTTCGCCACCTGCTACGCCTCCGCCACGAGCTCGTCTCCACCGGCTGAGCCGTCTGCAGCGCCGAGTCGGCCAGGCCAATATGGGCATCCTCTCTTCACGGTCCTCTCTTTCTGGGTCTGTTTAGTTGTTCTCAACTCATCCGCACTCGTCGGATCCTCACCCCCGTCCGTCGCGCACCCGCGAAAGGCCTGATATTTTTTCCTGTTTTTAAGCCGTTTCTGCTTGTAATAACGGGCTAATCCCCGAGAACGATGCACCAGACATACAACCAGCCAAAATCGTCGACAACACCGAACATTAGACTGTCTCAAGAGCAAAAATGATTCCAACCGCTAGTCAGTGGCTCAAATAGGCCAAGGCTCAATCAATCGAGCAGTAGCCATCTCCCCTCGTCCAAGCCGAAGAAGACCATCTCTTCCCTTCTCATGATCCTGTCTGAGCAGCGAGCCAAGGAGACGACGACGACCCGACTCCAGGTCTGCCCATGGAGCTCGCGCCGGTCAAAAGCTAGAACCTTTGACAGAATCGGAGCATTCGGGTGGGGTCAATAGCCCATGAGTTTATTTTGTATCATTTCCATCCTTTGTGAGCATACCAAGGAGACGATCTAGCAGATCTAGGAAGCATCATTCTTCCAGCAGAAAAAATCACACCAGTCGAGAGAATCTAAATCATCAGGGGAAAACCGTTCACAGCCTAAGTCTTTATATCTTCCTTCTATCGGCGAGTCCACAACCGAGCCGCCAAGAGTTCAAGGGAGGGGGGAATGTTAAAGCTCAGCTCACTTGCGGCTGATTGCCGTACAGGGGATAAGCGCCGTAGGCAGCAGCGTACATCCCCGGGCTGTGGGGCGGCACGGCGTAGCCATACCCATCGAAGACCTGGGCCCCGCCGTAGTATGCGCCGCTCCACTGTCCCGCGGGATCCCCTCTCGACTGCAGAAGCACAGGAGCCAACGGATGAGAGGGAAGAGAACGATGGGTGGGGAGAGCCCACTGCAGTAATAATAAGAATAATAACCAGTTTTAGTCGTTTTACCTGTTTATTTGCAGCATTGCGGCCCCAGGAAAGGCGCACGGTCTGCTTGCCGATCACCGTCCCGTTCAAGCTCTGCAGGGCCTCCTCGGCGTTGTTCCTGCGGAGAAAACCGCAAAGCCGCAGAGGATTTTGATGGGTCAGTGAAGCAGCAGCAGCCTGTGGTTGACCCACATTCGATGCTTAAAATGGTGGGTGGGTGGGTACCTGTAGACAAACTGGACGAACCCACATTGCTTTCCGACGGGGATTTTAATGGAAGAGATCTCGCCGTACTGAGAGAAAGCCTGCCTCAGGTCTTCCTCGCTGGCGTTGGGGTCGAGCCCTCCGACGAACACCTGAACCAGGGACGCATTCGTGAGAAGGCTCTTTCTTCTCGGCCATGAACTTGCATAGCAGAGCAGTGAGGGAGGGACCAACTCACCGTCGTGTTACTTAGATCTGCATCTGTCTGGGAGGCTTGCGAGCCGTTTGATGAAAAACCTGGAACAAGACAACGTGAGGGGCCCAAGAAGTAAAAAAACAAATAGGAGATTTCAGAAGATCTGGGTAGAATGTGGGGAGTTTAATAACCATGCTAGTCATTGGATTCCAAACTAAATGGTGAAGTACGATAATCAGGAAGGGTATCCAGCAAAAACCAGAAAAACCAGAGAAACCAGAAAAACCAGAAAAACCAGAAAAACTACTACTCTCACAGTGGTCCATGGCTGATCCAAGCACCAAATTTGCAGATTTTAGTAGTATGTGGGTTTAAATTTTTCACCCATTCTTCACTGATTATGCGATGGATGGTTAAAACAAATCCGACTGCAATTGATCCAACTCTGCAGTTCCAAGAATCAGATTTGATCACGGAATTTGTAGCACAATAGACCCAAAAGCATGCAATGCAGTCTTCGTAATATGATATCAATAAATACACCTCTACATGCAATGTACGCCTTGCACCGTCCTCCTCTGGTTATAATTGGTGCCCCTTCAAACTTTTTCCAACATCATTATCACTTTCCCTAGTACACCACTTCAACTAGAGCGTCTTCTTTTGATATTATGATTGATATTGTTCACTCTTTGACGAGGAACTTACCGAATTGGGAGAAGAAAGGTTCAACTTGGAAGAACAGAAACGGGCAGACTTTGACAGGATGCTGACAAACCTGATGCATTCGCAGAAATCTGTTTGCTCAATGATAGGTCTATGCAAAAGAAAGAGTTTAAAAGTGGTATGAAAGGGAACTTCTTTAAATAAAGAAGACCATCGACAACATACAAAGAACAATCCCGCCAAGAAGCCCTCAACAACACAATGTATTTTCACATGATTGCACTAAAAAGATAAGGGAAGAGCGCAGTTCACCTTTTATTGGATGGAGATAGATCACACGAAAAAATGACATCACGTAGCACACCCTAGAATTCTAGGGCAGGGACGGAGATAAGTGTTTTTTTTTTGTTTTTTGCAATTTGTGGGAGGGAACTTAAGCAGAATGGGGAAAAAGGCAGAAGATTTTAAGGACACCCATTGGGCAAAACAACTAAGATATCAATAATATACAGATGAAATCGTTCAGTTTATGTCAAGGGAAGAGTACTTGCATACAAACAGACTGTTCAAGAAGCTTAAAAAAGGAGCAACCAGATTTCTAAGTTAACACCAAGAAAACTGTAGTTGGCAGCTTTCTAGTGGAGAAATATGATGCTAAGAGCGTGTCCCACATATCTAGGCAATGAGGCAAAAGAACCCCCAATTTGTCACCAACGGAATATTTTCTGCTGGAATTGGTCAAAGATAGAAAGAGTTGAAAATTAGCTAGCTGACTAGGGAGTAAAGATTCTATATATATTTTAGGAAAACTCACGCTATGAAAAAATGCATTGTTTAACCTCTCGTTCTGTCATATTGCATCGTCATGATCCCTAAAACAGTGGATAAGAAAAGAAACTTTCACATGAAAATAGGGATACAGGTCATAGATGGCATCATCTTAACAGGTGAAGGATTTATAAGCACAAAGTAATGAACCAGCCATGTTAACGTTAGAGGTTTACTCCATCATTGCTAAGTAAATGATATTGGAAGTGAGGTACTGAGTATGGGGAACTAAGGTTGAATGTTATTAAGGAAAAATACAACAATAGTGAAAGATATGACATCACACCCCATAACGTCAACAGAATTTAAAATGTATCCTGAGATAACTTTCAGGACAGGGACGTGAAAAACTCGCATTTGAAGGCTGTTGATGTAGAGTATCTACTCTCGGAGAATGTGATAACTAAGCTTGAAGGTAGCACAAGATCTAAGCATAATCAGGGGATAGATTTTTCTACCATGACATGGAACGAAAGCAAAGACCAAATTTCAAGAAACATCACAAGGATGATGAGATCTAACACTTTCAGAATTTTTCTGCCTACTTACACAAAGGTCCATCGCAAAACCCAGGTTAGGTAGATGGCATTGAAGATGGTACAAAGAAGGGAACTTTTCAATCAAGTCAACATATCACATTATCTCAAATAGAGGCAATAGATATCTTGCCACACATCAGGTTCAAATAACCCCTTCTTTGAACGTAAAGGTCTAAATTCAGAAGGCTTCACAACATACAGCCTTCAAAGAAGCGGAAATTTTGGAACGATTAGTCTTTCAATATTTCCTCTCTAAAGAAATTTAGAAATTGTTATACTTCACAGAGTCAATACCCCATCCACATTGATGAGCTTTGACTGAGGCGAAATCCTCATCGGACAAAGAAGGTAGATAAAAATATTTACTCGTTTATTTTTTATTCAAAACTCTAGGTTACAAAGACATTGAAATATACACATTTCTATTAAGGAGAGCTGTATATCGTCCGTGGTCTTAAAGCGGACCTGTGATTGGGGGATAGTAGGTCTCAACTAGGAAAGAAGGAAAAGGTCAAGGCTCGTTGGGGAATCGAGGTATTTGATGCACTTGAAGAAACTTATAGACTGTATTCAATGGAAACTGAGAAATGTTAAACAAACACGTTCTATCGCCACAGGATTCGTAGAGTACACGGGTCAATAAGCACTGGGTTCAAACAACCTGAAGACAAGAGAAGTTGAATGCGAAACATTCCAAAGTGGATCGGTCTTCCTTCCATTGAGTGTGATTCCACATAATGGGCCTGGAGCGCAATGTTGCAGCAGAAGCAAAAGCGGAAGGTTATTCTTTTGAAGGAAGAATGCTAATGGCCGCAATGGTCAAGGGATCAGTGGCCACAACAACAGGCCAACACTGCTCATTTTAACATGGCGTTCAGCGGGATCAAAAAACACTCCTGGTGCTGATCCCAAAAAATAGGGTACAAAGATTCTACATTGATTTATCAGATGGTGCTTATCTGATCCTTACATGCATCATTACACGCAGCTCAGCACATGGGGAACCTTTAGCTTAATTTCAGGAGGGGAGAGGTCTCAGATAAGGAGGCCCTTTATGCTCTCTAACTTGCCTTTGTAGCAAAAGTGACATGTAGGATGTCGTATGGGCAGATACGTATGGGCAGATGCTTTGGGCTGAATCAAGGAATTTCAACCTTACATGGGATACACTTACAATACGCAAATGACACGACTGTAGTATTATCTATAGAGAAGAATCATGTATTTAAGACGAGAATAATGCTCGACATTTAGGGAGAAACTACTGGCCTTAAGGTAAACCTTTCGAAAAGTATAAGTTACGAGCTTAATGTTGAGAGGAAAGTTGAAAGGCAACTTTGCTGTTAGGATACAAGCTAGGGAGATCTCCTCCAATATTACTTAAGCCTGTCACTCATCTCTGGTGACATTTTTTGGAGAGACTTGACAAGGAAGGTGCAAACGTTTGAAGCAAAATATCTGGTTGGAAAGTGAAGCTTCTGTGATTTGAAGGGACGCTAAAATTGTGTAAAGTTGTAATACTACCAATCAATTTTCAGGATTCCCTAATCAGCAGCTAAGAAGCTAAAAAATATTGAATGAAGACCTTTTCGGCATGAGGGAAGTGTTACAAATAATAGTAACTACGAACAGTTTCTTAACTTTCTTAACATCAGAGAGCCCTTTTAAGCAAAGGATTCTGGAAACTGAGGATTTATGATGGAACATGGCTAGAGGTTATGAAATAGAACTATCAAGGAAGAGGTAGAGATTGGGATTAATTATTTACTTAAGCAGCATTTATAAAATTTAGAAGGATATCTATCCAACATGCTAGAGATGAAGTAAAAGCAGTATTCTATAAGGACTGTTGATGTGGGACATTTTCTTTTAATTAGGCTCCTCTTCTTTTCAGGGCAGTTCATCACAATAACGTCATTGCTACACAAGCTTCTAACAATTAAACACTAAAACAAATATTGCAGTTTCTAGAGTTGTAGAGAACTTGAGACTAAATAATCAATCCGATGAAAGTAGCGGTGGAAATTTGCCTTTTCAATGGTCCATGTACATCTTTCATAGTACTGCCAACGGAAACCTATTCTTAACCTCCCTAAGATTCCCACATCATTGCCACCAGTTTTGAAAGTGTTGAACAACCTGCATTCTGCCTGTTCTCGTAATCAGAGAGGGGATACAACTACTGGCAAATTACACCTTTCTCTTCTGCTCTGAGAAGTAACAAAAATGGTCTCATTGTTGAAACATCACAGAATCATTTCCAAATTCATGAAATGCCCATCATCATGAAATATACAGGCACCTTATTTTCTTTTCAATGAAATGCGTCAGTATTGAAAGTCCACAGAAAAACATTGACATAAAACAGAAGGAAAAAAATCATTTTGCACAGAAATGGCGTATGAATTGGAAAGCAAAGTGATATGTGAACTGTGAAAAAACGGCCGTGTACTGATACGTTATTGCCATTATTTTCCCATATAGGAAATTCTGATGTCTTAAGCATATAAAATAGTTCGAAAAACGAGCTATTTCTGCCCAAAACCTCACACACTACTAACATTTAATAAAAAATACACTGTAGAATGAACACAATAATACCCAAAAACTTCAACATTATAGGCAATAAACTCGCAGCCTTTAATTCCCCACGAAAAAATCGAATAGATGGCATTACCCTTCAGGAAATATTCTTCCGTCGGATATTACGAAAATGAAAACGAGCAATTATCAGGGTAATAAGTACGGCAACTGCAAAGTGATATATTCGCACGTTTAAATAGAAAAACCCCTTTGACCATTTTGGAGTGTTGAGAAAACCGTTACATAGCCGTCCATGTGACCTGCGCACTGACTATATGCCAAGAAAGTCCATTCTGTCTTTCTTGTACATAATAGATGGCACTAAGGCTGACTTATTCATGAACACCCATCGAAAACGATATTCTAAACCCTAGATGACGATAACCCTATCCCGCAAAAAATGATGTAACATAAAAAATCGATACTATAATGATCTCAACATATTTTACGTAAAGTAAGCAAATAATAGCTAGTTCTTCCGATGACATACCAGATGACTTCCTGGGGGTAGCAGCACCAATGCGCATCGCTCTACTGGAACAAAAAACACCATTCATTTCAGTCATTGCACGCAATTTCTCATGTTCATCTCCAAATCTTACAAATCCATAACCCTTTGATCGACCAGTGTTTGCATCAATAACAACCTTTGCACCTTTAACAGATGAGTATCTTCTATCAAAAGTTTCTTGCAAAAGAGTATCTGTAACATCAGAAGCAAGATCTCCCACAAAAATAGAATGATCAGAGCTGACCTCTGAACGCCTATCCCCCATGCTAAATGTGGCCCAGTTTATTCGAAAAAGCTGATCCGTATTGGGCATTATCATGCCATTAAAACTCTGCAGAACCTTTTCAGCTGCTGCATGTGAATAAAATTCCACGAAGCCATACCCCTCTGACTGACCAGTTTGCTTATTGCGGATAACTTTCACCAAAACTACCTACAGGGCATACAGGAGTAGAATGAAAGACATCAAACGTTGTAAAGGAAAATATATAACAAATATAATCAGGTATACATTCGTCAATTGAAAACGTATTCCTTCAGCTTAACAAAAACGTACATCTCAAAGAAAACACTGAATAGAAATCCAACCAAAGAGGAGAACACTGTCCTTTAAAAATCAGAAACATACGGGAAATGGAAAATTAAATTCAACCACTTTCCATAATCTTATACAGATCATATCTGTGAAGACGGCAAAAAGTGATAATTATAGAAACATCAGAGAATATTTAGAATTTATGAATCTAATTCGGAAACTTCTGTTACAGCAAAGCATCCCAATAAATCATTAACATAAGATATTTCCAATAACAGTAAAAGCTTCAGGTGTGAGTTTGTAGATACGTTCATATTTCCATCCTATCTAGCAGATAAATGAAAAACTGAAAACAAAAACACTGATTGAAACCCATTGACGCCATTTCATTCAATATTCTTTTAATGAGCTTTACAAGTGATTGGAGAAACTACAGTAAAGATAATCACAATTATTAAATTCAATGACAAAGAAAGTATAGGCAACCAAAAAGATGGAATGCACAACTATGAAACAGAAACAAAAGTATTAACTCACAAGAGGTGCGAGATACCAGATATCTGAAGGCCTTAACAAAAGCATTCTGTTTAAGTGGGTGCTTTTCCAATTTGCAGTACATTCATACCAGATATCAACAGTTGACAGAACAAAAATTGGAACACACAGCAACAAGGTACTGGTGGTCTTACTAGACCATGAATCTACAACCTACTCCCTTGGCAACAAGGTGAGGTGTGCAGATGTGGTCCCTAGTTTTATATATGATTGAAAAGAATGAGATGAATTGCATACTGTTAAATTGTAAAATATGAGACCATAGTCAGACTACTCAAATCACACAAATATAGTATGCAGTGAAATAACTGTAGCAATCATCTTTTCTTTACGTTAATCAAATGTATGACTTCACGCATTCTGGTTGCATAACTATTTGTTAGAAAAAAATTAAGAAATGTCATTGTAGAGCAATAAACTGCTGGCCTTCCAATGCTGCATTAGATGAACTGACTAAGATACTAGGCAAATAAGACACGAGTTTACAAAGAAGAACTGACGCGGAAGAGATCCCCTGTCGTTCATGTCATTAATACATGCCAACAGCTGCTTGTGCATACCTACTAAAAACCATCTGCTGCTATCGCTTGCATTCAAGAAGCACCCAAAGAGTGATGAACTAAATATTCAAGCCCTTTGCGTGGCCGAAGGGTGATGCCAATGTGAACAGATGCATCCGTAATTGATAAATGCATACCTGAATGACAGTTCACATTTGGCTGAAAACAAATGCACAAAACAGTTTGCATTCAGTACAAACAGCATTCACATCTACCATTACTTTTCTATGCACTGACAAATGCAAACATTTACAGTGATTCGCAACACTTACATTTGTGTCCCCAATAAAAGTTTAAGGGTACTGTTTACAGATAAAAATAAACCATATAGCATTAGTGTGATGTGTTTGGGAAGAGCAAACGGTAGAGCAGATGCAACCCAGGAGACAAAATGCTGACGACCAAAATCCAAGCAACCCAGCAGATCCCTTATTAGGCTGCTCACATAGGAGGTCTGGATGCCATTGGGCATCTCCAGCATATTGTTCTACAGGCTACACGTTAAAAACCATGGACCTCACGTAGAACATGAGAAACATCCCCTTTAACATCAACTATAATAAACGCACACAGCCTAATGGTGCCACAGGTACGAGATGAAGTCCCAACTAATCATGTGACTCTCTACAGCAGTGGGTGAAGCACGTCGTGCCAAGATACAAGTGTTGTAGATCATATAAAAAAGGAATGAAATGAAAAGTTATTGAGAAAAAAGTAAGCCAATACAGAAATCATGCAAAAAATTCCTCCTCAGAGGTACACATACACAAGACAAACCAAAAGATTGTATGTCAGTGCCCAAAGCATCCCAGCAAAGTAGATAAACTCTGACAAGTCGGTTCAGGCGTCAATATTTCCCAGTCATGATCCACATTGGAATTGACCATGTCAGCCATCCAAATGTCAAATGAAACCCCCATGAGGATCTGCCAAGTTGACGATTGGATACAGGTCACAAGGTCTCAATGTTAAGTAGGCCCAACACCTATGTGGCTCGTGCTGTATGATGCCACAACTGCACTATACCCAAATAATTCAATAAAATAGAGAAAAAAATAGAAGAATGCATCTAGAAGATTCAGTGTCTAAATATTAATCTCCTATTAAAAACAGAGGGAGAAAAATGCATACAGGTGAATTATAAACTGTTGTGCCGCCCAAACCATTTCCAGGCCTATTGTCAAACACTGGAGGCAACAATAGAAGTTGCAACAAAAGACAAGGAAGACAAAGAGGAAGTCATTGACTACATAAGAGCATGAACTTCCACAATGAAAGCTTTGATGAGTGCAGCACTAAAAAAAAACCCTAAAAAGCCTGAGTATCAAAGCTAAGTAATTCTGACAGGTACTATTTGAAACTATCTCAGTTTCTGACATTTCCAAATTAGAAAGTAAATTCAGTTCAGTCAGCCCGAGGATAAATATCATCCAACTTCTCCTATAACACTCCTAATTTCAATCCCCCAATGTCATGACAAAATATATTTCTCTTCTTCCTAGTACTAACTGATAAATGGAAGGGGTGCGCCATGTGGAATTCAAGAAGTTCCTGGTGAAAATTTAGTCATTTGCAGTGGAGACACAAAAGAACGGAATTGAAGCCAAGAAACGTGAACAAAACCAGTCACTACCTCTACAAAAGGCACTTGATGTTGAAGTACTTGAACATGCATATTCTAAAAAGTCAAGCAAACAAAATCGAAAATACATCAAGAAACACTCATCCCAAGAGCACTTCCAAATTAGTCATTCAACTATTCTGTAACCTAATACTGGATCGGGATCATGACAATATGAAATCCGGTAGAGAAAAAAATAAACTAGATCAAGAAATTGTGTTTTGTTCAATATTTGATGGAGTTCGGATCTCATAAATGGGCTTCCATTGAATAGCATGGTTACATTTGTGTAGTATACATACTCTACATAAATGGCAGCAATGTATGAAATGCATCTATCAGACCAGCCGAGCACTTCATCATAAATAGAGACAGAAGATTGCTGGTGAATGTAGTCTGGAAACTAGTGAGATCATTGGGCACCAATCTCCTTTAGCATAAAAGGAGATAAAATTAACAGCATTGACGAGCAATAAAAGGACATTGGAGAAAACGAGTACAGCAGCTTAACTTTTGTCCTCGAGTAAAATGGAGTAAATAACAGAGACAGAAGTCGAGCATCATAGGGCCACTAAGAAGGTATTACAGAAAGCTATACTTCCACAAACAACCACTGAGTATGAGGCAGAACACAAAATTTTATATGAAAAGAACATATTATAGAGACAACATCTTTCCGAGAAAACCAGCCAAGCAGTCATAAATAGGCTACTGGATTGTAGTCAGTAGGAGAGGCAGAATCATATACTTCGGGAACTATCTAATAGGAGTTTAGCAAATGAGCAAATCCACCATCATCCTGTACTGGAAAATGGTCTCTTTTCTAGCCCATGCTATTCTTCTTTACTGCATTTCTCTTGGTGTTTAAAGAAGAATTTTTATGCTCCAGAAAAGAAGAATAACACCTCTAAACACTTATTTTATTTGTTCTAGGGTGATTCATCTTGGAAGATGGAAGCCATTCTTTAAAAACTTATTTTATTTGATAAAAAAACAAGGTAAGAAGCATATTTCAAGAAAGTATGAAGTGAATAACCAGTAAAATCCAATTAAGAATTTGTACTTTTTCCCTGGGCCTACTTCATCACCAACCCGACCAGGATAATGAAGCAATAACCAATTTACGTAAGACAGATAATACTATTGGGAATCATGTAGCAGTAGTTCTTTTTCTCCACTATTAGATGTTGGGGAAGCATTCACGTGTCTATGTCAATCCCTTCCTCTTTGAGAAAATCCATCAATAAAAGACAGGTCTCATCCCCGAACTAGAAACATGATAAATCAGTATACAATTAGCATCTAAGTCTCATCCAAAAGAACAGCTAGGTCATCTAACCCATATATTGGATGAAAAGAACTGTGACTCAGTACATGCGATCACCTTCTTTTCTTTTCCATGCTATTAGGAACCACTCGATTTTTTTCTATGAAGCATACTGTCAGCAGTAAACAAATCAGTTGACTTTCAAGAAAAACAATGTCATTTTAAAGCATCCGTATGTCTTTGTAATCTAGATAGAGCCGTAAGGTAAGTAAGAGATATAACCACATGGATAAAGATTAACTGCTCAAAATCCAGTGCATAATCTGAACAACATGAAAGCACCAGTCAACGTTTACTTTAAAACACAAGTCCCAAATCAATAGAGGATTCCTGACGCTGCACACCACAACAGAATGGGACAACTAGAAGGCAACTTAAGGTTGTTTCACGCTGGATTTTACACGGACTTGGAAAAAAATGCAGGATCAGCCATCAATTAGTTGAAACTAAACCGAAGTAAGGACGCTACAGGAAAAGAAATAAACCTCAATATTTCTGGCTTCCACGTAGGCGTTACTATATTCTCCCAAACAAAAAGGTTTTCAAGCAAAGAACAGAGCATACATACTTTATTATTCCTAATCAAGCAGGTGATTACGTCATATACTAATGGTACTGTCGCATCCATCTTGCATAAACGCCAATCTATAAAATGTTTGAAACCATAATATTGAGAAGAAGCCCACTGGAAAGCCTACTAATCGAGGAGACAGGAACGCTAATAAGATAGCGATCGTTCTGGACATGTCCATGTGTACTTTCTTTGGTCAGTATCTTCAAACAAAATGAAATACATGCCCTCTCTTATAAAATAAAGAAAGCACCAAGATGCGCGACAAAGACAGGTACGGTAGCGAAAAAACCCTAAGCCTTCCCAACAAAAACCCACAATCAAACGGTTTCCCTCAAAACATCGGAGAGCGAAATAACTAATTTCAGGTCCAGCGTAAGCAATCCCTGGACAGTAACTGTAGTCACCCACTTACCAGAGACAGAAGGTTCAGAGAGAAAAACGTAAAGTTTAAGGAGAGGGAAGGAAACGCCTTACCTCACCGGTGTGTCCAAAACAGTGCTGCAGGTAGTTCTCATCCATCCAATAGTGGAGATCCCCCACCCAGATTGTCCGGTTCTCCTCCGCGGAGCCCTGCTGCTGCGGCTGCTGCATCTGCTGCTGGTGGTACTGCGGCGGCACCGGGGCAACGTGGTGGTAAGGCAGGTAGTGCGGCGCGAACTGCGGCGGCGGCGGTGGGCCCCCGACCCCCATCATCTGGTGCTGCATAACCATGGTCGCCGCCGGGTAAGACATGGCCGGTAGCCACTGCGCTGGAGGCGGTGGCGCCTGCTGCTGGGTCTGCTGCGGCTGCGGCGGCGCCTGCAGCTTCTGGATTTGGGGGTTGTCAACACCGTTCGTCGATGGCTGCATTGTCTCCACCACTAGAATGAGTACCGAATATGGAAGCTAAGGGCAACCTGTGCCCAGCGGCCCCGTCGGACTGGGATATGTAGGGAAGCGGTGAGCTGAGGGAGAGCAGCAGCAGCAGAGGAGGAGAGCCGCAGCAGCAGCAGCGGAGCAGCGACGGTGGGGAAGAGAGATCGGTGAGTTGGGCCTGCGAGATGATTAAATACCGGCGGCGGCTTTGGCGGAGGATCTTTCTGGGCCGTCCAATGGAGGGAAGGCGATGCGGTGGGGACCGTTGATCTGGGGAGATCTCGAGCGCCAGAGTTCCGCCAGATCCCCCGCCACGTCACCCTCGTCCCCGCTGCCGATCCCGACCTGCTGGCCGCCGCCGTAAACCGACGTGGCCGTCTGGTGAACACATGGCCCCGCCGATGGCGCGCACCCATGGCGCTCGGTGGCGGACGTGGCGAAAACGGCACACCACTTGTCTATTTAACTGTCTGATTATCAAAGGGATCCGGATTCTGGATCACGTGATCACTCATTCCCTCTCAACGGCCGACGCCAAACTCGGTCAACTCCTAGTTATAGCTTACGTGGCACGACAGGGACCCACGTGGCGGTCGACAGCTCGACAATAAACAAAGTCCCTTATGAGCATGCCATCCAAGGTAAAACCGCCATATTTCACAAAGGGAGCTTTTCATACGAGGAACTGCAGCAAATGGCACGAAAGGGAGTAAAAGACTTTTGTACGCTCCCATTTTATGGGAGCAAAGTGGGTATCGTGCAATTTCGGGCCTTGATTTTTCCAAAGTCTGAGATTAGTAGTTCGTTGGAGTCAACCATGACTTGTAAGCATCGCTCCTAGTGTGCAATAGAGTTGACCCCTCGTCCCCAACCCAACCCGTTGACTTAGAGTATTCAAAGGCAACACCTATGGCCCGCCGCGTGTCTCAGTTCACTCCGAGGGTTGACCATTACGCACAGCACACATTTTTTTGTAAAATCACTCACTCTTCAGGAGTCAGCCCTCCTCTAGACATCCGATATCGAGAACAGCTTTCTAACACTTGAACGCTGACCTATCCTTATAAAGAAGAATACTCGTCAACGTTTTTGGCTCATCAACAGTGATCAGATCAGATCAGCTGGAGCACCCACAATTTAGCAACTCAACGGCATACCTTCCATTTGCACGAGACCCCGACATTCTGGCGATGTAGAATTTTCACCCCGTTGACCAAAACAGCAGCAGCTGCTGCTTCACGCATACTAATTCTGATAAAAAATAAATCTGTTCATCATTAGAGATGTTCTTCTTCGATGCAGCGAAAATCTGGATAGCATTGAAGAAAAAATGAGTGAGCTCCGCTCTAATTTCACTGGTAATGATGTGGGTCTGAAGCGCCCCGTAGGAACCATGGTGCCAGGCCGAATTCGAGGCCAAAAAAATATACAGCTCGCCCTGTAAAAAGAATGGCGGCGGATGGATCCTGCCTCTTCCCGCGGTCGCGGATGGTCTCGGCACCTGATCTTTTAAAGCAGGGTGCTGCACTATGCCTGAAAGGGTCCGTTTTGGAAGAGAGCTATCGCGCCCGCTTCGGGGTCTGCGAAGGGGAGATAGAGATGTTTTCTTCGCCGGTTCGCTCCTTCGCGCCGGTGGTGGGGGAGGCTTTTCCGCCCCGGAACCGCGGAGATGCTCACCTAGTGCTGCGCCTCAGCAGACCCGGCGGCGCTTTCGCCGCCCGCCGTCGCGGTGGCGGCGGCGGCTACTATCCCCTTTTCTGCCTCTGTACATCTTATTCTTCTCCCTCTTCGTCGTCCTCTTCTTCGCTTCCGCCCCCTCCTCCCCATTTTACGACCACCACTGCGCCCGTCACGCCCTCCGGGGCGACGGTCGTCACCACTACCACGGCATCTGCCCCCGCTGGTTCCGCGGGCCCCGTGGTGAAGAAGAGGAAGCGATACAGGAAGGCGTACCCTGGGGAGAGCAAGGGCATAGTGGAGGAGATGAGGTTCGTAGCCATGCGCCTGCGGAACGACGGGTCTAAAGGTCTTGGCGTCGACAATGAAGGAGCCTGGGAGGACAGCGGCGCAGATACAGGGGAAATGAGCACCGCGGGGGAGGGGGAGACCTGGAAGCCGAGCATGGAAGGGTTCTTGAAGTATCTGGTCGACAGTAAACTCATCTTTGAAACCCTCGAGCGTACAGTCGACCGGTCAGATGATGTCGCCTGTGAGCATACCAACCCTCGATTCTTCAGATGCGCTCCTCGATTCTTTTATGGTTTTGGCGGGCGATCTACGTTGGCACCACGCAAATTTTTTACTGGTAGATGACCCGGAGAGCAGACTTCACCTTGAAGTGAAATGCGCCACGTTCCATTGACTACGCCTTGAAGCAGTACTTGTTGCATCCCTCTGTGTGTGTGCCACCATGAAAGGATCTTTCCAGAGCCCGGGGAAGACTCTTGTCTGCCTATGGGTAGTTAAATTAACTATAGCTTCTAAAAAAAATAATGGGTTGACCTTGTGCTAAGCTTGCTCCATGGAAGCGGCATTTCCTTCCTTGATGCTTATGGTAGATGGCTTGCTCTGGACTGAAAATTTATGAAAGCCCTTGATGTTGTCGGCTCCTCATCTCCTGTACACGAGAGCCATTGGCCTTTTGAATCACCCTTCACGGCAGGATCAAGTAGCCGACAGGCCAAGTGAATCTCTTTTTTCGGAAGATCTAACTTGATGGGCATGACTATGTGGGCAATGGCCATACGTTTTCTAGACATAAATGTCAGAGACCACCCCTAACCTTCGTACATTGAAATAACCGATTGTGAGAGCCTTCTTGTTGCCCAATGAAGATGTGCTGGGCTTTTAGTCCGTTGTCTGTATACCGTGTGGGAACAGTTTTACTGGCCGTTGATAGACGTAGAATGAGTTTTGCTGCAGTTTGTTTTTCCGGCTGAACTGATAATTTCTGTTTTTATTTGGCATTCATTGTATGGTTCCTCTGTTCCCACGTTTAGATGCTGTTGGGAGTCGTCATCCTTGAATGGCAATGAAGAGAAGTTTCATTTGATGTTACATTCTGTCAAGTTTTGCTACATGCTATCTAGGACTCATTATTCATGAAAATTAATGAGGTTTCCCAGTAAAAAAAAAAGATTGAAATATAATTATGTCAAGTTTTGCCACATGCTATCTAGGACTTTTGTATTTTTACCAGATGATATCACATTCAACGTCCAGTAACTGGTTAGCTACCTTTCTTGTAGGACATTTAGTGATATTCTAACGATTTTTTTTTTACTGGGAAACCTCATCAATTTTCATGAATAATGAGGGTTTAAATGGTTTGGGCGTTGATGATACAAAATGATTAAAATTGAGGGCTAGATTTGGTTCTGGTATAGTATTCACCTTTGTGACATTCATTTCGTCATTTTGAATCGAATCGTCCTTTTTAAGAGTTTATTCTTCTAGGCCTGTCAAACATTTGAGCATGAAAGGGTTATTCTAAGAGTTTATTCCCATAAAGTCTCATTCTCCCTGGCAGTTAAAAGCCGTACTCAAACAAGGATGGATCCATGAGGGATAGAATCACTTCTTCTCCTTAAAAATTCTGAGGAGATATTAATGGAAAAGAGAAGTAACAAAAAACCACATTGATTTAATTTTTATTTTTTTCCTGCAGATGCTTTTTTTAGGAAGACTGGCTTGGAGAGGTCAAATTGTCTTTCAAATGATCTAGATTGGTTCAGTGGACAAGGCATTGTGATTCCAACTCCTACTTCTCTTGGGACTACATATGCTGCTTACTTGAATGAACTGGCTGAGAGCAGTGCACCGTCATTCTTATGTCATTTCTACAATATTTATTTCGCGCATGCAACAGGTGGTCTAGCAATAGGTAAACAGGTAACTATGCGTCCTCTGGCTTAGTTTTGGTTATTCTGCTTCAGAATGTCTAAATGAATGGCATATTATTGTGAAATTATTGTTTATTGCTACTGTTGTGACATATGGAACTGTTTCAGTCATTCTAACCTGCACGCATGCTTACTATTTAACCTCTCTTTATTCACCAGCGCTTGTGCTAATTGGAAACTTTGCTTGCCTGAGAAATATTAAAAAAGAGCTGACTTATCAACTCATTTGACTCTGGCTCACTTTACCCAAATGTTCTGCCTATGCCATTGTTGTCAATTTTTTTGGTTCCAGTGCCATTTATCACCTTCAAAGCCCAACTGCACAACCTCCTCTGTTTCAGACATAATTCAAGTTGGCTAGAGAATGCCTATGGCCACTAATGTCTGGTCATGACACGACTCCAGAGTGAATAGCCAAGGTAGACTGAATGAAGGTAACATGAGAAAAGCCGATTAATTCATTACGTGAAACAAAATTAATATGTAGGACTGAAAAAAGTTGAAGAACAAAACTCTAAATATTAAATCAATTGATGAGACATGATAATTAATGACACACCTGTCTTATCCATAGTATAATTAGTCTTGATACTAATAAGTGAGATCTACTTGTTCCATCCTGACCTGCATGCTATTGATGCTGGTAAAGAGGGAAATACAACAAATTGCATATTTTCCTGCAAACTGATATCAGTATCACTTCTTTAGGTCCTGCTATTGATAATGGTCTCAGTTTACCTTTTCGTCAGAAAGGTGCTTGATGTTTCGCTACCTTTCAGCCTGGAAATCAGCCAGCATATTGTTATTCATTTCTTTTCTTTTTTTTGATGGCACAAAGCTTTTCGTGAAAAAGCATCCTTGGGTGTGGGGTCTTTAATGAAATTTATCCAGGGAAAAGATCAGTTAACTTGGATTAGGCGTTGACAAAAGCTGTGTTATCACTTTAAATGCCATTTGTGACATTGATTAGCCATCCTCTGTATTTCGTCGGGAATGGATATGTAGGTGTCCTAGTACATGGGGAATATTTATCCAATAAAGGTTTTAGGCACTAATCTATGGATTAGTTCACAAGTGGACAGATATGCTGTTGCAATTGATGAGGTGCATCACATAAAATGAATGCAATTGTCCTTGTCAACATGATATTTCTAGTTTATATCTTTCTTGCATTGTCTTGTTGGCTAATAAAGGAATTTAGTTACCAGGTTGGGCACTAATTTATCCTGGTAAGGTTTTAGGTGCTATTTTATGAATTATTTCACTAGTGGACATAAATTTTCTGTTGCAATGGACGGAATGCTTCAGAGAAAATGAAGGCAATATTCCTTCTCAACGTGATATTTCTACTTTATATCATTCTTGCATCTCCTTACTTGGTTTGGTAATAAACGAATTTTAACTCCCAAGTTACGGAAAAAATATGCCAATGAAGTGGTGTATTGAGTGCAAATAACGTGGGAAATGCTATTGAAAATGTTTCATTTTGGACTTTAGTGATTAATATTATGCCGTGGATTGTGATGTGGCATAACCAATCGAGAGATGAGGCACTCTACTCTCTGCCTGTATATTGGATCAACCTGAATTCGTTTTGGGGTATCCTTTTTGTTTGCATTCTGGCAAAAGCTCCCATTCAGAAGATTTATTCTGTTATAACTGCTTAACCATTCATAGACTTGTTTTCTCAAATAGATTATGGGACTATGGATCAACCTGTATATTTGATGCATGAGTATCTTTTAGATGAAAACTACAGAAAATTAGGGACTATGGTGGACATTTAGCTGTTAGGTTTAGGCAAGCTTGGTTAGCAAAAGTTTCTTTTCAGTCCATGATTTGAATCTTTTACTGCTATTCTTGGTCAAGCTGCAAATTCGAAGAATTATGCCCTTCCTACTCTTATTGACAACCACAAATTCCGTTTGAGGCCTTGCTATTTGAGCCTTTAGATTATAATATTGTTCATTGAAGATTTCAAGACGTCATTTTAAGCAATACTTTAGATTTGATTTCATTCCTCATCAAATAGCATTTTATAAATCCTTTGTTTTCTAGTGTACATGACCCAAAAAGGTCTCTCTCTCTCTCTCTCTCTCTCTCTCTCTCTCTCTCTCCCCCCCCTCCTTCCTTTCCTTTTACAGTTCAAAGTTATGCGAATGGCAGTATTCATTCTTAAAATGTGAGATAATAAAGTGAGACTGCTGTAATTTTTTTGCTCTGAAAGTCATCAGACCTCGAATTGGCTTGGAAGATCATGTCATCGTGTATATGAGTGGGTTACAGCTTGCAGTCTGAGTCAAGAAGATAGTCATTGCAATTGTTTTTTTAGATGACTTTACTGTCAGAGGAACACAAGAGGATGTCAGAGAAACTTAAAGAAGTTTGGCCTGATAGTAGAACGCCTCCTTTGGAAATGGAGGATAATTATCATGGAGATGTAGAGAACAGTTCAGCAAAACTGTATTTCCTGAGTGAAATTTCTGATTGAAGTACTGCTTTTAGTGTATGGTTTGATATTTTGTATTTCTTTTTGATCTCTTCCATGGTTCACTAAAAGAATGATGTCTTGGTCCACACAATCTCCAACTCGTGGCTGAATAGAGCTGAGTCAAGTTTCGGCTAATCTTTTAAGTGGAAATTAACTTGTTCTCAACTTTTAAGTGGATTCTCTTATTCACGAATGATTGCATGGTAAAAGGAATGTGTGAGGAGCATATTGTTGCGATTTGCATCAGAAGATCTAATGATCTTCCAAGTAACTCCTTGTCCCAGCTTGTAAGCCTTTTCGTCATTCCTCGTGCATAGGTTTCTGAAAAACTCCTTGAAGACCAGGACCTCGAGTTCTACAAATGGGAGGAGGACGTCTTTGAACTGTTGCAAGGTACAAGAGAAAAACTCAATAAACTCGGAGAGGTATGAGCCTACTGTGACTACGATGTCTACAAATTTTTTAGGCTTCTTGTGGTCAGTTAAACTAACGTAAACGTCGATGATCTGCTGCAGCACTGGTCTCGAGATGAAAAAAACAGGTGTCTAAGAGAAGCAGCCAAGTGTTTTCGTTTTCTGGGTCAGATTGTTCGGCTGATCATTCTTTAGATCTTTGGTTCCTCATGCTGATCCTATAAAAGATTCTCCATAGTTTGGAGCACGTGATTTGCATTGTGTTCCCATTAATTCTGGGCTGGATTCAGGGCATGAAGAAGCTAGTCAAAAGGGATGACCAGCCATATCTGTAAGTCTGAAATTCTGTCCCCTACTTGTATGCATACTGCTTAAAGTGATTCATCTCTGATAACTAGCTGCTGTATATCTCTAGTCGCGTTGTAAAAGGCGTAGCGTTTACTCTTTTCATTTTGCTGGGTTGAGCTGTTCAGGCTGATCTAGATCTCTTCATCCTGCCCACTCAAAACACCAGGCTGACTGACGGGCTCACCTATGATATGGCTCAACCTCTTGTTTGGGTAATATTCATATCCATCGCATGTTTCTTCTTTGTCTCTACTCTCCCAGATCCAAGATAATGTGAAGATTTGATCTAATGAAAATCTCTACATGAGAAAATATTTCCCTTGAAAAATTGGAGTCTGATGATATGGAAAATCCAAGTTTGCTCCTTGAAAGTCTTATGGGACATCAAGGCCAAGGCAACTTTCTGAATTGAGCTTTCAAATGAGTTCTGTTAATGGTCTTTATCAAAGATAACACCCCGTCCATTAGTGTATTTTTTAAAAGGTTGTTTGAGCCACTAATATAATAGACCAAGTCAACCATTCAAATTTTATTATCGGGTTTGATGATTTGAATGCTGTCATAGTTGGAGACATCTTTTTTTCCAATTTCTATAAAAATATTTCTTTTTTTTTGGGGGCGGTGTTTATATCCCACACTCCACACGGGCGATCACCATCATTTTTCTGACAAAAGAATCATTAGTGAAAAACTTTTGCAATCCTTTCACATTTTCTATTGTTCACAAAGTGTGTCTGAACATTCAACGCGGCGCGGTGCACTCATTGATTCCACCGTTTGTATGGTTTCTATTTAAATGTAAATCCTACCCATGTTTAGGGATGTCTGTTTAGATCTTGCAATATACATTTTCTTTTTCTTGTCCTCGGATCCATCATACCAAGAGCAGTGTCGTTAGGCCCAACATTTTTGTTGTGAATAAATCTCTATCGATTACCATTGGTGCAATTTCTTCAGTCATACCAAGCTTCAAGGAACTACTATCTCCTGCCATCTATGAACCATTTAGCCAGAAGACCCCTATTGAAAATCTAATCACTTAAGTGGAAAGGGGTCTCTGTTCTTGAAGTGGTGTGCCACTCCAGAGGGATTTACAACCTGTTCTTGAAGTGGTTGGTGATGTAAAGACGTTCTGTATCTTTCATAACGCCACTCCAGAGGGATTTACTTCTAATGCATTCAATTTTATGCATCACAGATGTCGGCAATCTTGAGTAGTTGTACTCATATGCGTGGGTTTACTCTCTGCCTTTGGGTAGTGTTTAGTTTCCCTCTTCATGCTCTAAATCTTGATCACGAACTCTCCTGTCCTCTCAGTTCATTCTTTCTCCGACTCTCTCTGTAAAGGCGGCGGTACAGCAAACTATCTCGATGGGAATTTTCCAACCTTGAAGCCCAATGTAACAATGTGATTGTTCATCTCATCTTGCTGATGGGATTTTTATTCACTTAAAAATATTTATGGGTTAGTCCCATTGCCATTCCCTACCAGATATATCGACCATTTGGACGCCTAGGTTTCTGCACATTTTCCTTTTTCAAGGGGGGATCTCTCTCATATTGAGCCCTGATGCAATCCCACGTGGAGTAGGAGCGGGGAAAGATAGGGGATGATGATCTATTTTCATAGAAATATTCTAAACGGAACCTTTTTATTGCTCATTTCAAGAACAGGCGGCAAGAATACGCTGAATGTATAATGGATCCCTCATTAATTAGTCCACTGAGACGACGCTTTCAAAATCACAGGGGAGGGTGGGGCTTCGGAAGATCTTCTCAGCGATGAAGGAACTGGGAACAGAACAAAGGGAATCGCAAACTCGGCCTTTCCTCTCACTGTGATTACTTACACTCGACAGGAATTACATGACACTTGGGAATCTTTTAGCAGAGCTTCTATCCCCCCTCAACAGGGAAAGTGAAGTTCGGCGCCGTGATGTGGAAAGACAATGAAATATTTCGGCGGGGAAACCATTATAGTGATATGGTGCAAGTCCACGCGTAGGTACGATGAGGAGAAATGATACCTTTGGGTATCCCCCCACCTCGTTCTGCTCTTTGAATCCCGATGCAGCTGCTACAAACTGCTGACCCCGCCTTCCTTTCTCGAGTGGTGGCTGGAGCAGGAGGAGATGCCACTCCAGCTCAATCTACATCAGGAAAGTAGGGATTGGAATTGCAGCCACAAGATGGTACACAGAATCGCTCATTACTAGTAACTTGGGCGGTCAATAATCAGAGGACTTGGTCAGGAACTTGACGTCGGTCACATTGCAGGAAGCCATTATTGATTCATACAAGGAAATGAATGGGTGATGGGATATATATAACTTGCAGCTGGCCAGAAATCAGTAAAAGCTGGGGCTGTCCGGTAGAACCATCAAAGACCCAAACACTGGGCCTGAAACAAACGGCTGAAACAGGATATACATGAACGTTACGTACGTCAGAGAAAGAGAAGAGAGTTGCCGTGTGCTCTTGGACTCAAGCCTGGGATAATCCCTGCTTTTGGAATTTGTTTCCAGTGGGGCAAGTGCACAGGTGCTGTCCCGCACAGGCCCCTTCATCTCGTATGCGACGTACAGCGCGTGGATTGGAATTTCTTGCCACGAGATGATGAGAAGAGCCTCTCAGCCAGAATCGTGAGCAAGCTTCATCTATTGCAGACATGAGGAAAAATGCATGAAATTGCGCGATGTGATCACAAAAAGGATGTACCGTCAAAGTATGTAGCCAGGAGCGAATAATGGATGACGGGCCATCTTGATCATGTCCTAGTCTGTCTAAGCTTCTGCAAGAAGTCCAACGTCTTTGCATAAGAGGGGTCAGAACGGTTGACTGGTTTGCATGAATTAATATGATCAGTGGCGTCGAGGACCTGCGTCAATAATGAGAGAGATTAAACAACTGCCATATCCATTTCTTTAGCCAAAAATGAAGTTGCTTTTTGATCTGATATGCCAATCCTTGAGTATCTTCCATGGAGTACAGATATTAATGGGAAATTTCCAATTAGAGTCTTAATCTAGTTTACGATCAAAGTTATCTTGTCCTGCCAAGATCACACAAATTCGCAACTCTGAAGAAGCGGGTCTTCAAAATGGAAAAAGGCAAATTTTCAAGAGACATTTTTAACCCTTTCCTGTTTCGGGTATCTAATTACAGCTATAAACAGACAGTGTAGAGTTTCTGTATTTTGTTCACATGAGATTCTTAAGATTAACGTTCCACAATGAAAAATAATTTGGAACGTCAAAGAAGCCCACGCATGTGATATAAAAACGCAGTTAACATAAATGCACACCAATTTAATTCTTAATCGGACTTATTTTATTTCCATGAACTTCACTGACCATTTTCATCTCATGAGACATTCAGAAATTATTCACGTTAACCAAAATCTTCAACATTTTATTTAGGTAAAAATTCACACTGTGAGTGTTGATAACGCAAAAAAGCAGAGAAAAATAAAAAAAACTGCTTTCCTGTCTAGTCCTAGTATTTTCTTCTACTGATTCAGCTTCAAATTCCTTATCCCTTTCGAAAAAGAGGATAAATTTCAGTTTTTCCTTGAAGTCTTTGTACGTTAAATCAACTAAACTATGTGAATGTTCTGTCTCAAAAGATCCAATGATGATGCAAATGTCTATCTTACCCATCATTTTATTTCAGAGTTCTTTCATAAATACTCCAACACAAAGATGCACCAGTAGAAACCAATCGTCTGCTATGAACAGTTTAACCACATTGACGGACATTTTTTTAATCAAAACCACTCGATATCCCAAGGAATTAAACTCTGGTAGCTTCCTTGGGCATTTTTTCATTCACTGAAAAATGATAAGATAGTGGAAAGCTAAAATTGAAGCATTTTTACAACTCGGTGATGCCATCATCTCAATTGCTATATGGTTTTCTTGTGCAATCTATAGTAAAACGGCATGCATATATGCTTACACATGCCAGTAAGGAACAAACACCACATAGAATGGGTCCAAGTTTCCCTGTTCTAAGATAGTATTAATTGATCCATCAATCACAACAGCCTCATGATTTGTCCTCACTCTGCATGAGCATAATTTATTGAAAACACAATAATATTATTATACAACGGAAGTACGACTTCAGGAGGTGCTCTCCATGGGCAACCAAATGCAACCACACAAGATAACTCTTCAGACTTGGATATAAGGGGAAGCTAGAGACAGATACATACAACACAGGCGACAAGCCACGCGAATGAATATATACAATATGGACAGGACATCCAAGGAGAACCTCATTCCTCGAGAAGAAGAAAGATCCTTTTCGAGTTTGAATTTGTTTGTTTGATATCAAGGTTCTTCTACTTATTTATTTAAAATGGCGCCGCATGAAATTTCTCTAATTCATAAGAAAAGGATCAAAATGTGTTGTACATGTGCAGAAATTGGCAACTAGTACTATCGAGCATGGAGATTGAAATCTTCTGGAAAATAAACCTCAGCATCAATCTACCCATCATAGATATGTAATTTGTAGAAATGTATGCAAGAGACTTGGGAGAAACTGTGAATGGGGTTCTTTATTTGATACTGTATCTTTCCAACACACTTTTTCATGGTATGAATTGAAACGTACTGCTTTCCTCAAAACGTTCTTCATTCTCTTATTCGCTTTCCGAGAGGAGCCTCAGCAGTGAAAAAGGAACTTTTTAGAATTTTTTCGGAATATCGTTCTTTCTTTTTCCTTTTACGGGATAAATGTGCTTCAAGACTCATTCATTTAATAAAAGTATAGGATTGCCAAAAAGGAATATCTAATGCACCAAGCAATGTACCAACTTCCCAGTGTGCAAATGGAATAATTCAACGAATTCTGTATGATTCAGCAAAAGAGTATATACCAGAAGAAAACTTACAATTATATCACCGAAACCTGGATAGGCAGATTCAATAGGTACGACCTCCATCCTAACAGCCCATCCACCATATCCTTCTACAATGGGCGTGACTAGAGTCTGCCGCAGATCATTGTTCCAATTACCCCAAGCAAAATAAGTAGAAGATAACAAGTGTCAAGAAACAACAATCAAATAGTTTCACATTACCTCGCTGAAACTGAGAACATCAAGAAAGCCTTTATTAAACCGCTGACGAATAAAGTCATTAAGCTCCAGCAATCTTGGAGAGCCACTTCTAAGTTCTCCAATCTACAAAGAAGTCAGCAGTATACACAATATATTTCTAATGGTAAATGGGAAACAACAAACAAAACACCAACACGCTAAGAAGTGAGTTCTAAGAAGTCAACAGTATGGTCAATTTTTCTTGCACATACTGTTGGGGCTGGACGAAACACATAGCCCATACGCCAAGGCACATCTGCAAGCTTGCTACCAAAGTGCGGACAGCTATAGAATACCTACAATTATACGCTAATTATTTTAGAAAATGAAAACCAAATCTATGGAACACTGATCTTGAATGGAAAAAGCATACAATCCCAATTGTATTGTCAAGAAAGTGCTCAAGATTGTTCATCTTTGCATGGTGAAGCATCTGCTTGACAACTAGGCCACCCATACTGCAAAGAAGAAGATGAGAGGTATAAGAAGAAAATGAGAACACAGTATCATTACTAGAATACAAATCTTCAACATCTTTGGTCTACATTTTGTACTAGAAAGAACCGTTTTCAAGTCTTTTCTGAAGCGGTGGAGAAGACTAGACATATTCACTTTTCTCCTATTCAGATATGACATGTTGACTTTTCTCCCAGCTTACCGTGTGGAATTAAGTTAATCTGACCTAAAACAGTCTGACTGAACAGACAGACCCTCCAAATATTTTCAGAAAAGCTAGGAAGCCCATGCCATTTTGTAACAGTGAGAAATGATGACTGAGAGGCTGTGATCAACGCTTAAATTCGTTTTAGTTGAGTGATATATCAAAGTTTGATGCATGCTATAACTAGAAAGCAAAAATATGCTAGGTAAGGAAACTTCTTGCCAAAAAAGAAGCTCCAAGCAACTGATCAGTGTATCAACTACAACAGATATCTGGTCTTAAGCTTCATTACATACATAATAACATGAAGAAACTTGAAAATTGACAACAATAAACGTCATATTTAGGCCACTTCAACGTGGAAGAATGACTGTGTCAGCTGCATCTGATGATAACTTAAAACCTCACTCAATTGGTGAGCTGAGACTATAGATACTGTGTTCTACCGATGGTAGGTGAAATCAGACTGAATTCCTGAATCTAACAGTGCTGATTCAGCAAATATTAGGATTGGGTCAGGCAAGAAAATATGCCAGGGTTCAAATTAACTCAAAACTCATACGGAGAAAAACAGAAGAATATCCGTATAATTTCATAAAATGCATAAATCGTTTACACAAATACAATACAAGCATAATAAAACGATAAGTAACATTTCTACCAAAATCCAACCAATTGAGAAACTCCTTTCCCAAGCTAATGCCTTGATATATGGTGAGAGGCTGGATGGAATGAAGCTTCAAAGAAAGCAGCAGGCAAAAATTGGGTAATATAAAACAGCAGTTGTAAACAGATGATTCTTACCTAAATAAGCAAATTTATAGCTAACGATGTCAATTTTACACCTCATGATACTTGGGGAGTGCTATCACAGGATCCACATGGAGTAGAACCTTAGCCTACCCTCAATGGAAAAGCACAACTCCATCACGTAAAACGTTATTTCTAGAAAGAAAAGGGAAAATAAAATATTAGACAATCAATTAGTACTATGACACAGAATATCAGAATAGGGCATGGCTCTTTTCAAGATTGCTTTATTTCCTAGTAGCATATTTATGTACACCCTACTATATCACTGTGAAGGAATAGCATAAGGAGTTGACCAATCAAAATTGAACTTTCTTTTGCCTCTATAACCTTATCAGATGAAGTGGTGATAAACACTCACAAAGAATGTTAGATTATGCCTTCTGTATATTAGACTATTTATCAACGACATGTGGTCACTTTGAAATAGGGGAATAGCAAACATAGGAGCATTTAGTTAAAGTGGAATTTGACATTGACAGCAGTGAGCAGACTGACCTAAGAAGCAGAGTACTGACGGAAAAGTAATAGAAGAAGAGATAACTAACAAACGAGAGGAAGCATCATTTAATATAGAAGACCTCGACTATTATTATGATAACAAGGTGCTTATCGGAAGAAAAGAGGACATTGTCTGTCCTTTCGAAACTTGTGGGCCATAAAATATTACAAGATATTATTTGAAAAAAACCAAGGCGGATAAGTAGAAACTATTCACATCAAAACCAGGAAAAGTCCAACTGGAACTGGAAGTCTTCACCAAAGAAGCAAGGGAAACGGCATGGACAGGAAGACTAAATATTTATATGCAAAGAATTGTAACATTTTAGCACATTTTCTTCTGGTGACAATGGCACATGTAGGATCTTCTGTGACCATTTAGAACAAAGGAGGGATTGAAAGCAAAGTTAACTATTTCCGATTGCTAATCTCAGTTGGATTGTTCAGTTTACCATAAAGTCCCCACGACCAGGGAGCGAAGATGGAGACAGATCTCCAGCTCAATGGCATAGGGTTAAGAAAGGGGATGGAAGAAATAGAGAGGGGACACCCAAAGAAAAATCCAGGAACAAAACTCAACAGAGAGTTGCTGCCGACCAATGCTGGCCACTGTTCCATACCTCCACTGACTGGTGTCGCTACAGTGCTAAGGACAGGGCAGTGTTGTATAATAATGTTGGGTTTTCGTTAGCAAATGGATGCCATTGTATCCATTTGTCTCCTGTTAACAAGGCCTGGTTTCTTCCGCCAAACAGGCCAATTTAGCCAATCCAGACTCAATATTTGATGGTAACCTACTTGACTGTCTGATCTGATTGAGCGGATTATGTGTGAACTGGTAGCCCATTGAAAGAGCATGGAATAAAACTAAGGGAAGGAAAATAAATATTGAAGTTTCAGAGTTCGTGAGAGGTGAGAAATACACTGTAATATAAAGAGGACTTTAAATCGAAGAAAGTAGTGAGGTCCATTGATGAATCACGTTGTGGATTCTGTCAGTAACGAAATCACTGGCCATCCTGCTGGGAATTGTATCTAACAGTAATAGTGACACCCTTCCATCCTTTTGAAAAATAGGAATTCCACTATTTTTTCAAAAGCACTTCGTTTGACAGTAACTTATTTCACTGGAAAAACCTACTGATCAAACTGTAGACGTGAAAATAGTTATGACAAATGGGCATAAAATCATATGAACGATTAACGGTATTTCTATGAACAATATACCAGATGCCATGTAACAGGTATTGTAATAAGGGTGGCATCTGTGTCATACAGAACCATAATCTCTCTCCTGTTAAGGCTTTTGGGTAGACAGTAAATCAGCTAATGAAAAACCTCATATGATTTTTTTTCTAAAATAAAAAAGTGACAAACCATTAAGAAAAAATGGTTTAATCAGTTTCATTGATTCTCCAAAATTAATGATCAATAGAAAAATAAAAATCTAATACTGTAGAAGAAACACAGAATATGAAAATAAAAGCATCCATAAAATTCCAGAAAAGAAAACAATGCACTGCCAATGTTTGCATACCAGTCAAAACTCTGAAAGGAAAAAAAAAAGTCATCTGAACTGTCAAGGATAAAGACCACTAAACCAGACGAAAGATGTATTCTCCTAGTTAAGCACTACAGAACTCCCAGATGCATTGAGACCGCCAACACAGGGCCGACCATAAAGCCAAGCTAATAAACCTTACACCTCTTCATACCATAACCACAAAATATGACGCGCTGCTGTAGTGATAGGTTCCTTTTTGTATTAAGAAATTCAATATTATGGATTACTCTAGTAAAATTACCTGTGAGTCACAAAAACCACGGGATGATTTCCAATGCCTGCTGCAACCAGCTTCTCGAGGAGCTTGGAGCTGACTTCCTGCACGATCTCGAGCATTTAATAAATAGAAAAAATCAGACAGATGAACATTTGATGGTATGGAATAATTGCATTATTTCATAGGGCATAAAGAAGAAAAAGAGATTTAGTGGCGAATAATTCGCAAACATGTTGGTATTCCAACGAAAGAACGAAAATATAAATGAAGCAAATTGAAGTTTTAATTGAGTAAAACCCAGGAAGAAAACTAATGAGCATATGAAATGCAAATGTGGAAGCTAATTCGGATTTTTTACATTTACCAATATCCAAAAATCGTATTGCCCTCAAAATGTTTGAATGATGGAACACAATCTTATAAGATCTAGCCAACCATGAAAGAAAATGGAACACAACTTATGCCCCCAAGATGTTTGACTGATGCCACAATCTTATAAGATCTTAGTCATTCAGTCTGACTACATGAATGCCGTTTAAAAATGGAAGTGCATTCTTATGCAGATAGCATTCAGCAAAATACTATGGATGACAACCGATACATGAGGGGATATTTTCCCGTCCATAAAAAATCTTAACCGACAAGTTACGCCACCTGGAGAATAGTTTTGAGTTTGTTTACCATCCAATGGGAAGGTTCTTGATACATTCCAAACAGTTCCTCTTAAAAGAAGCTATAAATCAAAGTGCTCAAAGAGTTTTGCAGTGATTTCACGGTAAATTAAACATTATAATTGATGATATCAATCTCTCAACAATTAACATGGAGAACAGATCTTGAGATGAACATTCCACTTCTCTTCATCATCTCAGATATTTCCATAGTAAAATATGACCTGTCACCATTGTTCTCAATCATGACAAGACATAATTTAGTCAATATTCTATAATTGATCAGGCTTGGTCTACCATTCTCCAAGCTGAAGTCTAACTCCACAAATATTATTTTAACCCTCTATGTAACTATCTGATTCACCAAAAACAATGACGAAATCAAAAAAAACAAATTTCTTTATATGATGTAATTAATTCATCATTCTTTACACTCAGAAAAAATAATGCACAAATTACGTCCAATCAATTATCAGATGATACTAAAAGTTAAGCTTAATAACCGAGCAGAAGTTTCCTTTCTCAAGTTCTGGTGATTGACGGAATAATAAACAATCATAAATCTACTCAAGATATATCTTTCCCCAAGGAAAGGTAATTTATTTCTATCAGTTAGCTTCTCTAATGCGGCTTTAAATCTATTACTCATTGTAATAATAACCACTTTTCCTGGGAATAAGTAACATTAGAAGTTTGACAGCCTTTTTAGGAACTCTTTCACGCAGTCGTAATCATTTTGTAAAGATACTTCTACTGAATGTAGCTACTATGTTTTCTTGTTGTCTTTCTATCAGTGGAAAATGAAAATATGCCAGACCACTGAATCATTGTGACTGCGAAAAATAACAGCCCCAGACCAACCAGAGCAAATGATGGTTTCATGTAACGGTCTTCATTTGAGCCATTACTGTAGTTATACCAATCATTTTATGATAAAACCTCAGCCAGCTTAAGGTCTACTGTGTTGTGAATAAGATTAAGTAAAATTTTCTGCCGCCTCTTTATTCTGAAAATTAAGAGGGGCACTGATTTGTTTGTTGGATAGATATCTTGACCAGTCAACAGTAATTTCATTATGCAACACTTTTTTATTTAATTTGCACAAAATATTTTTCAGCTAAAATTTTTCAGAAGCTATCTCTGCATGCCAGATGACAATTCTACCTCAGAGCGAACCTTCCAAAAAGTAAGATTAATGAAAACATCTGTCCAAAAAGTGCTGCAGAGAAGCTTCATAGCATTCCTGTTAAAGAATATGAGATGAAGCTCAGATGGAGAATTGTAATTCAGCGTCTTGATGAGGGAGAATTGTTAAAGAATATGAAATTATGCGGACAATGTTGTGTCGTCTGCATAGACAGGCTAGATGAAATTTTTATCGAACATAGTTCGCACTGCAAAAGTCTCTAGGCTTAAAAGTAACTACTTTCAAGAATAAATAAATAAAATAGGTCAGACAGAGTTCTACCACAGTAAACTTGTCTCTAGTGTATTTAAGAGACCGGACAACGAAATGGATATCTAAATTTCCAGAAGCAAGCATCTAGTAATTAACCAGTCACAAAAACCCAGAATCCGATATCACAAATGCAACTTAAGATATTGGAAATAGTTCTCTAGCAAGCCAAAGGGGGAACAGTCGATTCAGGGGTGAGAGAGAGAAGATGAAAGGACAAACCTGAAGAGGCAAGCTGGCTCCAGACCACTGAGTGAGATTTGTCTGTAGGGATTATTCAATTAGAGATTCATGTTCATGATACTGTCAAACAAGGGACTTAAGAAAATTAAAACAATTGAGCTCCTATATGTATATGACGGATTGGAAACCTTCATGCAATAACCAACGAAGTTATGCATACATGTTCTATAAGCAACTTTCTACTTGATTCGAGATATATTAAAACAGGAAGAATTAGCAAACCTTATATTTAACAGTGTACAGACGAGCATCAGGGAAATCAGCTGCAAGCCATTCCTTTGGCCAGCAAGTTCCCTGTCTTCCCGCCTCTTGATCAATCTTTTCAATCAAACCTGCCCTACTGGTCGTTGATGATTTATTATCTGCTATGCGCCAGGACTTGAAAGGGCCACCCCGTAATCCATGAATAAAGACTACATCCATGACAGGGGCGGTTAATTGTGAGTTTCGAACAGAATCATCAACGGGACCCGAGGGGATGCACTTTTCTTTCTCAACAAGTCCATTGCCAGATGAAGATAAAGAAACGTTACTTTCACCATTTGAACCGAGCAAGGCAGCATCCAAAGTGCTGCTGCTGGGGTAGTTCCAGTTTGGCAATTCAGGATTGACGAAAAAGATCATGTCATCATATCGAGGGCACTTGCTCATTTGGCTGGCAGAAGCAATATCAGGATGGCTATCGTTTGTATCACCATGCCTTTGCTCTGAGCAAAAGACATTCAAAAGAGTAGCCCTGGCATAACTTTGGATTTTGAGATCATTGCAGCCAGGAATCTTGCCATTTGCACAGTCCTCAAGCCACTTGCATAAGATTTTGTCACCTTGAATGGTTTTTCTGACCTTTGGAAGAAGTGAAAGAATCATTAAAAGCCGGGCAGAATGTTTTCGAATATGTGCAGTGGGAGGGACTCGAACACTAGACGAGTCATTCCCATCTGCAGCAGATGCTTCCCCAGAAATATTTGATCCACGTTCCCGAGCCTCCACACTCCTTGAAGCATCATATGCCTCAATTGCTGCCAGTCTTTCATAATCATCTTGCAAAAGAAAGCGCCTCAGCAAGGAAAACACTCCAAAATCGGCTATTTTGCTTTGGCAACCGGAATCATCAGAGCAAAGCTCGGTTAATGCTTTAATGCCTTTAAGAGTAGCCAAAGCAGAATCAGCTGCATCAACTTTCGTCAACTTATCTTTTCTCATGTTTTTGGCTAACACAGAAAAAGGTTCAAGGGATAGAAAGTCATCAAGAGGAAACCTATTCGTAGAATCAGAATAAGCTTCCGAGTTATTCAATGCTAGAATAACAACTGTAGTTGCCAACTGAGTTGTGATCTGTGCTGCTGAAAGAATATTAGATTGATCAATTTGAGTCTGCAGAAATAAAAAAAAATGACACCTGCCGTCAATGAAAGACCCATGAATAAAATTAGCAAGTCAACCTAGAACATATGCATTTGCAGAACTTAGACCTATCACCATCTCAAACTTTTGATATAAATAAATAACAAAAAAAATAAAACAGCACATTACATCAGATGGTTGGAAATTCAAATGTTTAGCATGTAAATACACATTTTTTTTCTTGCAAGTGTATACAGACACTTACAAGAACAGTTTTGCGTCTCCGAAATAAAACTTCTGAATTATCTAAAGGCTAAAAGTCAGAGAACCCATCAGAATTCTAATAACTTTCATTCATTATCATTTAAGATTTAGTACATATGAGCTCAAAGAAACTCTGTCATTGCAACGAAACAGTGATTATAAAGTTGATGATAACTTCTCTTTGACCTAAATACTAATCGTAGCATGACAACAAAAAAAATCCCACGAATTTATCTGTCATTAATCCCAACAAATCAAACGTCACATATCATTTCCTGAGAAATCAAATATTCAGGTACAATCCTGTACGTTAACTCCCGGTAATGGATGAGTTCTGTAGGAGTATTTGAGACAACTGGTTTATGACTATATTCATAAGCATTCCCCCACTGATAAGCAGACGTTGGCAAAAAACCAAGTTAAACTAAACATTTAAGGAAAGAAAGCTAAATAAAGGAATCTCAATTGAAACAGCTAGAGAAAAATCTATGTCCATAGGCAGGTTATCAACCACCATTATGTAATTCAAAGAATTACCTAACTTTTAACCTATTTAACATTTTTGAGGAACAAATGGGACAGTTCCTGTTCGTCTTGAACTGGAAATTACTTTTTACCTTCAAATCCACTTCTCCAAAATATTTCAATGATTTCAACAATATCCTTATTTACCTTATGCCTAAAATATATTACATTCGATATATTGATTTTCAACCATATATTACATTCGATTTAGCTATTTTACCTTATGCCTAAAATATATTACATCCGATTTCAATGATTTTCAACAATATCCTTTATAGTACTTCTCCAAAATATATTTACCTTATGCACTAAATTTACTATTTTTTTCTATTATAAGTTCAAATCTGCAGATAACACAAACATTATATAGTGCAGACAAATGTGCGTAAAGTTTCCGAAACCAAGAAATTGGCAGAATTGAAGTTGCATATTTTCCATTGAGATAAAAATATTTTCATCAGACATCCTTGTCGGGCAATATGTTAAAATGTATTGTTTATTGAATTATAGATGCAGTTTAGCTTTTACCAAGTTCTAGCCTCTGATTTCTTGTTATCCAGCTGTCCTGTTGTCAATGGAAAATCCTTGAATCCAGCTTATTCGCGCCCCCCCTCCCCCCCAAATGGAAAAATTCCTGCTAATCTAGGATAGCAGGGGAAGTTATGGTGATGATTTCTCAATGAATTGTCTAGGATAATTCCTGGTAATCTAGTGGATAGAGAAGAGAGGTAGAACGAAAAGGAAATACCTTCACTTTATCAGTCTTACGTGGTACGTTAGTTTTCATAACAGACGTCTTGTTGGCACCAAGAATTTCATTCAGCATCATAGTTAACCAACCCTGAGAAAGTAGTATTGAAGATGGTCCATAATCCTCAAGGATGCAAGAGAGAATGTGCTGGGCTGACAAGCTTGTAGCTTCAGAAGAAACTTGAGAGAATATCCAACGAAGAAGAATGCCAGACCACCTACGACTTTCTTCAAGGGATAGACGCATATCCCCAGTACAAAGGAATTCCATTGCCTGTGCCAATACTTCTTGCAAATGGCGATGTTTTTCTGATTGCTTTGAAGTTTCTCTCATCAGATGAAGTCCTCTCTCCAGCACCTTCACCTTAGCCTGATTACTTCTTTCAATGGAAATGAGAAATGCTGACAGTGCTACACGAGCAAGTTCAATATCATCAGCTTTACTTGCCTCACAGACAGTAGAAAGAAGACTGAAACTCCAATCAGGGACAGAACAAATAAGAGGTAAACTGCGATCTTCCAAGAGAACGCGAGCCACCAAGCTGCCATGCCATTTGACTGTCCTCTCTGGCGCAGTCAGCGCAAGCATAACTGCATGCCCATCACTATCAAGTTCTTGAATGTAAGATCGGTTATGCTTAGATGCCACAGCCCAATTAGCTAAAGCCCATGCAGCAAAAGGTACAGCAACCTGCTCTCTCTGCAAATCGTCCCAAAGGCCTGGTACTGATAAAATAGTAGAGTGTTGAGCTCTCAAAGAACTGGTATGTTTTTCCTGCAACATCAGGCTGCCAACCATGCGTTCTACAGGTGCAGAGTAATCATGATTATCCGACTGTCCCAGCTCAAGCAGGTCATCCTTCCTGGAAAAACCCAACACTGTGGGACCACCAAGGATTTTTATTCCAATGCCGCGCATTCCTTTGTCCCCATCATCATCCTCATCATCATCTCCATTTCTATCAAGTTCAGAAAAATGCATACCACCTTCCTCAATGACTTCAAGAGTAGCTGCAATATCTCTAATATCTGCATTCCCCGGCAAAGATGGCTGAAATGACACTCGGTCAACATCATCACAGTTAGAAGTTACAATGTCCATGATGGAAGCGACAAGCATGCTCCTTCCCTTAAAGGTGTCCTGGCCATCCAGTGGCTTGTGATTGAATTTCTGCTTAAACATCCGAAACAAAATGAAATAACTGGGGTCAAAACATGCCCTTACACAAATCACAAGCTCCAGCATGATCTATGGCAAAGACTTACAGCCAGGAAGTTCACATTGCTTTCTTGAAGTGGCCAACATGTTACCAAGACAACATGATAATATGCAGAGAAAAGGTTTTAATGACCAGGCAAGCAACCCGAAAGGTAGCCACTAGTCATTTTATGCCTTTTACTTTCTTAACAACATTGTTTGACAAAACTAAGCAATGCCATCTTATAACCACACTACATACTCATAAAGGTGTCCTTAGTCACAAGACGTCATTCCAAACATACCTGGCAGCCTTGTAGGTAAGCTGAAGGTTGCACCATAGCTGACAGTATGCTTTGTCTCATATTCAGGCTAACACACTAGTCCGTCCAACTCCAGAATCCAGCCTTATTGGCATGATGAAGCTTGAGGATATGAAATAATCTTCTAAAGTATTCCATAACGTGTATGATTAAATTTTTCATGGAATAAAAATGTTCTTTTTTTGTGAATAGAAAACTGAAATGCTTGACAACTGACCGTAATAACTGTCATGATAAAGATAAAAGTATTCCGCAATTCTTCACTAATAAATATATTTTTATTTTAGATAAATACGCCCATGACTTATTGATTAATGCCAATGGATTGAAATCACTTTACGCATCATTGGCAGATGAATGTGCCTATTGTAAATCATAATTTTAGGTAGAATCTTAAGTGAAACTAGGTTTTTCCTAAGTGAGGCAATTCGTTGCCTAAGTGATAGGTAAGTCACAACCTTGGGCATTTTACTCATCTAAAGAACACTGGTTTCTGAGGAGTTAAAATTGTGCAAGATAATAAGCTTTGCCTGATTAGTCAAAGCATTTCCCCAGAGTCTACATGAGTATCTGAGCAAGTATGCAACTATATTTATGTACAAAAGACACAGTTCACTGTTTTCATCCATGAAAATATGATTAATAAATGTTAAGTTGGGGGATTGAAGGGGGCAGGGTTCCATCTGCATCTATTCTTCACTCTTCATTCTTTCTCCCTATCTAAAATGAAAAACCTAGCCATCTTGCCAGAAAAAATCTCGCATGTGCAACCTTCTTCGGGTCATCCTATTATTATGGCAGTGGGTTGTTGGATAATAATTTTTCCCCAATTTAGTTTCTGGTTCAGAAAAGGATAATAAACGTATTTGAAGGCAGAAGAATCACAAGTAGTAACCATTTTCTTGGTTTATATCTACAGAAAAGAAAAAAGATATGGCGACACTGTTTTTGATGTTGATGTATCATGATTTCATAAGATTGCTCAGTCCTTCCACATAAGTGTTTTCATTTTGAACGAGCTAATAACCCCCACGGCCATATAAGGTACTTCAGACGGCCTACATATACCAAAAACAATGCAGAAAAGAAACCCTACCATCTACTAAACGCAATGGAGAAGCCGCCCATTTCTTCAAATGGTTTCGTTCCTCAAAGAAGACACTATCCAATAGCAAATAGCAATGACAAAATCATTTTGATTTCTCTATGGCGAACTTAAAGAGAAAATACGCCCGAGTTCCCACTGGGCAGAAAGGAGTTGCAGTCTCACCTTGGCCCGTTTAGGCTGGAATGAGAAGATGAACCTCAGAAGACTGGGAATGGCATGCGGCCTGCTCAGCACTGCCTCACACACATTGGGATCGGCGATTAGGTATGCCAGCGCCCTCGCTGATTCTGCCTGCGTCCCACAGTAGTCCCTTCCATTCCTCCCTGAAGACCTCGCTACTGTTTCGAGCAGCCAGTCTACAACTGCGCCACCGCCGGCGGAAACGATCGCCGACCGCCGGCCCTCGTTTGCGGCGACGATATCGGCGACGAATGCGGCAACCCGGAGTTCGAATTCTTTCTGCACCTCCTGGTTCGCGGACGACAGGACGGACGCCAGGGACTTCCAGAGGACTCCAGCGGCGGCGCCGGTCTGCTTCATCCGGCCGACGACCCGATCGAGGGAGTCCCTCGACCTCTCCAGCGCGGTCTCCAGATCACTGCGGAGCTCGTCCGCACGACGCTTCAGTTGTTCTTGGGAAGAGGTGGAGTAGAGGAGTCCCACCAAGGCCAGGGCGGATATCAGAGTCCCCGAGATGAAATAGAACGGAATAGAGGAAGATGCAGATGAGGACGAAAGGAGGGCGGGGAGGGAAGGTCGCGAAGGAGGAACATGGCGGTGGACTGCGGGCGGCTGGGGGAGGACCCCTTGAGGAGAATCGGGAGCACGAGGCGTCTGTGTGCCATAGCCCAGGGAGGACTGACGCCATGAATGAACGTGAGCTCTGCGGACGACGAGCCGGACACACCGGAGGCGACGGAAGAAGAACATGGCGACGAATGGGATCCTCCGTTCATGACACCGCCGCCGGCGAGCCCCCACCCGACGAAGCTGGCTCTGCGACGCAGCTTGGGCGGCCGTTCTCAGTTCTTATTAGCCCGCCATTTCTGGAGCAGGGCCCCTTTCTCCCCCTACTGCCAGCCCAGGCCAGCGTCTCCCGAGCTGAAAAATATGCGGACTCTTCTGGGCCAGCTGCCTCCGTATTAGAATCGTCCCAGAAGAGATGATAATAACTAACTTGGATCTGCCATCGACGAGAATCCTTCCGCCGGATATCCCGATCAAAGGTCAACCCAACTCAATGAGTTTTATTTGAGGAAAAATAGCTGAATAGAAAGTCAAATGAGGCTTAGAGAAATTCTCGTCTTTACACAAATTAGGCTACTCTTGAAGTTTGTGGAGCAACCATCCAATCAAAAGGCCTTCCATTGCTTCTGAAAACTATAAGGTACATGACCAGTCATAGGTAATACGATATTGCATATTATAAAGCTTCATCCATTTCATAGGTGGGGGCGTTTTCACCTTAAAACATAACCCATATCAAGCAGATGTCATCTTTCCACGTTTTTCTTTTAAAATTGAGTTGATTTCATATGCATCAAGGTGATGAAATTCGCAATAGAATATCAAAATTAATGATATTAAATTTAATTAATAATATTTATTTGATTTTTTGAAATTTGAAAACAAGACTTTGGAATTGGGTTGCTAAGAGAAGAATATTTTAAAAGGGTCCAATTAATTGTTAGGCCCAACAAAGTTCTTGAGGAAACTTATTTTATGTAAACTTACTTTATATCTCTTTTCTTTTAGAAGATATTTTAAATGATGTTTAGAGTGGATCATTAAGATTTTTTCAGGATCCTAATATGTTAGAGTTTGTTTGAAGTCATTTCAAAGCTATACAAAGTTTATCCTTAAGATCTATTCAAGATCCTTCTTTTAGGAATGTCCCCTCTTCCTTTTTAGGCCTATATAAAGGCCCCCATTGTGATACGAAAAATACACTTTTGAAGAATGATTAGCTTTTCTCTCCTATGAGGTTTCTTCTTTTTTGCTTGTGGATTGAAACACTCCATTATGGATTCAATAGTCCTCCATTGATATTGTGGATTTAAGATCACTCCTCCTTGTCGATCCAAAGGTTGAAGGCTCTAGGTTTATACATTTAGAAGTTAGTTTCTTTTCAAAGCTTGTGCCAAGATGTCCTGAGGTAAATCAATTCATATTAATGATGATAATATTTTTGAGGTATGTCATTTTATAAAATCATATTTTATTGAATTTCAAATATTTGAGGTCAGTGATACTTCAAAACAACTTTTGAGATGAATGACTACATTAGAAACTCATTCATACCCTAAAAAAGATCATGAATTTAGATATCCTCAAAGAGTCACATCAAATAAAAAAATATTTTAGATAATTTCTCAACATTTGTTTCTACAAGTTCTAGAAATATATTTGAAGATGATAATTCTCGAAATTTTCATCTGAAAATTAATTTACCATATTTTAATGCTCAATTAAGAATTGAAGAGTTATTAGATTGGTTGGTCAAAGTTGTGTTCTCCTGAATATATAAAGATTTTAAAAGAAAAATGAGTAAATTTATTAACATATAAATTAAAAGGTGGTGCATCTATTTGGTGGGAGTAGTTATAATCTACACTTGTTAGGTCAAGCAAAGAACTTATACGAATGTTGGAGAAGATAAAGAAGCTTTTGAAGTGCCATTTTCTACAACTTGACTATAATTTTTTTTTTATATCAATAGCATCAAAATTATAAACAAGAATGTTGATTTATTATTCACTATGTTGAAGAATTTTATCATTTATTTTCTTGAGCTAATTTAATTGAATCTAAGTCATATATGATTTTAAAATTCAAAAATGTTCTTAGGTGAGAGATCAAAGAAAACGTAACTCTATAGTCATTTTTTAAGCTTAATGACATGTTTATGACAATAAAACATGTAGACTCATTGCTTGAAAAAAGGAACTAGAACATAAAATTACAACAATTAGAATTCAATTTTTTAGTTATAAATGACAAGATCAACTATTGTTTCTTCAACCCTACAAAATGGACAATCAACTCAACCATACAAAGTGCACCACCATCTTCTAGGCAAGCTTTAAATATGAAAAATTCTTATGCTCCTAATGTCATTCCAAGATGGTATTAAGTGCGGACAAAACATGCATAAGTCTAATTTGTGTCCCAATGTGGCTTAGTTCACATTCTAGATTCTATTGAAGAAGACGTAGAAGATGAGAAAACTAAAAATGATGTTAGGATATAAGAAAATTTTATTGAATTGATATTGAAGACACATTTTCACACTCTCTTATGGTGGGAAGATTGATGTATATGCCAAAAAAGGAAAAAGATCCACAACACCACAGTATCTTTAAAATGAGGTACAAGATAAATATTAATGCATGTGACATCATCATTGATAGTGGCAGTAGTGAGAATATTATTTCATCAATTATGATTTAAAAGTTTGGGCTTGAGATCAACCCACACCTACATCCATATTGAATTAGTTGAATTAAAAAAGATACTTAAACTAGAGTTTATGAAACTTGTTAAGTGAAATTTTTCATTAGAAAGGTTAATTCTTAGAAATTTTTCATTGAGATGGATCCATATCACACCTCGACACTTCTACATTGATGTCATGTATCGTGGCAAATACAGCGTTGATGTCTTTTATGAAAATGATAAGAAATTTGTATTGGCCCTTATACATGAAAATGATTTCAATAGGAGTGAATAAAAGAAACAAGGTAATGTTGATTGATCAAAAGGAGTTTTTACATAACTTTGATAAAAATTATAGCTTCTTTATGACTATACAAAAGTTTGATATAAATTAAAAATTAACCGACGTCATACCATAATATGTTCAAAATTTAATATATGAGTTTTTTGTTATTCAAGACATGCGTAGTCATCTTTAACTAATGTGAGACACAACATTATATATACTTAGTACTGATAATAAGTTTACCTAACATGCCTTATTACATAACGAGACTAGGGGAAAATCGAATTCTTCAAGAATATGTGAAGGAGCTATTAACGAAGGGTCTAACTAGGTAGAGCATGAGTTGTGGTTAAACATAGGTTTTCATTTCCACATCTTGATGAAATGTAGGATATGCTTTGTGGTTCTAAGATTTTGTCAAAAGTAGATTTAAACAACAACTATTATAAAATCTAAATTCAGTTTAGAGACAATTAGAAAACTACTTTTATGAAAAAATCATGTCTTTATGAATGATTGGTTATGTCTTTTGGCTTATCAAATGCTAAGTATATTTTTTGATGATGAACTAGGTTCTGAAATCTTTCATTAGAAAATTTTGTAGTCTATTTTGAAAATATTTTGAGTTATAGTACCATAGATGTATAACATATCATTTATTTGAGATCAATATTACAAGCTTTATAATAAAATAAATTATCTATAAATTTCAAGAAATATGATTTCATTACCAATAATTTAGTGTTTTTGGGATATGTCATTAGTGTAGATGGGATCAAGGTAGATGAAGAAAGCTAAGAGATATTAAATATTAGATAAATTATGGATGAATCTTGAAGGATGGAAAATGATACTTGTTGGAGACTAGATAAATGTTATAGGTATATCTTCATTATATTTCTTGATTGTTCTTCTTTGTAAGGTTTTTTTTTTTCAATATTCTCTGGTCCATTTGTGTCTTTAAAACTAGTCACATGAAATCAAAAATCTTCTCTTTGTTCAATTTATGTGCTGATAAACTTTGTTTGTTTAATGCTTTGAAGTTTGTTATTCTCACATCATTTAGACTGCATGTTAGTGACCTCTTCTTTTTCATGTTTTTTTAGATATCTTTTTAGAGAAGCTTTTAATTTGTTGTCATATGAGTTCTATGTTTGAAACTTGCATATGACCTAATATTCCATAGATTTTTATATGTTCTTTCGTTGAGTCTTTTGATGTGTTGTCATCTAGGTTTCGAGTTTGAATCTTACAAGTGACTTTGATACTTTGAGTTTTGAACATTTTTTCACTAAGGCTTTCGACATATTGTCATTCAGGTTTTGAGTTTGAATCTTGAATCTTATCAATAACTTTGATATTTCAATATTTTTTGTATATTTCATCCATTCGCATTGGATTTCTTGTACTTTAACTAAGAGTTCTAAGATGTCGCATTAGTTCTAGCATACAAATATTTGAAGAAATAACTCATTAGATTCATTTTTTATATCATCATTGTACGTGTTGAATAATTCTTAGAAATATTAAACTTCTAACATAAGTTCTTATGAATTTCATTAAATATTCAGTAAATAAATATTTTCTTGTAGTATCAAAACCAAGAATATCAATAGTAATGATATTATTTATTCCCAGTAAGTTAGTATTTCATGAGTTCTTAAATTCTTGTTCAATATTTTTTACATCTCACCATTATTTCTTTATACTTATTTTTTAAAGTAAAGTAGTTTCTCCCAATTTTTATGCACAATTTAGTAGTTATGTCCGTCTAATATGGAGCAAAAGTTTTTTTGATAACTTTTTCTTGTTTGGGGATAAGTTATTTACTTCGTGGGAAAGAAATTTTGGGCATGAGTGTTGGGCTTGAGCAAGTCTATAAATGAGTCATCTATGTGAATGGGAAAAGGATTAATTCAGTTTGACTTCTGTCTCACTAATATTTTAGTTATTATCCCCCAAATAGACCAGGTCATGGTAAGTTTTGAATTTGTCAATTTGTCTCTATAGATGAATTGTCCTATATTTGATCCTCAATAAATAGCTTATTGTTTATATTGTATCTTTTCTACTAAATGAATTTAATTGATTATTATTTTCTATTTTTTAGGTGAAAATATAAATAAGGTGAAGTTTCGAATGAGAATGTCCAGTAGGAGAGCAAAAGATAGCAAAAAAAAAGTTGGGCATTATGAAACCAAGCGTAGCTAGGAATTTTTTGACAGCTCTTACATGGATCTTGTACCTCAAAATAGAGGAAAATAACAAGCTAATAAAAATTGCCAACTCTTATCATGAGAAATTTTTTCGAATGAAATCTCTCTTTTTTTTTTTGGGGCAGCTCTTTTTTGGATTCATTTGTTACCATCATTCTCCTACTTTTAATAACTGGAAATAAATATTTTACAAGTAAAGCAGGACATCAAGGGGATGTTCAAACAGTTTGAGTGATGAAACCATAAATACTTGAATGGAAGATCGTGTATGACTATAAATCTGAATTGAGAGAAGATCCCTGTTGGAGAATTTTGAATGCTTGTTTTTTCATCAACACCATAAAACTAAAACAAGATAGAAACGAACGCATCCAATGATTACAAATTTTAGTATACTAAGGATGAAACTAATTTACAGATGTTATGCTCCTTGATCCGAACACTTTTCCATTAGAAAACCAAAATTTTAGGTTAAATTGAGAAATAAATAATTAAAATAATAATACTGAGCGAAGACATTGATATAATTAGATGTGTCGATTTTGTTGATCAAATGTTTAAATTAGAAACAACAACAAATATTTTATCATGAAATTTCTGGTCTGACCAAAGCAAAATGGACTGACATGGAAGATGGAGCAAACCAAGAGAGAGCTAGGGAATTTTTATTTGTGGTCATTTCTCGTGAATGCTTTCTAACTTTTTGAGGTGGAAGATGAGGTGTGATTAGTTCCTCCTGAGAAAGAGATGACTAGATACCGGAGTCTTCATTTCACATTCATAAATGGAAGTATCTCCACCGAGAAAAGTAAATATATACTGAGTTAGGGTTTCTCTCACGCTTCTTCACTTTTATGCCCTAGGAACTAAATTTTGGATAGTGATGGCCATATTCTGTACAATTAGATCAGTCTGAGAGATAAAGGATACATGCCCTAGGAACATAGTGTTTCTGGCACCAGTAAAGGATTGTCTCTTTTCTTCATATGTAAACAATCCTTTACTGGTGCCTTATGCTCAAAGTAACCATATGGGTGTATATATAAGAGCATAAGAACAAGAAAAATAATAGCTTGGTAGCCTTTAATTAATGTAGGGTTCAAGTGATATTAAGTTTCATAAATATTACCTTGGTTTTCCTTTTTTGAAGGAACTATTAGTTTTAGAAAGATTGAAATAATTTTTTTCAACTGAAAGATAGTTATACTTGGGAATTATTAAAGGAACATACTACAGGCCGATGAAATTTCAAGCTTATGTTCTGACTTGGAGCCTACATAATTTCAAGCTCATGTTCTGATTCCCAGGAAGCTGACAAAAGACCAAAGAAGGCGAAGAGTCATATCATTATATCAGCTTCACTGACTCGCTTTACTCTTTCATCAACAATATGTGTATTCTTCGGCTTTGTGTGCGGTGACCTTAATTCTCGGAGTCTTCTTTCATCAGATAAAACCCTGGCAACCCTGGAGAAATATATGGTGGATCTCAGCAACATAATTACCTGATGGACTCTCGGTACAACCAAATATACCGGTGGAACATTGAGATGAGAATCACCTTCTAAGAGCTTCTTCGTTGGTGCCTCCCCCGTTTGCGATGGGTTCAAAGATACCCGTTTCAAGGTTCACCCTGGAGAGTGGTTTTTTCAGTAGTTTCTCTCCAATGTTCACCAGATTTTCCAGATTTTCCTTGGTTGCGATATCCACGGACGAAGCGTCCCCCGTTAAGGTATCCTCCTAGTTATTCACACAAAGTCATCATCATTCGTTCGTTAAAACACTGCAAAAACTTGGAGGCTTACGTTCTGCTAGAGGGATGAACCAGTACCCCAATTCTCAGGTAGTTACCCCCCGAGTGAAGGGCTTGAAATGCTACTGTGATGTTGATGTCAACCATATCGGCACTGGATTGCATGAACACGTCCACCAGGGGCGTAGAGCCGCCGCTGAGCAGCCATCCGAGGACTCCCCACTGTCTAGCCATCTTCGCGTTGTATTTTCCCGCCGACTTGGAAGACCCAGTTCCCAGTGAGATGACGAGAAACCGACCGTAGTCCATGGGTCTGATAGGGAAGAAGTCGGGGTTCCCCCTAAAGATTTCCTTAGTCACCTCCCCCATTGCAACCAGGGCCTGACGTTAAATGTGAGTGTAAACGGGAAAGGAACAACGATTATCCATGGGAATGCATATTTAAGAATGCACAATCCATCTGGAACTCTGAGAAGATCGAGAAGTATTTCGACTACCGGGTTATTCGCCGCTACACCCCCGTCGACAAGGTTGAACTCTCTCACTCCACCTTGCTTAGCTTCCGTTTGGAAGTAGTGCGCAGGGAGGTAAGTTGGAGCTGCGGACGTTGCTATGCAGATGTCGGAGAAGAGAGCATCCAGACTCGGGTTGCTCTTCACCTGTTGAACAGGAGCACAAGCTTAGAATTACTCTCACTTACCTACCCATGAGAATGGCCAGAACATTATAAATCCCATGTCACTGAAAAGACAGGGGGGATGAGAGGGAGAGAGACAGAGAGAGAGAGAGGCAAAACCTCATAGGTAGAGAAGATGGTGGGCTGGAGATGCTTGATGTCGAAAGTTGGTATAACCACGTTAGTGATGGCCTGGTGCAGCCTGGTGCTGCCCAACTTCTCTTTAACGACCTGGTGTAGATACTTCCCGTTGTATTTCGGTCCCATGATTGCTCGAAGTATCTTCATAATCCGACCCCATATGCCACTATGATTAACGTGAAAAGGCCATCAGGGTGAGCCTTATTTGGGAACTGTCAGCACACAATTTACTAACGATAGATCTGTTGTTAATCCCGATCAATGAAATCAGAGAAAAATCCGGTGGCATTGAGATTCGAAGAGGAAAATCATCACGACGAAGAGTGCGAATTGGCCTAGGGGTCACATATCGTCTAGGAGAATGAAACATTACTACCTTGACTGGGGGAAAATTCTGGGCGTGTGCTCCAGGTAGAAGTTTTTAATGTCCTTGGCAGCAAATAATGGCCGGTTATCTTTGTCCGGTGCAGTTAACATTGAGGTGATCAGACCGCCTGTGCTCGTCCCAGCAATTACATCGAAGTAGTCTGCTAGTCTCGAATCTTCGCCATCCAGCTTCTGCAATCATTCATGGCACAGCTTGGAAATAAAAATAAAATCATCGTTGTCTCTATTTGATAAGTCACCCACCGATCCCTTTCACAAAGAAACAATAAGGGTACGAAAACATCTTTCAAAAGTCGGTGGAGGGATAGTAAAATTTCCATTAGCGGCAAGGAGATAGAGACGAAACATAAAGAAATAGGAAATCCTAAGGATTTGAGAAGCCATTGGGGAAAACTACGTGTACGTTTTCATTGCCGCGTGGGAGCATTACACTTCTTTCCTGGATGATATTCATACCTGAAGCTCTGACTCCAAGAAACTGAGAAGTATAGAGGGAATGAGACCCCTGATACCCCCGCCGTCAATGCTTAGGACAGTAATCAAATTCCCGTATGTCGGAGCCTGTATTCTGTTGAAAGATTTACTTCCTTCCATAGACGCTTTGCCACCTAAGGAATCAAAAACTCGGAATTTTCAGACGCGAAGGAGCAGAATTCTATCTGAAGACTGCAGTCGAATGAAAGTAAAAAAGTATCATACGAATAATGCAATCTTCTTCCGTATCTGCCGAATGAAACTCTTGCAGTGGTAGTGCTAGGGGCTGCATAACACCCTTATATATAGATGCACAGCGCATTCGTGCGGAAGAAAGATGGTCAAATAACCGCGGTCCATCTCCGTCATGAATCCGTTGAAATGTCTCCGTCTAGACTGTCGGGTGAGAAAACCATTATTTGCTTGACGGACCTTGCTGATGTCATTGTCCAACTTGAATTCTCATACAGAAGCATGCTGAGCTTGATGACCAACGTAAGAAGACTCGTAATATGATTTGCTTTGAATGGTTGGTTTTCTTTTCCTAGGTTGGGCAGCCCAACGATGCGTTGGGAAATTTCTTTGATCGTGGCGTGTACAGTATATTGTGTTTCTTACTCCACCAGCTAACATTGGGGGACGAGCTTAGCATAGTTGAGATAAACCTTATGTTCAGTCTTATCCCACTTGCATCACGTTTGAAGGAAGTTTACTGCTGCTGACGGTCCTCACTGATCCTTTCTATCAACCAGATCCGATATCACACCTTCGGTGCCCTTGTCCTCTCTGAGCAGTTTGGTACCCAGGCCAGAGGGGAAGAAAATGAAGGCATACGTTCTCCCATAGTTAAAGTTTGTCTACTTTAGAGTCTGATCCCAGCGCCACTCAATCCACGGAAGTGGATTGGGATTCTGGAGGCTTCCAGGATGGCCCACATCGGTTTCTTATCAACTGCGGGTAAAATCAAATCCATAACAACAATCTGTCAAATATGAGTATTGGGGCTACGCGATAGAGGAATGATAGACGGTAACCAGGCTACTCTTATCAGAAACCATCGTAGAAGGTAGAGTGGGACAAACATCGGCCCAGCCGAGGAGAAGGGTCGTTCCATCTACCCTTCATTAAGTTGACCGCTAGTCGTTCGTTTGCGTCAGCACACTGATATCTTCCTAGCGCATTGCAAGGACAAGACTCGCCCCACTGTGGAGCATTTGACCACAGTTTCAGATTTCTTCCGGTGGACTCGCCTGTGAATCCCAGCTAAGTGAGGGAAATCTTGATGGCTACCTTCCGGTCAGGTTATTGGAATAAACCAAAGCTTTGGCCGTCGACTGGTTGATCAAAGAAAGACACGTTCGAGCTGCTCGGCTCCATCCATGAGATTGAACATGGGGAAATAAACGCTGGTGACAAGCGTCCTCCAGGAGATTTGCGTCAGTCCAGTCGACTGATATAACAAGTAACCTATGCAGCTTTGCCCGCGGGCTCTTATGAGATTGCAGCGGCATCTCCGTAACCACAGATAAAAGGGTGACCGGAACTTTCTCCATGCCCAGCAAATTATCCTCCTCACAGACATCTGGTAACTTGAATGTTCCCAGATAAGGAAACAAATATTTTCTCATGATAATCCTGAAGGAAACACAAGAATAAATGTATAAAAAAAACAACGATTTTAAAGAGAAAAATGGACGAGAGAGAGAGAGAGAGAAAGGGGACGGTTGGTTCGCTCACGAACCCTAGAAAAGGACGAAATGTTTCATACATATTAAAATAAAGAGAGAGATGAGTATTTATAGTCACAAATATTAAATGGACTGGCCACTTATGGTCCACTAAAGACACAACAACTTTAGTCTACGAAATAACAAAACAAAGGCCTAATAAAGAGAAAAAATAAGAAATATTTTACATTAAACACTAACACTCCTCGTTAATACAAAAAAAAATTAAGACCAAGAGTTTCTCTAAATTTCACGAATTTAGAATGTTTTAGTGCCTTCATAAAGCCATTTGTGAACAAAATTTGATTTCAATAAAATTTTTGACAACTAAATCTCGAATAAAATGGTACCTTATCTCAATAGTTTTGTTCTTCTGTGAAATAATAGATTCTTCATCATAGAAATATTGATAAAATGGTACCTTATCTCAATGGTACCTTACATGTTGTCATAATTGATCACTGTAGGCATTATTTGTGAAATATTGATATCTTGTAAAATCCTTCTCATCTATATTGTTTATTATGCAACTAATGATGCAGTAATATATTTGACTTCAGAAGATGATAATGTTGTAGATTCTTGCTTCTTAGAAATCCATGAGATTGTACCTAAACCAAAACTGAAAGTAAAATCACTTATACTTTTTCTATCATTAATAGAACCTGCCCAATCACTATCTTAATAACCAGAAAAATTAAATTCAGCAACATGTTGATAAAGAATTCAATAACTAATAATGTCACACACATCTCAAAATAGTCTTTTTGTTGCTCCAAGATGATGAATAGATGGTGAATGTATAAACCTTGAAATCATACCAACTTAAAATAATATATCAAGACGAGTACGAGTCAAATACATCAAACCACTAACAATGCTTCTGTAAAGGTGTTTATTTATATTTATACAAGTAGAACAAGTCTTGAAATAAAATACATTAAACTTCAAGTCACATGCATATTTCTCTTGCAAAATAAATATAATATGATCATTTTAAATAATTTGAAGTTTAAAAAAGTAATAAAGCAATCCCAAATTTATCACATCAAATTCAGCCATCATATCATTCTTGAAATCTGAAATTAGTGACAAAGAAAATCCAGTATATATAATATCATCAACATAAACACATACTATCAAAATATCTTCATCTTGAGTCTTGATATAAAGTCTTGAATCAAGTCTACTATACCATGCTCTTAGTGCTTGTTTAAGGCCATAAAGTATCTTTTTCAATTTATACACTTTGTTCTCTCTTCTTTCAAGAATAAAACCTAGTGGTTGCTCAACATATACATCTTCATCCAAATAACCATTTAAAAATACTAATTTAACATCAAATTAAAAAACTTTCATTTCATTTGAGCTACCACGGCTAAAACAATATAGACTGTTTCAAATCTTACAACCAAAGAAAATGTTTCAAAGTAATCAATACATTGTTACTGTGCATATCCCTTCACTACTAACCTTGTCTTGTATTTTTGAACATTGACATCCAGTTTATACTTCACTTTGTAAACTCGACTCCAATTGCTTTTGTCTTTTGTGATAAATTCACTAACTCTCATGTGTCATTCTTCTCAATTGCTCTAATTTTTTCTTACATTATCTTTTCCCATTCATCTTTGTCTTGTGCGTCCTCTTACCTTGTTGGTTCTATAATCATAAAAGTAAAAAACACACGATTCATAAATATCACATAAAGATTTCATCTTTCCTGAAGGGTTTGATGATTCTAGATTTGAATCATTTTAGCTATTAATATCACTTACATTTCTTGAAGAAGATCTTGAAGGTGTGACACATGAAGTAGAAGCTTCATCTATTGAATCTTCACCATTTTACATAATTTCTTACTCATTTTTACAATAAAAAATTTGACGAATTAGATTTAGATTCCAATTTCAGCAAGCATATTCATCAAATATAATGTCACGATGAATCAATAATCTTTTTGTCTCAGGATTATATAATCAATAACCTTTACTATCATCACTCTATCTAATAAAAATATATTTTTCACTCTTTTTGTCCATCTTACCACAATCATCAGCATCAATTAAAGCATAGGATATACAATCAAAAACTTTTAAATGACTAACATTAGACTTTTGATGATATCAAGCTTCATAAGGAGTTATATTCATCACTGCTTTTGTTGGAGAAATATTTAAAAGATAAATAGAAGTTGCAATGACTTCAAGCCAAAAATCATTAAGAAGATATTTCTCACTAAACATACTTCTAGCCATTTCCAAAATAATTTTATTCTTTCTTTCAATAGTATCATTTTGCTCCAGAGTTATCTCTTAATTCCATACTTCTTACAAATCATGAGAAATAAATTCTCCCCCTTGATCTATTTGAAGAGTTTTAATACCATGCCCACTTGATTTTTCAAAAAAAAAATTGAAATAAATAAACTTCTCAAATACTTTAAATTTATATAAAATAAAAGAAACCTAACTCATATGTGTGAAGTCATCAATAATCAATAAAAAATATCGACTACAATTCAAGAATAATGTTTTCATTAAACCACATAAATCAGCATGTAAATAATTAAAGAAGAAATATTACTCTCCATGATTTGCCAATAAGAAATGATAATTGATGTTGTTTGCCATAAACACATCCTTCACATACTTTGTCATTTACTGAAATAGAAGGTAAACCAGTAACCATATAATTGTGATGTAATAATCTCAATGTATTAAAGTTTAAATGGTCATAACGCATATGTCAAAGGGAAGATAAATTGTAATCATGTCAAAATCAATGTCTTGAAATATCAAGAGGAAACATTCTCTTTCCAACCTTAGGAATCATTATTGGAGCCATATCACTCTTCTTATATTTGATAACACATCTATCATCTTTGACATGAACAATAAAGTCACATTCTAATAATTGACCCACACTAAGTAACTTATGTGTCAATTTTAAAATAAAAAAAATCATAAATCAATGTATTTGTCCCTAATTTAGTATGAACAACAATAGTAACAATGCCTTCAATTTTCACGCTATTTCTATCATCAATACTAATATCACAAATCATAGAGGTGCCAATATTTTGAATAATTTTTTTTCACCTATCATATGATTGTTGCAACCTCTATCAATAAACCACATATTTGATGTACTTGAGCCTGAAGAAACATTAATAGTAAACAACTTATGTTCATCATTTTCTTCAACAATATTTGTTTGTTCCTTTTTCTTGTTCCAAGTTGCTTCAATATAATCATACTTGCAAAAATTACACATTGGTTTAGAATTCTCTTCTTTCATATTTTCTTATTGTTTTGCCTTTTCATAATAGTATGCTTCAGTATGACTATATTTCTTGCAAAATGACATTACATAATTTGAAATTTAGTTTCT